TTTGCCCAAAGCGGAATGTTGTGGCTTGGTTACGCTCACTTGGGCAAGAAACCTGATGCGAGATCTTAAAAACATTGTAAACAGGTACACATTCTTATAATAATTTAAACAATTATTAATTGTTTTGTTACTTAATTGTTTCATTATATCTTGTATTGCACAGTGCATTTAAGGTTTGCAATACAATTGATGGAGTACACACAAGCAAAAGCACGACTCAGATTGGATTTTTGTTAATGTAAGTCCTTTTATATTTATGTATTATATCATTCATTTTATATGTCAAATTAATATATTATTTTTTGTAGTGTAATAGGCAACCAGGATCTTATGAGTGCGGATATTATGTTATGCACTTGGATGTGGGCTGATTGTTGTTAGCAAGATTGAGGATACATGGAATCGGGTTTGCTTAAATTTAGTATTCAATAAAAGACCCGAGTATTGTGTCATTGGATACTCGTTAAATTATCTTTTTTCTTGTAACGGGTATTTTCGGACAGGGAAGCATTGCCCATAGAGACCATTGACGATATTAGAAACACATGGGCCGATAAGTTTGTTAAAGTTAGAAGTAGGCAAGTTTAGTTATTAATTTAGTACTTAGTTTAGTAGTTAGTTTAGTAGTTAGTTTAGTTGTTAGTTTAGTAGTTAGTTTAGTTACTTTACTAGTTAGTTTACTAGTTAGTTTATTAGTTAGATTAGTAGTTAGTGTATTTGGTAGATAAGTAGTTGGATACACAATAATTTTGGATACAATTTTATTTTTGGATGCACATTCAATTGTTTATATCTTGTACATTGTCTGCACTGGGTTGTATTCAAATTTGCGGGTATGTATATATACAAACATTGGGTACCCTGTATAAACAAAGCGTCCATTTAAAAAAAAAAAAAAGACTTTCTACGTCGGTTCATACCATAACCGACGTAGTAAACCCGTACTCGCTTGAGCGACGACAACTTCAAACAAAGGGGACTCTCGGGTTCCATCTCGCTTGAGCGAAGAGTGGACTCGCTTAAGCGACGAAAGCTTCAAACAAAGGGGACTCTCGGGTTCCATCTTGCTAGAGCGACGAGTGTAATCGCTTAAGCGACGAAAGCTTCAAACAAAGGGGACTCTCGGGTTCCATCTCGCTTGAGCGACGAGTGTACTCGCTTAAGCGACGAAAGCTTCAAACAATGGGGACTCTCGGGTTCCATCTCGCTTGAGCGACGAGTGTACTCGCTTAAGCGACGAAAGCTTCAAACAAAGGGGTCTCTCGGTTCAATTTCGCTTGAGCGACGAGTGTACTCGCTTGAGCGACGAGTATACACTTTCAACGTCGGGTATGAATAGCCGAGCGTTGAAAGCCAAAACTTTCAACGTCGGGTATAGAGAGCCGAGCGTTGAAAGTGTATACTTTCAACGTCGCTCGATACAACGTCGGTTGTATAACGGACGTTGAAAGCCTTATATAACCGACGTTGAAAGGCATATCTGTAGCAGTGTATATATTATTTTTTTCTTTTTTTTTTCCTAAATACAGAAAATTATAACAACTATTTCTCTATTAAAAAAGGTTAAAAAAAAGACAGGGATAATAACTAATGCAATTACCATGGATGGAAAAAACAAAGTTCTCAATCTGTGCCATAATGTCGGAGGCAATTTTCCTCACATTCCAGATGTTCATAAACATGTCAAATTATTTTAATGCATACGTAACCTTTTATTATAATAATTAATACAAGAAAAGTCAAATTAGAAAACTTAAATTTTAGAATAAATTACACGCTAACGTTCCTTTTTTTATCGTATTTAATCTCTTTTATGCATCTTTAAATCCTCCTGGATTACTAATAATTAGTTCATTCAAGTAGTATTAAGTTTCGTGTCTTAAATAAGATTTTGAGTCGCTAAAAAACACATCATGTGTCGCTAAAAAAAATAAAAATTGTGAGAACTACAATTAGATAATTCTCACTTGATTGTCCTCACATGTTGCATTCTTGTGATATAAAATAAGTTTGATCTTTTTGGAAAATATTTTATTCATGTCTTGGAACTTGGAAGCAAAAGTAGACAACATATCCAAAATCATTAAGGTGTTGTTTGGCAGAGGCCAAGGTTGAAACCTCCCTAACATTTGGTTTTGGTCCATTTCTAGAAACTCATGTAATGGTTACATGACATGTCTTTTATATTGCTGTCTCAAACGCATAACAAAAGGGAAATTTTCAAAGTCAAACAAAACATATTCTCAAATCCCAATTCCTTCTAAGCCTGCAAAATTGATTTGAATATGCATCTTCCACTCACAAACAGCACATAGACAGAGGGTATTTTCTTTTTCTTATGTTTTTGTTATTCTCTTGAAAAAATTATAACTTTACAAATGGATTCATTCTAACCCTTCCTCCAGATTTTTTGCTCATGAAATCGTTTTCAATCCATTTCTCTGGTCAACTTAATTACCATCTTTCACTCCATTGATTATTTTGTTGCTTATATATAAGACAAAGAAAAGTTCCACCACTTTTTAAGACCATTTTAACTTACTTTTTTTTTTCTGAGCAAAAACAATCTTTTTCCCTTTTCTGAGAAAAAAAAAACTCACTTTTTTTCAAATTGATGCAGGACAGATTTAAATAAATTTGTCTGTATAGAAAAATGTTTTTTTCTTTTCTGTCATAACTTGCAGAGTTGCTGTTATGATAAATATATTTCTAAACAAGTAAAATTCATTTACTTGTTAAAAAAAAAAAGAGTTTTTTGAAATCTAAATTTAAAAGTAAATAAAAATAAAAGTTATTTTTTTAACAAAAATATGTTTTTATTTACGACATATTTCGTCTTCTTTTCATTCAAACTGTGGTTAGATAACTAAAAATATTTGTTATGAAATATATTTTTGTTGCAATATAAAAAAAAGGCATTACATCTTCTAATTTTTTTAGTTATACATTACAAAATATAATATTTGATACAAAAAATTTATCATCTGAAAAAAATCAGCTATCTATTAATTATGTTTGACTATATTAATAAAATTACTATTTATTTCAAGCTAATTAAATAACAGAAATAACATTCAAAATTAATAGAGTAAAAAATAATAATAATAAAGACCATTTAAAATTTAATATATATAAAAGAGAAAGCTTGATAAAAAAACTCAACTATCTACTTATATTACGTTTGACTGTATTAATAAAAATACTAATTATTTCAACTTTATGTAATCATTGTAGGGAATGAAAATAATGCAACAAGATCACATTGATTTAGCAATTATTAAGCATAATATTGTCTATTATAGCTTATTTTCAATTTAAGTATATGAATATATACAATTAATTTACACGAATAAATAAACATAAACACTGTTAAAATTTAAGAAGAAATAAACCAAATTAATTAATTAATTAACACAAATAACACTAAAGAAGGACATAAATAAAATAATTAAACGTTTTAAAAAATATATTATAAAAATGAAAAAATGATTATTGTTTTAATAAAATGTAAAAAAATATTAAATCCTAACCAAGTTAACTAAACAACTGAACAGTGAGGTGTTTATTTTAGTAGTACTACATAGTCTCTTTTGTCGGATAACATTATTATTTTTACAATACTTTATTTACTATTATTTTTTAATCTCTTTAAGTGTTACATTATGTTACACAAAGATTTTGTATAAAAAAGTACAATTTGTGTTTTTTTTTTTATATATATTATGTCCATGTCTTGTTGGGTTGTTTGATAGTGTTATCCAGCTGGTTATTTAACTCTTACTTAGAGTAACAGCTACTATATATATATTAATTAAAAAATGTTTATTTTTTCTGCGTATTTTTGCATGAAACGGGTTACCTAATCTTTGACTCAGTTTAATTAACCAATCATCAGAAGATAACCCCATATTATAATCAAGTTTAGACAACTAGTTTTCACATTTCAATTTTTATTTGCTAATTAGGTTTTTAAATTTATCCACAATATCAATAAATAGTTAATAAAGAAACACAATGATATTTATTTATTTACATTTAAGTACCAATTGAAATTGTTGGGTGAATTTGAACTATAAGTCTCTTGATCTTTATTAATGTTGGTAAGTAGTAGTAATTGCAAAAATAATTACAATGGAAAGGAAAATTAATGCTACAAGATAATCAAATAAATAACTTGATGATGAAAAATATGATAAAATTTCTCATTCTTCTAGGGTTCATGTCTCAAGGCCTGTAATTGCGGCATTAACTAATAAACACGTTATGGCTTTCTTCAAAAACTTTTTTTTATTTCTAAATTAAATATATATATATATATATATTTTTTTAATTTATTAGTTCGCTTTTTGCAGGGAGAGTGTGCTTAACGGTAGAATAACGAATTCAAACGTACCTTAATATATTAATTTAATTAAAAGTTTTTTTTTGGTTGATTATGATATTTGAGTCTGCAATTCTCATGTGCTGGACTTTGTCTTCTTCTTCACGACTTTACGTAGCACTGGGAACACGGTTTACACCAGCATGGTAAGGTTAAATATTAAATATTTAATTAATTTTTTTTTCTTAATATTTTATTTAGAAAGAAGAAAATATTTTGTTAATATTAAATAATGAATTAATGAAATTGATTGTGGGAAGAAGGTGTCCGCGGCGCATTCGTGTGGGTCCATCTTACCTGTTTGTCTTCGCTGGTTGGCTCAACCAATGAGATTAAATAAATAAGAAAAAAAAGAGAAAAAAGAAAAAACAGTGACAGTGTTACTGAGGAAAAGGTTGTAAGGTGATAGGTGAGAAAGCGAATCCACGGTCTTTTTTCAGATAAAACGCTTTCTTACTTCGACGCAAACCATTCTCCATTGTCTCGTTTCTTTCTCTCTCTAAACAGTTTTAGAGGGAGAGACAAGTACACACAAACATAAACCTTATTTTCTTCAACGTTAACCTTCCTTTTCGTTTTCGATCTCAAATTTTTGTTTCTCTGCCTGTTGTTGTCACCAATGTCAACAGCTCCAGCGCCGTCTTCGCCTCCGCCATCCTCTCCGGCCACTCCTTCCGCACCACCGCCCTCCACACCTTCCGCGCCGCCTCCCGCCACTCCGTCGTCACCTCCACCATCACCTCCCTCGTCGCCGCCACCATCACCTCCCTCGTCGTCGCCGCCGCCGGCTACCCCCTCTGCGCCTCCGCCTGCGACACCTTCCTTGCCAACTCCGTCGACTCCCTCTGCTCCTCCGCCGTCTACTCCTTCGTCTCCAACACCGCCGTCGAGTCCTCCTCCGTCGCCTCCGTCTGGTTCTCCTCCGTCGCCTCCGTCTGGTTCTCCTCCGTCGCCTCCGTCTGGTTCTCCTCCGTCGCCTCCGTCTGGTTCTACACCGTCGCCACCGAGTGGCGGCGGAGGCGGCAACACTCCGAGTCCGCCGTCTCGGAGCTCGCCTGCTCCTCCGTCCGAATCGAACCGGACCTCGCCTCCGTCTCCATCGCCGTCTTCATCCGGTATTTCGACCGGCGTGGTGGTCGGAATCGCCGTCGGGGCGGTCGCCGTTCTTGTTGTGTTAAGCATTCTCTGCATATGCTGTCGGAAGAAGAAGCGAAGACGTGACGAGGAGTACTATGCTCCGCCGCCGCCGCCGCGCGGACCCAAAGGTGAGTGATTTTGTCTTTTCTGTCTTTCACCTTTGATCTAATATATTGGAAAATTCTTTCATGTTTTGTCTAATCTTTTTGCTTTTTAAGTTCTGAGTAAATTGAGTTTGGTTTCATGTTTTTCTCAGTGTTTAATTCCTCAGTTGATTCCCTTGCTGAATCTTGTCATTCATGGATGCACATTATTAACTAAGGAAAGCTAATAGCATGTATTTTCATATGTTACAACTTGCTTTTAGTTTTTTTCTTATTTAAGTTCTGTTCTAATTTATTGAAAAATGAATGGCTCCTTTCTTTGTCTTTTCGTGATGTTCGAAGGTATTCGAGTCTGATAACTACTCAGTTTGTTCAAACATCTTAATAAAGATTTTTTTTTTTCATTTAGTTTCTCCAATAGCAGATTTTGAGTTATTAGACATATTCCATTTTAGAAATATTTACCGAGAAGTTTCATGCTGATTTCTTCACTGTTGTTAGAAATTGTTCTAATTCATGACGAAATGAGACTTTTTACCGTGTCTTTTGGTGATGTTCAGAGGTATTCAATTTCAAGTCTAATGATAATTACCAATTTTTGTGCTGTTTTCTTCAAAATTGTCAGATGATACATATGGTGGTCCCCCACGTCAATGGCAACACAATGTTCCCCCTCCTCAAGATCATGTGGTTTCAATGATGCCTCCAAAGCCTTCGCCTCCACCCGCTCCACACGTTGCTCAACCTCCTCCTCCTCCTCCTCCTTTCATCATCAGCAGTGGTGGGTCTGGATCAAACTATTCAGGTGGTGAACCACTTCCTCCTCCTTCTCCAGGAATTGCATTGGGGTTCTCTAAGAGCACGTTTAGCTATGAGGAGTTGGCACGCGCAACGGATGGATTCTCTGATGCGAACCTCCTTGGGCAAGGTGGATTTGGATATGTTCACAGAGGAATTCTTCCCAATGGCAAGGAGGTGGCAGTGAAGCAATTGAAGGCTGGAAGTGGGCAAGGAGAGCGTGAGTTCCAGGCTGAAGTTGAGATAATTAGCCGTGTCCATCACAAGCATCTTGTATCTTTGGTTGGATACTGCATCACTGGGTCCCAGAGGTTGCTTGTTTATGAATTTGTTTCGAACAACACATTGGAGTTCCATTTGCATGGTTGGTACTCTGATTTTAGCTTTCTGTCACAAGTTTCCTTTAAAAAATCTGTTTAGTTGGTCCATCTTTTCTGCTGAAAGTTGGCTAGGCACCAACTTCTACCACTACTATTAGGTGTGGTTGCATAATGCTTTTGATGGAAGCGGTCTTGATGGCTATTTGCAGGACGAGGACGACCTACCATGGATTGGCCCACAAGACTAAGAATTGCTTTAGGATCTGCTAAGGGACTGGCGTATCTGCATGAAGATTGTATGTTTTGCACCTCTGATTTGATTTCTTCTGCTGCTATTAATGTATTTTATGTCAACCTAAATGTTTATTTTGATTTTCTGTACGTCCAGGTCATCCTAAGATCATCCATCGTGATATCAAAGCTGCCAATATCCTTCTGGATTTTAAGTTTGAAGCAAAGGTGTGTTGTTCTGTTACATTTCTTGCCCACAATTGCATAACTTGATAAAACAACTGTTGATTCTTTACCTGATTTAGTCTAATCGATCGAAGTCATAAAACCATTTCCCATTCTTTTTACCTTTAAAATGTTACGTGAAGTTGTCGTAGAATTGCTTAGTATCAAGATCTTTGTCTTTTGTTGACAGGTTGCTGATTTCGGTCTTGCTAAGTTTTCTTCTGATGTCAATACTCATGTTTCTACACGAGTGATGGGGACTTTTGGGTAGGGACAAACTTCCTTCTTTCTATCTGCTCACGAACCTTGGATGTATCATTATAGCTTGTTTAATAATCTGTTATTAATGGATGAATTAACTTGTTATGCTATTCTTTAATGACACCAGAGATAGATAGAGAGGGTACACGTAAATCATAGCCAACAAATCTCCAACTTTCAACTTTAAAGTGGATTATTTTGTGCCTGTGGTGCTTGTGTTATTGTTGTCAGTTTCCATTGGTCTTATTGCTGTCAAGTGTCAACAGCAGTTGATAAGGGAAACCAACAACAATAAGCTGGAATATGTATTTTGTTGTTTGGTGCTGTATTCCAATCTCACGAGTCATGCATCAATTGTTACTTACAGGTATCTGGCTCCAGAATATGCTTCTAGTGGAAAACTCACAGACAAATCAGATGTTTTCTCCTATGGAGTCATGCTTCTTGAGTTAATAACTGGACGACGGCCAGTTGATAAAACTCAAACATTCATGGAGGATAGTTTGGTAGACTGGGTAAGTATTATATTCCTCGATTCTGAGCCTAATTATTACTTGTAACTAAGAAATTCACAGTATGTATACATTTAGAATTCATATGTTTGTGCTTCTTTTCTTTTATTGGACTAGAACATGGTGCTGCAGTGCAGAGCAACTCTTAACTTTATCCATCTTTATCATATCACAGGCTAGACCTTTGCTCACACGAGCTTTGGAAGAGGATGATTTTGAATCTATAATTGACCCAAGGCTCCAAAATGACTATGACCCTAATGAGATGGCACGAATGGTGGCATGTGCTGCAGCTTGCACACGTCATTCGGCAAAGCGCCGACCAAGGATGAGCCAGGTAAACCAAAATACTTTGTTATCATTTTTCAAGTATAAATATGTTAAGCTCATACTTAACTCTCCAATATATAGAATGAAGAATCTTGAGTTGGCCTGAGATATTAGAACATGATCCTTCAATAAGGGAAATTTTTTCTCTGGAAACTAATAATGATGATGATACACAAACTACAGGTTGTGCGTGCTCTGGAAGGAGATGTGTCTCTAGCAGATCTTAACGAAGGAATCAAACCTGGACATAGCAGTATGTACAGTTCTCATGAAAGCTCAGATTATGATACTGCACAGTACAGAGAAGACATGAAAAAGTTCAGAAAAGTGGCATTGGGAACTCAGGAGTATGGTGCAAGCAGTGAGTACAGTGCAGCTACAAGTGAGTATGGTTTAAACCCATCTGGCTCAAGCAGTGAAGCACAAAGCCGCCAAACCACAAGGGAAATGGAAATGAGAAAGATGAAGAACAGTCAAGGTTTCAGTGGAAGCTCTTGATAACAACTGTGTTATGCCTTTATCTTTTGTATAAATCTATATATCCTTGATTTCTTGCCAATGTCACAGTTGATTGCTTTACTGACATCTTTGGAGAGACATACCAATTACTATCAATTTTTTCCTTCCCAAAATGATCATCTTTTGAATTGTATTTATCAGGGTATACAAAAAAAATAACACAGGTCCATTCTTTCATTTTTTTCCCTTCTTATTCAGCTATGGTGTTGGAAATGGATTGCTGCATCAAACCTTGTTCTACAATTTCCATTGTTGCTCATGTGTCAACTTTCCGGTAGTTGGAAGTGGGTTGGTTTTGTTAAAGCGTTGGTATCTGACCTTTGTGTCTCAAAATAAAAACATGTTTTTAACTTTTTAGCTAATTGATTTCTCGTAGAAGACAACAATGAGTTGCACCCACGTTGTTTTCGGTCAGTGTCCAACCACGCATGTGTCATGTGTGGGACGCTGTTTCAGCCTGCAAACGTGGGCACAGCAAGATGGTAGGTTTTAATTCTTGGTCTATCTATTTCGGAGTTTTCAAAAAATTGATGATAAATTGAAGCGTGAATGGTTAAGAAATTGATCTCTAAGCATGAAATAACATTTGCCGAGTGATTAATTTTTCTGAGAAATATTTTATTTTATTGAAAGATTGGTCTGCTTTTCATCGTGATGAATTGAATTAGACCGAGTCAAATGTAGCATTTTTTTAAAGCCGACTTTGTTATTTTTGGCGTTCTTCCATGTGGATTGCAAGATTCATGAATGTTGAATGATGAAAAAGGGTATTTTTTTCAAACCATTTCCAGTGAGATATGCGTCAAATAATTAATTAAACTAGCGATTGAGACTGCAACAAAGTAGCTCATGATTACGTTTGGAGAATGGAGAGATTTAGTGGCTCCAAGAAACCCCACACGGTTTCTGCAAAGTCAGCATGCGCATTCTCGACATCAACTTAACAAAAAGGATTGATTATGAGCTGACTCAGCTCCACTTTTGAGGAAGAAGTATGCTTATTTTGAGGATGTTTATACCCATAACTCATGTTTATAATCAAGTTTAAATGAGATAAAAAAATAAATATAAATTAGTCTCAATTTTTTTAAATCTCCAAAAATAATCACTAAACTTTTGCACACAATCACGTCTTTTAATTAGTAACATAGCTGCGCCAAATAAATTTTTTAATATAATTTTTTCATAATTAAACACGGTTTTTATCCTTAGCAATTAAGCATTCATGTTTTGTACACAATAAGTGAAGTCATTTAAGAAAATGTTTTTGAAACTTATCACAAACTTTTATGTTTATAAAGAAAATAAACATCAAGATGTAAAATAAAATAACACAAAAGATAATTTTTATATATATATATATATATATGGCGGATATTAACCATTGATCTTGAGGGACCAAATAATATATTATTAATAAATAATAAATAAATATAAAAGGAAGAAAGAAGATGAAAGAGTTAAAGGATAAAATTGTAGATATATACTTAAATATATTAAATGATCATTGAGTTTGAGAGGGACAAAATCATAAATTATATGAAAGTTACAAAACTAAGGAATGACCGAAAGGATAAAATTGTAAATATACAAGTAAATATATTAAATGTTCATTAAGTTTAGGAGGACCAAAATCATAAATTACATAGGAGTTACAAAACTTTGGGAGGCCATGATCTCCTCAGTTCCCAACAAGATATGACACTCTATATATATATTAATCCATTAGAGATAAATCCATCCAGTAAAACTCCAAAAAAAACAAAAAAAATTATGATAGAGAATTTTGTCTTACGAACTAGACCAAGTTTAGTGTCCATTGAGGTTTAATTGTTCATGTTTGAAGTTAAGCCAAGACTAACAACGTGTCTATAAACCATATTAATGTGTACTTATCCTTGTTTTATCCATCATAATCTATATTATTGCATCACTACAGTCTGCATCAATTTTTTTCATTTTTTTCTTCTGTTAGAGATGCTTCTGTAGATTCAAACAAACCCAAAGCAAACAATCCCCACCAGATATAAAAGAATGGAACAAGTGAAGGAGTGAAGAATCAAACGGTAAACAAATAATTATCAAACAAGTGGAAGAATAAAGAATCGAAGTGTATAAGGGTTAGAGTGAGTTGTAAGTTAGAAAGGGTTTACAGTTTTTCCACACAATAATTATATTTGAGAGTTTGTAATTTTTTTGTCCTAAAAATTGTACATTGAGTAATAAAATATTGTTGAATATGTTATAGGACTTAAGGTGCTGAATGTTAAAGTATTTTGTGTGTTTTTAATTGTTTGTTATGGATGTGTGCATCTGCTGATTGAGTGTTGTGTGCAGGTGTTATCTTCCCTTTTGGTATCCAACAAGAGTTTAGTAAGTTATAATCGAGAAAGACTCGTTACCTAATGTATTAACGTGTTTTAGGTTAAAGACAATACCATATTAATCGCGGTATCAAATCCGAAAGTTGGTTCACTATGGAGGCGATATACCAATGGGAATATGTTATAAACAGGAGAAAAATCCATAATCTAATGCTTTTTGATTGAAAGTTGTCTCATAAATTTTATTATATAGGTCACTCTTATCCATTCGGGAAAATCTCCATGCTGTTGGGCTACTCGAAATACCTCACAGGGAGTCTTAAATTTCCATGCCATCTAAAACTGGGATGTTCTGCTACCATCGACTTGACCACAAGTTTTGCGTATGACTCGTGGATCATTCCATGAAGGGTCATCTTGTAACCTCCTGATACGAAAAGTTAACTTCAATTGTATCGAGTCCAACGCAGTACTAAGTTTCCGACTTAGGGACAGCATAATCTCTTCAGACGGAGTCTTATGCTATAAGACAAAAGTGACTGAAACCGGTTTTCTTGGGATAGTGGAGTTTCTGCCATGTAGTGGAATGGAGTGGACTAAGACAAGGATGACCGTTGACGCATGGGGTGGTGTTACGGAGACCAAAGTTTACATGTATGGCACTGCAAAGAGGTGCGGTCTTTTTGTTTCGGAGTTGAAGAAAAATGGAGATGATAAAAAACTTGCTAGTGCAATGACTCTGGCACACTATTTTGTTTATAGTAACGGAGAAATAGCTGTTGAAAGATCGAATAAAACAATAGATATTGGGTTTTCTGTTGTGGTAAAGGTTGGAGTATCTGATGGCAAACTTGATATAAGGGTGGATGGTCCTGAGCAACACCCTGTTTCTGCATTATTGTACATGTTTGATGAAGTCAATAGAACCGGAAATTGGAGCCCGACCATGTGCCTTCATTGTGGTAACATTCGGAGGGAGCATAGCAGAATGTTGTGGCAGTCAGATAGTGAAGACAACGGTGTTCCCAGACCATCACCTGGTCTTGAGAGATTATTAATAGTGGAAAGTTCGCGGGGAACGGTAATGGTGGTTCCATTAGATGCAAAAATTTTGTTGTTTTTTAAGGGAACATGCTATAATCTCATTGTTAACATGTGCTGCCAGAATCACACACTAGACAGGTTAATCTTGGAGGAACAAAATAATATATAGGTGTGCTCTTCTTTCTTGCACAAAAAGTTATATACAGCAGATTGTATTATGCAGAATCCAAGATGACTTCACGTTTTCTTTCTCAATGATTCACAAGACAGGAAAAGAAGAATAAGGGATGACGCTATATTAATCAACCAGCATTTCTATATATCTTTTTTGGTTTGCTTTTTATGTTCATGCATGCATAGCTCATATTCCATGAACAAGTATTTCTATGAGCAACAATATTCTATACATCTCATTCTCTGAAATGTTGATAGCAACAACATTACTGAGAATAATGTTATCAATCACCATGTTCTGCAATATTGTCTATTTTGGATAACAAACTCTCGACTCCATCACGGTCTTAATTACATAAGAGAGAAGGATATATAAGATATATAAAAATTATCATGACCTCCATGCCAGATTTATGACATACTAGATCAGTAGTTAAATTTGGTCTCGTTTTCTCTGGTGAGCATGGTTGAGATGTTCCCATGCCAAAATTATAAATAAAGTGATTATAGAATGATCTTGTGTAAGGAAAGCGTTGTTCTTCCGCACATCAATTTAGTAAGCATCAAATTTGTCATTTTCCCCAACCACTTTTCTCTTTCTAGTGTTTTTGCTTTTTCAACTACGATTCTTTATTCGTCCACTTGCTTGGATTCATCCACTTGTTCGATTCTATTGTTGGTGGTGTTTACTTTTTTTAACAATGTGGTAGATTCAAAACCAGTTTGGGTGGTTTTAAACATAACTCATTTTTAGTTGTTAAGATCAGCTTGTTTTTTTTCCTTCTTCTAAAAGATATCTTTGTCAGGTTATAGGCAAATCAATAGTGATTATAATCTGTTGATGGTTATTGCAGTGATTATTGAAATTAATGATAATAATAATAATAATATGATAATATTAAGTGTTTTATAATGTTAACCTGATGATATTAATGATAATAAGAGTAATTTTTGGATTAAAAATTAAATCTATAATATTTTTAAATGAATAAAAATGTGTCGAAACTGAGTGAAAAACCATTTTACCTTAAAATTTTGAACATATTAGACTTCAATTTTGTGTAAATGATAGAATATGTGATTCTAAAACCAGGACCATGTCTAAGAAATTAATTTATCTGTCCATTATGCACTTGATGTTAATTTCAAATAAAATTGAAATAATTTAGAAAATTGGTTCAAGATATTTATCTCAACTTTTTACCTTGTTATAGGAAAAACACACACAAGTAGATAATTCACAAAAGTCATAGAGCTTGTACCATTTAAGAGGTTAAGAAAAGGATGAAACCTACTTGAAAAAAGAAAACTGCAGTACAATTAGTTATTAATTAGCTATAAAACATTGCTGTACCAATGGCCATAAACTATATCACTATCAGAAAGTTTGTGCATTTGAAAAGCATCCAAACAGCAAAAATTTTACAACTCTGGATTGGAAATAATGATGGTGTGAGTGATGCTGCTAATGCTACAGTGGGTTTGCTTTGGAGGCTAGTGTCACAATTAACATTAATTAATGTAATGTAATGCTAAACTATATATTGGCCAATCTACCAGAACTTGATCCTTTCCTTCGTCTACGTCTCTTTTGGCGAATGCGCCAAAAACTTAGTAGCAAAACACCTGCCAGAAGTAAAATACATGAAACATAAAAACAACATAGATATAGTGGCCTAAAAATGGATGGTAAAAAGCACGTAGTTTACTAACCTGTTGCTGCAACCACAACAGGAACCATCCAGTGACCAAGAACCAGTAGAGGTGCATCAGGCTACAAGAATTATCAAAGGATTCAGAATATCAGCAATATGCATGATCTGAAAAAAACACAGATCAACACTAAATGAATAATACAATAGTTGTTTCCTTTTCATACCTCATCTCCATAGAACAGGCCTAAGTACCTGTTCCCCAGAGAATCATCCTTGTTTCTTACAGTCAACCTAGGCCGCCTAAAGTTAGAAGTAACAGAGGATGAATTGAAACCCCTCCCCAAATCAATGACAGGAACACCGGGCAGTCTTCTGTTTCTTCCTCTGACTTGCAATCTGTAGCCCTTAGTTCCCCAGATTTCAAACCTTGTGTCAGTCCTGCATATCAATTCCTTACCCACAATACCTGAATATGCAGAGAAATTTACATCAGTTCTGCGGGATGGTAACTGATTGTCAGCTTCATATAAGGGAGAGTCTTGTTTATTTGAATCAGAGAAAAGTGCTGGATCTCTAATATCTTCACTGGTAAAATCTAGCATTTTCCTAAGAAGGGAAAAACAATTCGTAACCATATGACTGCTGTCCAAACAATTGGAGTCTCCATACACAGCTATGCGACCTTCACCCATTGCCGTGAGACCAAGAATTGGAGAATCTGCCTGTTTCACCAAAAAGAAACCATATTTCGAAATTAGAAAGTAAACACTTAACCTTGGATTTTCCTTCAAGGCTACATTTATCAATGTTTGTTTTAATGTAAATCACTAATAAGATAGAAGGTGACATCTCACACCTTGGTTGAGCCAGAAGTTAGCAGCACATTCTTTGTGGCTCCACTTTCTGAACTATCTAAGAAGGGAAAGCTATGAACATATCCACCGCTTGGAAACCTCACTATATTTGTCCCAGATGCATAACGATTCTGCTCACCCAAAAGTGAAAAATCACCATTCAGAATCTTATTTCCAAAAGCAATCCCAAATGGTGCCAAAAGATCATTCAGTGCAGGAATATTAGCACCTCCAGTGACTGGGGTCCACCAACTCCGTGTATTGTCATCAAAGAATCTCATCTTTACCATAGAATCTACATTATACCACTCAGCAAAGACAGCTAATCCCAATCCAGTATTTACAACATCATCTCTCAGTTTTTGAATCTCCTCAGCAAAATACTCATCCTCAAGATCCACCAACAGAAGTGTTCCATAATGCTGAGCATCAAAGCATGTAAGAGGTGAGCCAAGTGTTTCAATATAGTAACCAGCATCTCGTAACATGTTGAACATGATGTGAAAATTTGTGTGCAGGTGATCCCCATGCCAGTCAAGAATGTCATTACGAACATCCAAGGAATCTCTAGGAATATAACCAGGTGGGTATTTGATACTGTGAAACTGATCCCACAATATTCGTTTAGATCGAGGTGGTGTTGGCACCACATTTAACGTTAAATGAAGCACACAGATGCTAACTCGAGGGTCCTTCTCCCCTTGAGCCGGGGGGCTAGAAACCTTGAGAGTCACATTACCTTCAATCTTACCAGAAAACTGTGCACCTTCTTCCTTGATTTGCATGTGAAGAGCCAAATAACCAGTCCAAGGCCAAATGAGCTTAGAATAAGTAAAATGTATGTTTAGAAGATTCCCTTCTTCATCGAAAGGATGCCATGTTGGTGGACTTTCAACATTTCCAATAACACCCATTCCATTCAAAATGGTGGCATTGAAGATGACAGGCATGGCACCTGCATAAAGTGGCTGACGACAAAAGGGCCATGTGTAAGGACAATCTGTATAATCAAGAACACTGGGAAAGATGCTTGCCCTAGGTTTGTAACTCTTAAGAATCTTATATGATTCTAACCTGAAAATGACATAAACAAATAAGAAAACATGATTAAAGAACAGTTAGATTATCTGGAAAGTCCCAATTACTTTTTTTTTTTGGGAATTTGAAATCACTGTACATTAAAAATCATATATGAATCCCTATAATTTCAAAAGCTTTTTGAATTCTTGAATCAGGTGTCCAAGTTAGGTCCCCACAGGAGCCAGCTAAAGCAGTTATGAAAACAAGGAACTCATTTTTTGTCCAATTAACCCAAACCTGTTGCCCACAACGAGTTCTGCCAAACTGGTTGAACAAGCTTTTTTAGTTTACTTAATTTGTTTTCTTATAATTTTTATTGTTTTGTAATATATACATATAGGTAATTAAACCCACGGGTTAACTCGCAAACTCAAATGAATTTGCAAGTGTAGTCACTAGCCACAAGTTAATTCGCCTGTCAGTTTGGGAGGAGACTGGCAAACTCAAGCAGACTAGTGAGTTTATTGCTAAGTCAGCGAGTCCACGTGAACGAAAAAGATTTATTCAAAACAACTCCAAGAACTTTGTTTGCATCTTTCATTTAAAGCACATTATTAGGTTTTCGTATTACCCCATTTTTCTCAATGAATCATTTCTCCTTCCATGGTGTGCCGATTCTCTCCTACATTTCATTTTCTTTCTGGTTTCCTTCACCTCTGCATTGTGACTGAGCTTTGGTTTGGACTACATTTTGACAACCATGTTCATCTCCTCTGTGTTTCATGTGAGTCCTCAGGCAACAAGTGATTTGGCCACTGTTTTCGTCTTCTCTGCTCTACAAAGCAATAGGCTCATTCTCCTTATTCGTTTAGGTTCATTCCCATTCGTTTTTGTTCCGTAATTTTAGACTTCTTCTTCTTTTCATTTTTGTATTCTTATCATTGTTTTTGGACTTCTGTTCTTGTGTTCAGTCCCACAAAGCCTCTAAGTTGGGACTTCGTTGTTGATTTACTTTGGAACTTCAATTGTTAAAATTTTGTGGAATTGTTGCTTTATTTTACTTGATTTTGGTGTTGAATTGGTATGTTATGTACAGGTATTATTTCTTTTTATATGAAATCCACTCTTGTGAGTCAATTCTTCGGAGCTCCCATGAGTCTACAAAGACTTTCAAATTTGATAATCTTGCATATATGTTTACAATTGGTTCGAATGTGGTTTGGCCAATAAATTATGAATGTATATACACATACACTCACTAATTCATTGTCCAGTTTGGTTTCTAACACGTTGACAACTATAATAGAAACAATAACTCCGCAACCATTGCTTTACTATGGTAATTTCTATGTCGCAAAAAGATATATCTTAAAACAAAATAAAATAGAAAGCTAAACAAGAGAACTTACAGATCAACTCTGCCAGCACCCTGCTCATACATGTTAGGCCCAGAAAGCTTTGCAGCACCCTCAACCAATGCTTGTTTCATGCTTGCTGGGTTTAAGATACTTTTTCTCTCAGGTTCAGGAATGATACTGACAAGCAAACATACAACACCAGCAACTACAGGACTCGCAACACTAGTTCCTGATAAACTTTTACAACCTGCACTAATTTTTGATCCCATAATGTCCCGTCCATATGCAACTATGTCTGGCTTAATGCGGCCGTAACTGCAAGGTACAAGATGTCAATATGATTTAAAAAACTATTAACAAGAAAAAAACCTTGCATATGAATTAATGTTACATAAAAAACAGATGACAAGAATAACTCATGTATCATATAAAAAATCTTTTCATCAATTAAATATCTAACATGCCAATGTAGAATTACCTAGGCTTCACAGAAAGCTCATCAGTTCTTTACATAGGATCACTACAAATTGGAAGTGGAAATAATGCCTCACGACAAAATATGGGTAATTAGTTGTTTGGACTCAAATATCCATTATTCACCAACTAAAAGTATTTGCATAAACAAAATGCTAGGAAAAAGAAAACAGAAGTCATCATAAAAAATATTCAACAGACGACAGTGAAGCACCGACACTGAAATACAAGCTATAAAAACAAATAAGTGAATGTTACCCATGTGGAAGCTCCCAGGTACTCATGCCACGTGAGGAAAAGGAGGCTATATGGTCACTATAGTCAATACCACCAACACCGATGACATCACTTTGATCTGCTGGATTGTTCAGAGTTCCATAGAGTGGTCCATCATTTCCAATTGCAGAAACCATGATTATGTTATTTGCTGTTATCTCCCATATCTGCTAATCATAAAGCTCTATAAAAGGACATTTCTGTATTCTGTGAAAGAATAACTACAGCATAGAAATACCAAAACTGAATACTGGCTCTTTTAATTATAGCAGTTACAGCAGAGAAACTAACATGTCATGTTATAATTATTCACCAAATAATACCCAATCATATCTTCATAAGTATATATTTTGTAATTTTCGACCTCAAAACAAACGAAACACAGAACCTAATAATAGTATTGAATTAGTGGGCTGGAGCAGATAGGCACAAGAAATTTACCTTTTCAACAAACGGGAGATCCATGTAATCAGGTCCACCTATGCTCAAATTTAGCACATCCATATTGGTTGCAATTGCATAGTTGAATGCATCAAGGAACCATGATGTATATGATACCTGCAATAGGCTGAATGCAATCTTCTCAAAATCTTGCCAACCATTATGGAATAGAATAATTATAGGCAGAAAACTAGAAAAAGCAAAATACAATATGCATTTATAACTAGTGAGATGCATCTAGGTGTAGCTTTTACTCTTGGTTTATAAATTTCTGTTGAAAGTTACATCATGCATCTATAAATGAAGATATTTTTGGTGTCTGGGTGAAAGAGATCTCATTTCCATGCAGTCAAAGAGTTTAACTCAACCCCCTCCCAGTCCAAAGCAAGAAAAGAGTTCAACAGGCATTACCTGTGCATCAGTGAACACTCGAAAGGCGTAAATCTCTGTGTCTGGTGCAAAACCAAGGCACTCAGAATCTACACCAGCAATTACACCCGCAACAAAAGTCCCGTGTCCAAGGTTATCATTTAATGTATCTTCATTGGTCCAATTAGTACGCTCCTGTAAAGTTCCTCCATCATTCAACTCATCCACCATCAACCAAAAACAATTATTTCAAATCAATAATTACCTTGATGTTACGAAAATGAGGGTGATCAGCCCTAATGCCAGTATCAAATATAGCCATCTTGACCTTCGCACCAGTGTACCCTTTCGCCCAAAGATCCTCAGCCCCAAACATTGAAGTAACTTGTGATCTCTTCCAAAACCAGAAACACCTCAAAACATGCAATTGCACTCTTTCAATTAAGAAATTCAAATATAGCAAATTTAAGTTTGTGTTTGGATGAATATCCACAAAATTGAAGCTGAATTAAATTGATTTTTAAGTAGAGTGATTTATATTTACATGTTTTCATCATCAAAGCAGGTTAGTAATAAAAGTATAATGAAAATCAATTTTAAACCCATAATCGGGTACTCATCATGAGACCAACTAGTTTAACGTTTACCTAAAATCAGGTTAACTACTATCATGGTAATCAATGTGAATTTGGATGATCAGTCGTGAATCCACTTGGTACCACATTCCAAATATGATTTTCATGTTTCCCAAGAAGCTAATAGGATAACTTCCACATCCCATTCGTAATTTCAGGTTTCCAACCAAACAGACTATAAAGCAACATAGACAAAGCAATGCCAACAACCATAACCAAAGCTACCAAATCAAAGTTCAAATATTTGTCGTTCCCCCCAGATACCCAACATCAGAAAACCAAAAATTTTCACCTGCATCAACAATTCCCGCCCCCACTTGACGGAACTGCTGCGATTGCCAACATTTTTTTCATCTTCTTCTTCAGCCTCGCAAAACGACATCGCAGTGAAGATCTTCCCGGGGCGCTTCTTCGTCCCATCCTCGAACGCCCCAACCTTCTTATTGCGCTCCTGACCCTTCGTCATCAAACCCCTCTTGTAGCTCAGGTCCAAGCTCACATATTTAACCGACCCCAGTCCCCGAATCTCGTCGACCACCTCCGGGTCCTCGATCGCGACCAGCCCAAAATCGGTGGGGAAATGCGCCGCCGGGTTCAACCGCGGGATCCAGCGCCATCCCGCAGGACGGAGGGCGGATTCGAGGTATGCGCGGTGGCGGTCGGCGGCGGCGTAGTGGCGGAAGGCCACGATGTAGTTGGGAGAGGGCGGAGAGGAATTGGGGGTTAGGTTTTCGAAGAGGGTGATGGAGAGAAGGATGATAGAGAGAGAAAAGGTGCTCCACTGGTGGGGAATGGTGGCCATGGCGATTGGCGGCAAAAAAAAAAAAAAAGTTGCTTGTTTTTCTGCTCCTACATTGGAGAGAGAGTATATAACAGAAAAATGAAATAGAGAAAGAGATAGAGGTTTATGTGTATGGTGTTGTTGTTTGTTTGGTTTGTGTTGTTTTGGGATCTCTTTGTCTCAATCATATATCGAAGTCTTCTTCTGTCTCTCTCCCATGTTCTTTGGCTCAGACTCTCTTCATCCATACATAACTCTCTTTTTCAAACTTTTTATTTTTTTATTTTAACATCAAATATTAATTATATCATTTTTAAAAAATATTAAGATTCTTTTATATATATTACTAAAGATGACCTTACTTTAATTGTCTTAAATTTATATTTATTATCTATCTCTATTGTATAGATATATAGGTTGTTAAAATGTTGAAATTGAGTGAAATTATTTATATTTCTCTCACATTAAAATATGTTAACTTATGTCAGAAACTCTCTTAAATGCATACACAAATATTGATAATTTGTTTTATATAATATAGTTGTATTCGGATGATTATTTTTAAAATTAAGTTTTTCTTATTTTAATTTTAAGTAAAATACATTGATAAATCACATTGTATATATTAGATTATTAATTAATTGATTCACTGCATAAAACATATTTTATTATACAATTGATACCAGTCTTTACTGTAAAATAATAATAAAAAGTAGAGGAATATTGCAATTTGTTTTAAAAAATATACGGTTGACTAAGAAGTTAACACATACAAGAAATACCTATTTTAAATATATTTATTTCTAAAATGGAAATAATATCAATTTTCTGATAGTCAAACAAGTTTGCCAAATGATTTTTGTTGTGACAGAAAGTGGCAATGGCGAGAGGGCTAATCCTATCTTCGCCAACACTCACTGCAACAACTTGTCTCTTTGCTTGCATCTCCAAAACCCCACCAAAAAGTTTCAATCTTTCATTTGGTTTTAAACCTGTGCACCATCAATATCATCATATTCTTCCCTTGGCTTGCTGCCTCAGCGTATCTTCTTCCCCTTCCCAATGTTCAATCAACATGTCCAAATACACAGAAGCATTTTCCAGACGAATGGCCATGGCTGGTCTCAAACCCCATCACCGAATTGGTCAGCTTCTCTTTGTCTCACTCCTTACATCATACAGAAAAAATTATTCCCTTTTGGAAAATTTTGCTATTTTCTCAACTCGGCGTGTGTGCCGTGCCCTTCTTATTATACTTGTGTCAGAATCGAGCTTAAAAAGTAGTATGCTGATAAATTGAGAAGAGTGCTGAAACTTCTAGAATATTGTCAGTTTAGTGATACAATAAACTAGTAGTCTACTGCGTTGTATATTAACTGTTTGATGTTATGATACCCTTTTCCTATCAGCTTTGGGAGTCTCTGGTGGCCCTGACAGTATGGCACTCTGTGTGTTGACTGCTGGATGGAAAACTGCCGGTGCTAATGTTGTCACAAGTGAGAATGGTGGTCTCATAGATGGGCTACTGGCAATAATTGTTGATCACGGTCTGCGAGCAGAGAGCAAAGAGGAGGCCAACGTTGTTTCACACCGAGTATCAAAAATGGGTTCGTTGTCCAAATCTGGTTGCTTTATCTGAATGGAATATGCATCTTTTCATTTTGTGTTTTCACGCGACCTTATCATAGGTAATTTGAAAATACTGATAATGACTTTCTTTATAAACATTAAATAAACGAGATTTTTGTCAAATTTGTGGAGGTTCACGAAGAGAATGATAGATAAAAATTTTACATGGCAATTTTATGTACATATTTAACATGAGAGGATTCATTTTCCTGTGATTTCATAGTGTGGTAACATGACTTGAGTCATTGAACTTCTCCAGCTATAAGTTTGGCTGACATAACATAACATAGACACTTATTGCAGGAATCAGATGTGAGATATCCTGTTGTGATTGGCCAAGTGGCAGGCCAAAAAAGGGTCATTTGCAGGAAGCTGCCCGTGAAATGAGGTTGGTGCATCTATTTATTTTATTGAAAAATATTAGATATCTATTCTAGGAAGTTAGGAAATTTGCTAAAGTATACTAATTGCAGATTATGGTTTGCTGAACTTTAGGTATCAAATCTTTCAAGAAGTTTGTGCCCAACACCAGATTGGGGTATTGCTTATTGCACATCATGCTGATGATCAGGTTTGATACTTTATGTTTTCATGTATCTGCAATTCTTCATTTTCCCACATTGTTATGATGATGTCACATGTAGGAGCTCTAGTATTAGAACATGGGGTTTGGGCCTAACTCAATCTCATAAACTGGTTTGTATGGTGAGGTTTTATCATGTATATATATATATATATATATATATATATATATATATATATATATATATATAACTCCCAAAGAGGCCACAGCTAAGGTGGGCTATGGGTGGTCACAATTAGGGTAGTTTTCCAACATCTAGGTATTTATGATTGATCATCAAGTGATTCTTAATGTTTGGGCATAGACAGTCTGCATGTGGTTAAATACTTAAGACAATATTTTAAAACTAAGTGAACTTTTTGAGTGATAAATGGCTAAATCTGGTGTATTATTATCCTGTATCCTTTTAAGACATGCTCAAGATGTTAGACATGTAGTGATTGTTGAGAAACAATGCAGGCCGAGTTATTTATTTTAAGGCTTTCTCGAAATAGTGGTGTGCTTGGACTTGCAGGCATGCCTTTTACCTCCCAGATTTTCCCTACATATACACGCTCCAACCAAGAAGTTCAAGTAAACCATGGGATTCTTCTTGTGAGGCCTCTTCTGGAATTTTCAAAGGAAGATATGTACAAGGTTGGTTTTAGATATTAGTTTGGTTATGGTTTGCTCTTTTTCATGATCTTTTTGATAGTTATGATAAAAATAAATAAAATTATCTGTACAGATATGCCAAGGAGGTAGTAAGGATTGGGTGGAAGACCCTACTAATCAAAGTCCATTATATGCACGCAATAGGATAAGAATGGTGCTGAATAATTTCTCATATTGTAAGTTGTGATAATGAGATTCATGATTTCTTTAATATTACTCTGATAATTTGTTAAGATCTTCTATTAATCATCCCTTTTGGGTGGAAAGCACTCATTCTGGTTCACCCCAAACTCATTGAATTGTCGTAAACATGGTTCTTAAACATCATAGTGCATGTGCAATTTTAAAATATCTATATTTGCAGTAAAGGGGAGAAAAAATGAATTTGTTTTTCTATCCTTGATTATACAAGGTCCCCCTTTATTATAATTTATTGCCTTAAAGACATTTACAATCTCTGCCTCTTCCCTATTGACTCTTGCCCCCTCCTATCTCAATTAATTGTCCACCTGACAATTTCTAATATGAATGACTCCATGTGGCTGTAATATTCTGTTACTACTCTTCCTCTTGCTTCTGTAATCTTTTTTTAATGAGTGGTTGTGATTTACTAACAGACTCCTTTCAATAAGGAGATTTTTGGCAGTCAGCACTAATTTCTGAAGTGATTATTTTAGATAGATTCACTGTCTTTTCTGTTCATACATTATAAGCCTCCTGCCATGACCTGGGGCAAGCACAACATATTCTGAGAAGTTGTCATCTGTACTGTATGCTAAAAATTGAGTTTGTGCTAATATAAAATACCATTTTATTAAGGTTTTGAAGATCAGGTGGAATAGTCCTGATTTATATGGAAAACACAGGCTGAATTGTCTAAATATATTTTTTTTTTTAATATTTCCAGCTAAATTCAAGTTTGAACTTCAAGCAATAATTTCTGCATGCAGAATAACACGCACATATGTTGATCAAATTGGCTACAGCTTGATATGTAATGCTGTGATTATCAAGGATGTGAGTATCACTTAAATTCTTATCCCATTCATTGCTTATTTGAACAATACTTTGAAGTTTAGAATGGAATAACTAAATATCATGTCAATGTTGTTATGGAAAATAGTACATATAAGCCTCTTGTCTGTATGTTGCTTAAGTTATATTAATCTATGTCCCTGGAATTTACTATTGTCCTATATGTTGGGATTGTTGCTTGGTTTCTTTTTGCAGCATGGTTATGCTGTTATTGATTTACAGATTCTTTGTCCTTTGAAAATTGAGGATATATGCCTGATGAAATTTCTCTCCTTGGTCTTACAGGTGCTTCTAATTGTATATCTTACTATTTTATTTTCGAACCTTTGTTTTGTACATTACTTTTGTAATTGTTGTCAAATTTATTGTTTTAGTTTGTATCACAAAGGAAAAGACAAGTCAGAGGTAGTGCTATGAAATTGCTAATGGACTACATTCGTCGATTTCCATGCAAGGTAAAATTGCTTTCCTAACAAAAGTAAAGAAGTTTATCTAATATTTCCTTTACAACATTCAAATTTATCTAAATATTTAATTAATAAAAATTTTAACTTTTCATTTTGTCTTCAATTATCCTGTAGAATTCTATCACAGCAGCAGGTTGTTACCTTTGTCCAGATCCTGGTTCTAGAGGGTCTAGAGTCCTGGTCTGCTGCTTTTCTGACGACTGTGCTTTGCCTTTGAAGATGGAATTTTTTGGGTCTCACTCTTATGGACAAGAAGTGCATTGTGCTGCCAATGAGTTAGAAAAAATTATAGAGGATGAGAACTCATACGCAAATCACTTGGTTCCAGATGCATCAGATGTACACTTTTTGGATGTGGAACATAACTTAATTTTGACTGAAGCCAAAAGGCTAAACATCATCAGTGAACCAACCTACAACAGTATTCTTGCTTTGCAGAAGCAAGAAACTACTTACTTCAGGTCTAAAACTGAGACCATCTCGGACTCTGAATCAAAGCATGGAGTTGAAATTGTTACCCCTTTTAGCAAATTACTTAATCCAGGACAATTTTGTTACTTCATGGATCGATTCATTCTCACATGGAATTTGAAAAATAAAATTGATGAAGATGAATATCCTGGTCTAGTTGATTATGAAATGGATTTGAGTGAGGAAGCCAGGAGATTTTGTTGCACATATTGTGTAGCTGGTCATAATAAAATACATATTAAATTACCTGAGGTGCGACACATGATTGAATCTGATTGGCTGTATCTTGCTGAGTTATCAAAATATCCACTTTCCAAAAACTTCCCCCACTACGAGGTTAAATCAGTGAATGGAACTAAGCAGATAATGGACAGAACATTTCCATGTTTGCACTATGCCAGTGTATCAGCAAAACAAGCTCTCCGCAAGTTAAAATCTATCCCAGTTGCTGCAAGGAGAAGCCTGCCTGTTTTGGTCAATGAACAAGGACAACTACAAAGCATTCCAGTAAGTTGATCTTTCCATTGCAATGTTTTACAAGTCTGACTTCATGACACTCCCTGAATATTGATAATCCTTATTATTTTTATTCTTTCTATTCGTTATATTTTGCTTTATTGTCGGCACTTGTCTTTTGGGACCTGATTCTACATCCTTATTATTTCAGAGTGTTAATTTCAAGCACTGTCCCTTCCTGATGGTGCATATGGAATTTAAGCCAAAAATACCGCTTGGGGGAGGTCATACCTCATTCGTATAGCAAAATTGTGTCAACTCTAAAGGTCATGATTGCAAGAATGTTTTGGTTATGGGTTCCCCGATTTGAACTGAGACGAGCTGTAACCATTCATGACCCCAGCCAATTTCAAGTCAACCAAAAGGGACACATCAACTTGAATGATCAGTATCCAAGCTGTGGCCATCCCCAACAACCACCATCTGCTTCCTTGCCAAACAAAGTTCTACTTCCAATCCATGACCTTGCACAGGCCAATGGATATGAAAGTGTGTAAAGATGACATCATTAATGGTAGGACATAGAATTTTCTTAATTAACCAAGCAGCACATGCAAATTACCTTAGTTTCACGGTTAGCATCCATCAGGCTTTGTAAGAGTTGACTCCTGTACATGTTTGAAAGTAACACACGGAACCCAAGCTTGTTGCGGATAGATCCTCTTAGAAACCTGGTAAATTGGCGGGTAGAGATTGCTTATTAGGAATGTAGGTTCATTTTTTGTTTTGGGCTTCTTAAATATAACTTGGTAAGAGTACATTTTCATACATGTTCATTATATAGTTGGATATGAACGAAAGAAATAACACAAATGTAGAGCATGGCGACCAATATTGGCTAGTCTATGTTCACCAAAGTATTGATCACAATCAAATGGCATAGAGAGCATATGAAGTGGGATCCCCTCAAATGTTAGAATTTAGGAAACCTTAATATCAATGATCAATACCCAACTGGTTGCTAATGTTTGACAAACCATTGGTGTTCTAAAAGATGCTAATGGAATTCTAAATTGTTTGAAGAAGAATGCGAGCTATGTGAAAATCTTGGAAGCCGCAAGGTAGCACTGAAGATCATGGAGACGGTTTACAAGAGACACATATATGTAAAGGAAACATAAGCAAAATGATAGTCATCTGACAGTATGATGCCATTTCCATTACTTTTACTGGTTCAAGTTCTTTTGGGATACAGCCTTTGATTATAATTAGGCAGCAAAATCAATATTAAAATCAGATTTTTAGGCCTTTCCATGGCTGCTGCAGAATGGTGTAAATGTAATAAGGATCTGGTTTTCAGCAGTGTTATGTCATGAAACTAAAATCCAGTGGCAGCAGATTTAATTTGCTTCATGACAGTAAACATGCCAGAATCTTTTAAGTAGGAGATTGTAAATAAAATTCATGGAATTCAGAATATAATTTATATTTTTACAAATTTTTTCATTTAAATTGCATATTTTGTATTTCTCCTACTCATGTTTTCACTCAATACTGAAGTGTGTGAGGGACACCTGCGTACCAGAATTAACTAATTCACTTTGCTTTGCACATGCAAATTACATAGAAAACTGTCAGAAACTTAATATTACGTGTCCTTACTGCTTTCTGATTGGGGTCACGTTCTTTATTTATTTGGGCAACTAGTCTAGTGACCTAGCTGACAATAAGATGGGAGAAAATTTTGAACCATTCGTTTTTCAAGTTGCATTATACGTAGAATTTGATTCTTGTGAATATTGCCCTCTCCATTATTTAGTTTATGACACCTAAATACCTTTAGCATTATAATGGTGGCTATCATATTTTTCATCTTAATTAATATTTATAGTTTTATATAACGCCATACTTACAGCTTGCAAGGAAAACTAGGACAATTTTCTGTGTGATTGGTTTATGATGTGTTCCAATTTTATTTTCCATGTTTATGAACACTTGTACAATACCTCATAATGGTTCAGAGTTTACATTTTTTGCGAATTAAATGTTGTTTGGCCACCACCTATTAATCACTCTTTCAAGTTATTCAGTGTCATTTTGCAACCATCATTATACGTCATTTTACATTGTAGGACTACTACTGTACAATGCTTGCTACTGTTTGCATTATCAAAATCAAAATTTACTACAACCGAAGATTGCTATAATTGCGATCCCAGCTAACTTGAACAAAAATACCCCACAAACTGTTCCATTATCAAATGATGGTTAAAATTACTGTGATAATTAATGTGCGAGACCATCATAGAATTTTCGTACAAGGCTAGCTAGACATTAGGCAATAGGATTAGGAAGAGCCTAATTCAGTGACTACTGACAAATATAAAGACAGACTTTTAGTTCAAAGAAGCTTTCATTGCATCACTTAAATTCAAGTTAGCTAGCTTGTCCTATTGAAAGATATTTTTTTTAGTTTGTGTTAAAAAAATCCTCTTAAATGTAGTCAGTTTTATTCAATGTCTTGATCTCTGAACCATAGAGGTTAGAGGGCACCTTACAATTGATGTGGTTTAGAGGAATATGAAAATTTTGATATCCATCTTTGAAAGCCTTGTTATGACATGGCATCCATAATGAATTCTACACTTCTACCTTATAAATTGCATCCCTTCTGTCCATTGATCCTTAAGGATATGCATAATTAATGTGACAATGGAGTTAAAATTTGTTAACTTGTGTTCTTTTTGCTGCATCTCTTCTTGGCCATGTTGTTTTTCAAGAAGCAAATAAACAGTTTATTTTTGCTATTAATTTTCAGTTTCTCCTGCAGTGCGTACCCTCAGTGAATAACAGCTACAATTTGCTGGTGTGAGAGAGTGTTCAAATAGCATAATTATGCAGATTAATTCATTGTCTACAATAGGGTGTTTGTTATACCTGGTTTTGTTAAGAACAAAATTAAGCTTCTCTACTCTCTAATTTACAGTATGCAAATAATCTTCTTGGATCACCAAATTAAGCGTATGCAGATTAATCTATCTGACATCTTGATCACAAATTAGCTTCTACTTAATTTATAGTATGCAAATAACATAACTGTTGTTTAGGCTTTTCCTTTTTTTGAGAATAAATTGTTGTTTAGGTTTACTCTACCAAGCTAACAACTTCATTGGATCCCTTTATTTTAGTCCCAACTTGTTTTTATTTTTCGGTTTTAACAGAGCAAAAGAATCTTAAAAAAATATTTAATCCCAAAAATCAGAAAAAATATAATAATAATAATAATAAAAGAATCCCTCGTTTTCAACCCGGGCGTTTTTCAATTATTCGACGCCATCCAATCAGAAGCTCCCACGTGTTCCTTGCCATAACACACATGTCGCCTTTGTACTGAACTTTCTACCTACCGTGGTGCTTGTTGCACCGGATAATACCTCACCTGAAAAAATAAATAACTATATTATCAATTTAAGGCTATAAGTTAGAAAAAAACTAATTTTAATAATTTTTAACATGTGTATTTAGCAAAAGTATGTTGTTCTTTTTACAGGTAATTTTTTAATTAGTTTTAAAATCAATTATAAATATTACAATAATAATGTATTTAATTAATTCAAGTTATTATTATTATTATTAAGTAAGAATAAGTAACTTTAATTATCAGATTAAATAAAACATTTCAAAATTAAGTTGTGAACACGAGTAATTTATATTTGGGGATTAAAACCAATATAAATATTAAAAAAATCAAATTGCAAGAAAATCTTTATGTAAAAAAAAATACAAAACATTGTCATTTAAGAATAAAGACTTCATTATAGAATAAAGATTTTTTTTTTCAGGAAAATAAAAATTAACCGACAGGATCATTTGTTTTTATTTTAAAATAATAATTAACAGTCTATTTAATTTTTATTATATATAAAAAATTTAAAAAATAGTATCAAAATATTTTTTTCATATGGAAGAAAATAAAAAAAGACTTACAAATGTTCATTTTATATTAAGAAATTACAGAATTGCTTTAACTGATAAAATATCCATTTAAACATTTATTAAACTAATACATATATACATCTTTCTAACATTTTGTTTAATATTATATTCTCATATATATAAACATTTTTAACAATTCATAGAGAAAAAATATATATTTAATGTCTCAAAAATATAAAAAATATTTAAAACTTACCATACAAAACAAATACAAAGGTTAGTAAAAGAATACTATAAAATGTTATAGATGTATTCATTTCAAAATATAATTTCCATTTTTTAAATGTGTAACTTTAAAATTTTTTAAAATAATAATTATATTTTTCAATAGATGAAATCATATTAAAAATAAAAGAAGAATAATGCATTTTTATTAAAATAGAAGATATGGTTCTCCTTCAGCATTACCTAGCCTTCGTGCTTCCCCGTGGAGACGCTTCAGCAAACCGTGACCGTGCGATGGATTTGATGATTTGGAGAGCGTCAGATGAAAGGGGGAATGCAATCTGGCCGTTCAATATTTACAAGTAAATTGAATTTTCAAAAGCTTCGAAGAGAGAGGGAGTGTGTGTGTTTGTGTTGCGTTTTCTTCTTCTTCTCCTTCTTCTGTTCTCCTTCTGCTTCTTCTTCCTTCAAATCTCACTCTTCTTCTTCTTCTTCTTCGCTTTTTCTCTCTACAATATCTGCAACCTTCGTCTCTCTCTTCAGCTTCGCTTCTTCGCGTGCCACGTTTGGATCCACGCGTTTCTCAATTTCGCCACACTTGCAGCAATCAATCCCGAGCTGCGCAATCAGCGCGCGTTGTTCGAATTCGAGCTGCGTTTTGAAGCTATCGCCGCTTTGTTTCGTTCTATAGCTGTAATCCTAGGTCGTTTTTCGGCGGAATTAGGAATTCGCTGTGAGAGTTTTCGGATTTTTGTTTTGCTTCGCTTGCCATGGGTGAAGGCGAAGGAGGCGATTACGCTCCGAAGAATGCGTCGTCGTCAGAAGTCGTTGTGCCGATGGTAGTGTCTACGGCGGCGCTGGAAGTTCCGGCGAAGAAGCTGGCGCGGCAGCTCGATTTTACGGGCGCGCCGGAGCATCAGCAGTCGCAGTCACAACCACAGCAGCAGCCGGTGGCGGTGTTGCCGTTGCCCTTGCCACCGCAGGTGCCTCATGGGAGGGTTGGGTGAGTTTGTTGAAACTGTGGTTCTTTTTGAAATGATTTGCTGCATGTTTTGAATTTTGATGTCTGAAGTGAAGTTTTGATCGCGTGCTTCTTAAGAACACTTGAAATTCTGTTGATTGGAGGCTTGTGTATGGAGTTTTTTGTTTTAGTTTTCGAATTATTGCGTGGCAATGATTTTATCGCGGGAGTCACTATTTTGTTTGGAGGATTTTAGTTATTGTGTTAGTTGAGCTTTCAATGCATGTGGATTACCATGGTTTGCTAGTAGAAAATGGCAATTTTGGCATTCACTTCGTTATTTTTTACTTCACTCTGATTCACATGTTTTCATTAGTTTGCTGTAAATGCAGTTTCTTCTTCCACTGGGAATAAGATGGTAGGAGGTTTAAATTGTTTTGAGTATCTCACATTGGTAAGGAACGTTAGAACTGTAGGCTTTCTTGCTAACACAATTTATGAAGTTGTTTATAGTAATTTCAATTCGGGTTGGGATACGGTTATAAGACGTGAGTATTATAAATTTATTCTTATCTATGACGCGTGCATACTCAATAATACACGGTGTTATGTGAGGGAGATATGAATATTGTTACAAAGTTGGATATGAGAATAATAGGATACAACGTAACGTATCATCTTATAAAATATCAAAAAACAAATGAAAGCATCACAGAACCCTATTAAGACTTTGGTTAGGCCACTACATGATTGGGAGGAAAACGTTTCGTTCACTTTTTTTTTTATGATGAAATAGAGGGAGATGCAAATCATAGTATTTTTTAGCTGGGTGGATGAAAGGATAGAGAATTCTCAAGCCTTAGTTGTAATTGAAAAATGCTGAAGCTTAAAAGGAAAATCTCACTGAACAGCCAAAATATTAATGGTGCTTTATGGTACTTAATGTTGGATGAGAAATAGCCAACAAGATCACAGCCTAAGTGCTGCAGAGGTGAACATCTTGTGTTGGATGCTTGGTCATTTACGGAAAGATAATACTAGAATTGGAGGTATTAGAGAGGATTGGCGCCTTTGAGGAAAATATGGTAGAATCACACATAAGATGGTTGAGAAATGAGAGAAGACCAATAGGAGCAGTAGTTAGAAGCATTAATCCGATGGAAGATAGACCAATGATTAGAGATAATGGTAAACAAAGAATTAAAAGGGATCTAGAATTAGATGGTCTAGAATTGGTTTGGACCCAAAACAATGGCATTGTTCAATTCAAGTAACTGAACCACCTAGTGGGGAAAAGGCTTTGGTTATTGCTGCTGTTGTTTTAGCTTATTCATCGCATAATAATAAAATTACCTTTTGTCAACAATGAGGTATATGATATTGGTAAAAGATGCAATTCATGCCACTTGGTATGCACTTTAAAGAACCCATGCTTCCAAGATTCTTCTCTTATGGATATGCTGTTGACTTTTGTATTTTGTTTTCAAAACTAAAATACCTGTCAATTGAAATAGCAAGGATCGTATTCAATGCCAATTATGCATATTTTTCTTCACTTTCGATCATACCATTGGAAGGTGCAGCTTCTTTCTTTTGGGGAGTTATTTTATAGTATGTTTTCATAACTAATGTTTTTCTCTGTTGTGTACATCAATATTTGTAGAGGATGGGCCCTGGTGCGACGCCAAATTTGCGTCTTGGTGACCAATTGGTCATGGGTTCAAATCTGGAAAAAACCTCTTTGCATATATGCAAGGGTAAGGTTGCATTCCATGACCCTCGCCCTTGCCTTTGTATAATGGGGAGCCTTTTAGCACTGGGGTATGCTAACATACATCAATCTAGGTCTGGCTATTTTTTCCAACGTAATATCTCACAAAATGTGAATTATCTGGATTTTTTATCCAAATTTTTTTCTCATACAATGTGAATGTTTTTCACTCTGTTCTTTTCACATTTGTAAGGCTTACATTTTCTGAAGTTACTGCTGGGAGTGAAACAGGCATTTCCTAGTTGTAGCATTTTGAAATTTTGGTTGAATGTTACATGATAACTTTGAATGTGATATTGACTATATGTTTATGTTTTGACAAGCTTGAATAGATGGATCTTTTTGTGAGTAAATAAATATGAAGGTATCTTCTTTGACTATGGTATTTTGCAATTGTCTTTATGGAGTAGCTCAAACTATATGTTTTGATCTTCAATTAACTAACCTTTACTTTTTCAGGAAACCAGAATCTCCTAAATCAAGATCAAGACCTAACTTTGAAATGAAAGAAGCTACTCCCAAGAAGCAAAAACAGTGCAATTGTAAACACTCTAAATGCTTAAAGCTGTAAGAAAAAAAATCTCTCTCTCTCTCTCTCTCTCTCTCTCTCTCTCTGTGCATGGATGTGTGTGTGTTGTCATACTTGAAAGTTTACATAAACTTGTAGAAGTCTCTGTAGACTCAACATATGACCTTTTAATAGTTTACCTATTTATAAAAATAATACTAAAGAACTTCTAAATTACATATATACATGAACATAGTATTTGTAACACTGATAATTCAACATTTAAACTCTAAAAAAAGAAAAGTAAGAATCAACAGTAATTCAACTTATATTAGTGGACTATAAGAAATAATAACAGAGCCTGATATCATATTAAGACCCAACCCATCCAAACACATCTTATTGTATCAGTCACAAAGCTGGGACTCATACATAAATATTAAACAGAGAACAGAGGGTTGTAACAGTCACATGAAAATTTACAAATCAGAAATTCAGAATGGCACAAGCTTGGAAGAATGAAGGTCATGAAAATTGCAATACCTCAAATCACTTATGAGCTTATGAATAGAGGAAATGGGGTCTCAACAAGCTTGGAGAAACAATACTGAAACACAACCTTAAAAGGTGAAGCAGAGAAGAATGAAGCTTGGAAGCTTTTAAATAGAGAAGTGTGCGATGCTTATCAAAGGTTGGGATCCCTTGCAAAACATTCATTCTATGAATTGTGAAGAATAGAAGCTGTTTGGATGAGCAGAAACGTGCCTATACACTGGGCAGAAACCAGAGACACAAGCGTGAAAGATGTTTGAACCCAGTCCTAATGGGTTTTAATCGCACCTTAGAATGCCTAAGTAGGCACATCCTTTTGGTCGGAAATGGGACAGATTGTAGTCTCGCACACTCATTCTTCAACTTGGAATTCCTCTTGATTTTGTCCACTCCTACAATAACTTGGCCAAGCCTATAAAAAAAACAATTATAACAGTGAGTGAAACTGATTTTTAGGTCTGAGATTTATATTAAACTTAGACAAGATTACTAGTTAGCTCGTGAGTTTGACAATGATGTGTGCATGTGTCACTATGAGCAGGTGTCCGTAGAGTATAAGGCTATAAGCATATATTGGCAAATGTATACACACTGTTTGTTTTGAAACCATGAAAAGCAAAACTGCTCTTAAGTAGCTATCCAAATGTTGTACAAGTATGCGGTCTTGATTCTGTTCATAGTATATTAGTAACTTGTTTCTATTGTCTGAAAATTATTCTCTTGTTTTATATCAACAAAAACAGAATTTTCATAAATGACTCGTCATTTGTTTATTATTTATTTGTATTATGGTTATGCTCAAAATTAATACCTGTGTTGTACTGATTTTAGTTTAAAATTTGATTTTTTTGGTTAAGTTTCATTAAAGGACTCATTGCTATTTTGCTTCATTTTTTTTCTCTTCTTTCCTAGTTGTTTTTCCCATTGGTTTTATTTTTTGGAAATTTTGTCCCCATTATTTGAAATGACCTGCAAACATTAAATGCATATAGGAAGAAGAAATCGGTTTGGTGTGTTTGAAGGCAGATTAAATTGTTAATCTAGCAATTCAGTGCGTAGGGTAATATAAACTACCTAGGTGACCTTGAGAAAGTCAGCTGTGGGAGTCAGTCGCCTGCTTTGAGTATGCATCCATCCAATTTTTTGTGATTAACTTTCTCATTCAATAATATTAAATACCTAAAAAATTGCAAGGAAAATGGAAATATCACTCTTGGCCTGGAAACAAATTGGAAAATATTTTTATTCTATCTCCATGAAATTCCTTATTTTATTATCTACGGGTAGTTCTATGAAGTCATTGATTCCATCACTGAGGTTAGGTTGAACTATTGTGGTGCAACAATATATTTTACGTTGAAAAGAGTCTAAGAGCATATTAAGTAAAATAAAACTGTCTTCAGTATTTTTTTTTTTCCTTCAACAGAGGACATTTTGTTGTTGCAACTTACTGTTTGCTACATGGAGCTAATTTTTGAAGTATTTTGAGCAGGTATTGTGAATGTTTTGCATCAGGAATATACTGTGATGGTTGCAACTGTGTAAATTGTTTCAACAATGTTGAAAATGAAGCTGCTAGACGAGAAGCTGTTGAAGCTACATTGGAGCGCAATCCAAATGCATTTAGGCCCAAAATTGCTAGTAGCCCTCATGGAACACGTGATAACAGGGTACTAAGCTCTAATTTTTTGTGAGTCGTAGTGTTTGGTATTGTTTTATCTTTCAGATGATGAAATCAGTTAAATATAGTGCTTATATTGATCATAAAAGTTTCAACTATTTTTTTGTTGGAGCATACTTTGATGAATTGTGTTCTGATAATTTCAGACATTGGTTGTTCCCAAATTATCTTTTCTTTCTGCTCATTGTGGAATTTTATGAAAAAGGGATATTTTGTGTATATAATGGGAGGTCATTTTCTCCATTAATTTTTTTTCGCATAGTAAAAAAGCTACTGCTATTTGAATTAGGTACAACATTCCATAATTGATAATCATGGCATGAAGCCTTTTGCTTATGATTGTAAAATCAATTTTCTGTTGGCTCGTGTTCTTTGCTCGGTTGATTTTAAATTTTTCAAGTTATAATTTCGATTCATTGTTCCTTTTATCAAATATATTAAGATAGTGCCCTTTGCTCTGTTGATTTTTATTTTTTCATGTTATAATTTTGATCAATTATTCTTTTTGTCAATATATTAAAATATTTTTTCTTCTTGATGAAACAAATTCATTTTTCTTTTAGTTTCCTTATTTACATCTGCCTTTGCGTAGCAACTTAAGGATATAAAGTCAATATAAAATGCTAAGAATTTAAAATTAACTCAGTTAAATAAAATTTTTTTTTTAATCATGTTCCTTTAAAGTATGTCTTAGCAAGAAGTTGGACTTTATGGAAAGACGGGAGTTTACCATTAAATTACTTGGCAAGTGCCTTTATGCTTGTTAAATGGTAAATAAAGGTTTTTGGAATTTAATATTCCTTGTTGAGAAAAATTTGTCGAAACTTGAACATCTTTTTTTATGTATTGTACTTTGAAAAGAAATGTTTTTTTTTTTTTCTAGTTTTGACTATCTGACTGGAAAAACAAATGTAGGAGGAGGCTGGGGAAGTTTTAATATTAGGAAAACATAACAAGGGATGCCATTGTAAAAAATCTGGATGCCTCAAGAAGTACTGTGAATGCTTCCAAGCCAACATTCTTTGTTCTGAAAATTGTAAATGCATGGACTGCAAGAATTTTGAGGGAAGTGAAGAGAGACAGGCTTTGTTTCATGGAGATCAAAATAACATGGCATATATTCAGCAAGCGGCAAATGCTGCCATAACTGGAGCTATTGGTTCCTCTGGCTTTTCATCGCCTCCAGTATCCAAGAAAAGAAAAGGTCAGGAACTCTTCTTTTGGCCTACAACCAAGGATCCTTCCATTAGCAAGTTGGGACAACAGGTAAAACTTGCTCCTAGCACAATTCATACCAGTACGGGGTTTTTCTTTAACTTACGTTTTAGTCACATAACTATGTTCTTGTTAAGAGTTGTCACCATCATAATTTTATTTAAAGGATACATTTAAACTTAAATTTTAAACTGAACTTGGCTCCCTTTATTTAAATTGGATACAATAGAGACAATTAAGTTCAAGGCCAAAGCTTTGGATTTCAATACCTTGATGACGTGTGCTGCAATTTATAGAGAATGCTATCATTAATGAGCATTTTTTATTTCTGGACTTCTGTACACTGACAACATTTTTTTAATGCTCACCAGGTAAACCATGTCAGAGGTCCAGCACCTTCGTCATCTCTGTCTCCTGTCTCAGGTGCTCGTGTTGGAACTGCATCGTTAGGTCCTTCAAAATTTATGTACAGGTAATGTTGGTTATATATGAATGAAGATAAGTTTATTGCACTTAATTCCTGACTTGGTTATTGTTGAAGGTCACTTTTAGCAGACATTATTCAACCACAGCACCTCAAGGAGCTATCCTCAGTTCTGGTGCTTGTATCTGGACAAGCTGCAAAGACAATTACAGGTATATTGGCATCCTACATCACCAATAACTACTGGTGCTATTGATCTTTGAACGTCCATTATGTTTTCCTCGTTCTTCATTGTACGAGAGAATGTGATGAAATTTGTGTTTGAATTACACAGTGGAGATATAAGTCCACATTATCAACATTATATACACTAGAAGTAATGAACACGAGGATTTATGTTTGTTGAAAATGTAGGGTTTAGGTATGGAGGGAGGAAAAGGAGAGAGTAGGGGCATGTGTGGACCAACTTCTCCATAAGTAGTAAGTACTTTCAAGAAAAGAAAAAAAGAAGAAAAATTAAAGTTATTTTCTCCATAAGCTAGAATTAGGTTATGCATAACCTAATTTATAAAAGTTCTTTCATTTAACTTCTCGAATATTTTATTTTTAACTAACGGAGAAGCTCATTTCAATTTTTTTTTTCCTCGTCTAGAAGTATATATATATATATATAAAGAAGTTCGTCCAAACAGATTCTAAATACTTCGAAATTGATATTAACTTAATATGATGTATTACAATGTGATACACAAGATAAGGCACTAGCCTTTATTTATACCAATACTAGATCATAATCCTAACTAAATGAGGAAAAATATCGTGAGATAATAAGTATGGAAACCAAAGAAATAGGGAGGCTAATCCTAACAGATAATATATATGATGCTCTAAATTATTGTAAAGATATAATCGAGATACTTTTAGATATTTTTCATATATTCTGCTAACATTTATCCTAATTATTGTAATTCTATAATACTACAAAACATATAATTTCTCTATTACATTCTTTCTAACATGGTTCATCAAGGATTCCCTCTTATAACCAAGTAACTCAAACTCTACTTTGTGCATTAGGATAACAGTCAAAATTGAAGTTGATTAGCAAATAATTCATCTTTATTAATTTTTGTTTTACTTATGAAAAGTTAATAATGACATTTGGTCGTCTAACATTTATCATTCTATACATCAATAATTAAGAAACACTACTGCTATAGACATGGTCCGGGGGACATTTTTTATTTAATTTTTGGGGTACTACCTGCTAGTTTCATTTTCACCTGATGCTTTTTATTACATTTCAACTGACTTCAGCCTTGTTAACGTATACATCATTATTTACTTTTTTCTTATCAATTACTTTTATTAATGTGATCAGACCAGAAAATTTTAATGGAAAAGCATACAGAAGATCAGACAGAAACTTCCCTTGCTTCGTCAAGTCAAGAGCAGTTACCAAGTCAAAAGGAAGGTCATGTTGAGAAGACTGTGGCTGATGATTGTTCGAGTGCAAACCAAACAGATAAAATCAGCCCAGATGATTCTAGTTCAGATGGTGCTGATGTCCCAAAAGGGAGGCCAATGTCTCCTGGGACTTTAGCCTTGATGTGTGATGAGCAAGATACAATGTTCATGACAGCCGCCACCCCGGTTGGGCCAATGGCGCATGCTTGCAATACATCTTCACAATTTCCTTATGGACAAGGAATGACAGAGGTCTATGCTGAGCAAGAAAGGATTGTATTAACAAAGTTTAGGGATTTTCTCAATAGGGTTATCACTATGGGAGAAATAAATGGCAAGTTAATATTTTCCACCTTTAGTTACAATTTTTCTTTTGTAAACATTCTTAAAATCCCTTGGTGTTGGCTGTGGCAAGAAGATCGTCACCTTTCCATTGTAGTAGATAACCCCTCTGATTTTGCAAAGCATCTGGATAGCTGATTCTATTAGATTATGTCTTTGTTGCAATCCCCATGCATGACTATTTCAACTTCTAATCTATTTATGTTCCTTTGATTGCTCTGCAAGTGTGCTTTAAAGCATCAAAACTCTCTCTTCCAAACAAACACATAGTTAGAGACTGATAGTTGTGACAGTAATTGCCAAAGTTAATAAGCTAAAAGTAGAAGCCAAAGCGCCCAAGTTAGTGATCGTTCTGATCTTTTTGTACTGTTAATTAACTGTTTTAAAGAATGCTATGGGTCATGACCTAAAATGGCGACTCTATGCATTTGGAAGATGTATTAGTACAGATAGCCAGCTGTCAGTAAATTATTATGCTTTACATGAATGTCATTTGAAATGGTTCTGAAATTTTTTGACATTAGCCTAACATTACATTGTTGTATGGTATGACTGACGTATACTTGCATTACCTCGTTATTATTATAAATGACTAATTTCTATATTCTCATTTTTTTTTTCAGAAACAAAGTGTTCTTCGCTGGCCAGAAATGAATTAGAGAATCAAAAGGACCCAATCATCAATGGCATTGGAAATGCCAGCTCGGAGATAGCACGTCAGCAGGGAGCCAGTAGCAACGGTGTTACTAAACCTGCTGTTTCACCTTTGGCAACGACTTCGACATCTATGATCCCTGGTAATATTTCTGAAAATGGGGAGTCTAAGGTCAAGATCGAGAAAGATATATGAAAATAATCTAACTTAAAAGGATGCGCAGAGATGTGATTGAATGAAGAAATTAAAATGCCTTTAAGGTATGTTAGAACTTCTCTGTAATATAATTATAAAAGCATTGCCATTCTTCATTTTCTGCCTTTATCTGAAAGGTCTGCTAAGCATACAGGCCCCACCATTAGCCCATGTAGGATCATTTTTATTTTTATTTTTATCAATTTTCTTGCCTTACTTTGGTCATTCATAGATATCTAAATTAATTTTTCAGCTTCAACATTGCTTTATGGCGATGCTTGTAAATTGCTGATGTATAATTTCATAAAGTATATCGCTTAGATTTTTCTTTGAATGACTTCCATAGCTTTCAATTTAAATACACCTTTTTATTCAGGGATTTTTCCATGTTTCCCTTTTCTTCTGCTTTGTTCTTTACACTATGCCCTTTGTATTTTGCCAGCAATATTTCAAGCGTTGAGTTAAGCTCTGTAATAATTCAATAAGCTGTTGTTGACTTCGGCTATGCCATCCAGTGTTTAAATATTTTAGATTTGTGTTATCTACGACTTTGAAGCGATCAATTGCCTATTTCGTTCTAGTTGATAAGAGCAAAGAAGCATATTTGAATTTGAAGTTCTATTATACTAAATATTTTTCTTTATTGTTTCCTCACCATTTATTTTTCATTGATGATTTGACATCCCTTATATTCTTGCACTATTTATTACTATTCCATTACGAAAGATGGACAGGTATTCAAGTACTGTCCCCTGTGAAAAGAAAATCAGTAAAAATCAACAAGTGATCATAAAAGCAACATTCAACGGTCAATGTCCACACGATGCATACCTGATGCATTTAATTTTACACCCTTCAAGTCGCATTTTACGAGATAGCTTTGCCATATAAATAGGTACACACATAACTTGTCAAAAGCAGCAAAAACGGAACAACATTGATAATACCAAGTAAAGCATGTGAACGGTAATTACTGAGGGTGTGTAAAGATTAAATGTTTTAATAATTTTCTGTTTAAAGAAGTACAGAAAAAAATTGTTTACATATGAAAATCAATTTTAAAATATATGCATTGATATTTCTAAACTTGGTAAATAAAAACAGATTTCAAACACCAGTTTAATTAATAAAATGCAATATTGTAATAAAAAACTCACTTGATTGTGATTGCAAAGTTACATTTTCTCTTAAAATCAGGTTGAACTAGAAAGGTAGAAAATTATCTCCCTTCTATATCTTTAAAGTTAATGCATATAAATTAAAATATATTTAATAACAATAAAATATTATATTTAAGTTAGAATATCCCTTTTTCTAATATATTATGTCTACACCACTATTAATTAAATAAGGATACACCGAGAAAAATATTACTTAAACTTTTAGATGAGAAACTTTAATGAAGCAATCTAAATTCTGGAATTTTATAACTAGAAAAACTAAAACATCTAAAGAAATGAGAAAATAGTAACCTTCAATTTTCACAAAAATAGTATTATATTAAATATTATTACAAGCTTACTCAAGATTTGACTAACTGCTACAGCGTGCCCGAATTCTCACTTAAAATCCACTTTTACGTCAGAAACCATGTGAAGGGAGCAAAAACAACAAAGAGTGCTATAACCCGTAGCAGATCCAAACACGCTAGACGTTAAATCCAAACGCACTTTAAAGAATTCCATTTAGACTTTTCAGCAGCATTGGACAAAAGGCACTTCGATAAGCCCAATTACTAAAGATGCATAATCAATATAATTTTTCTTTTCTCAAAACCAAATTTAACAGTTTATTTAACCTAGGAGGGATGCAAATTTTATTATTTATTACATTTTCTATGGTAGAACGAACATCCAACAATGCAACCGATGGTAGACACTAGGCTTTCTCATAGACGCGCCACTGACTTTGGAGTAGATGAAGCAGGTGCACTCTGCAACCAATACAAAATACCACGCACTTTATCTGGTTAATCAATGCAATTGAGAGAGATTTCTGTGATAAGATTATTGAAACTACTAAAATTACTAGTTATTGAAATTATTGAAACTTTACCATGTTTCCCTAAACATGTTTGAATAATCTAGGATTGAATCGTACACATTATTAAAGCTGAATTTCATGAAATTTGAAAGGAAAATTGAGAACAAGTATCTTACCAAAGGAATTCCATTGAGTGCTCTTTCTTCCAAATACCTTGAGGGTTTATAGAAGTTACCATATAATTGTGTCCATTTTTTAAGGCTGGTATAGACATGATTAGCCCCAACCAAATCTGCCCAGAAAACAATGCCACCCCTGCCAAAGAAAGTGATTGCAAGTGAGAAAGTTAAACAACAAAGCACAGTGATAAATGTAATGCTCAAAACACAAGCGCTGGATGAAAGAAGTATAGGGGGCACAGGACATTATAAATTCTACGTTCTGCAGAGAAAAAGATTACTCAGAACACACTTAATCAGATTTGATCAAACATAAACAATTACTTTTTGAAACCTGAACACAAGTGCAGGTTATGAGGAGCTCAAACAGTTGGCAAATTGTTATATTTAACTATGTAACAATCATTCAATTTCTTTATGATGCCCTTAGTGATTCATGCCCTTCATTGGTCCTAGGATGATGCATAATAAGCAGAAAAGGGTTACCTAATAAACTCCAACAGATTTAATTTTGTTTTCCCAATAAAACTACCATGTGCTGCATATCACTCACAATTAGCCACTAGCATATTTTGCCTCTCTAATAACATCTCATTTTTTGTTGCTGTTCCTTATTGGTTATTGCTTTTTATCTCCTTGGTCTCTTTCTTAGTTATGTCAATTTAAAAGATTGTAAAAAAGGAAATCCAACCGATAACTGGGGAAGCTCATTCCAAGAACAGATGCGATGTCAAGGTCTGATGATCGAATAACAACTCCGTCTTCTAAAACACGGCATGCCTCATTCACTACTGGAAAGAGTATCATCTCCACGATCTCTTTGTCAGTAACAGATATAGGCTGCAATAAAGCAAATACTATTAGCTTTCCTTCACTCAATGACAGACAAATTTCTATTTTCTATCAAGAGAGAGAGGGAGCTTAAGATTAAAAATGTTAACATAAATGGGAGTCGTAATAATTGTTAGTATGACACTGCCAAATAAAACAACCTTTCCATTGGGCATAATATTGCAAAGTCTTCTAGACTCCTCGATGATTGGTTGTATTGAAGGATCGGGTTTGGGCTTGCTACCCTTTTCATAAATGTAGCAACCTTTCCCATTGTTTTTGCCTGGTAGGACAAAGATAGCCAAGGTCAGAAATCATTGATTATATTCAAAATAAATGTTCCCTGTACAGAGAAAGTGGTAATTATTAAAAAGGACATTGATCCACTATTACCATTTCGCCCAGATTTGATCAGAAGATCAAGCATTGGAGATTTAAATATGCGATCAGAAAATGCATCAGCAAATACTTTGGATGTAGCAACAGCAACTCCATAGCCAGCCAAGTCCATAAGCCTGCAATTCACAGAAAGATTGACTTCATACTATGGAACCGCTGTGTAATATTTAATGCTTGGTTCTCTCACATAACCATGAAACCATTAACTTTTTATTTTATGCCAGTCCTTGATTCCGTTTAGTGTTGGTGATTTGAGATTTAAATGTGTATCAAAATCTCACGTTGGATTCAAACAGTTTTTATAACGTAGGATTAATCTAGAAACTTCATGACAGTGAAATAGTATCATTGGCATATGCGTATTGGGAATGCAGGGCAGAGCATTAATATCGATTAACAAATCAATGAAAGTGTAACATTTTAGTTGACATATATCTTGTAAAACACAGAACTCCTAAGAGAAGAGGATTACTGGAAAGGACCAATCGGAAAGCCAAAGTTGCATATCAATCTGTCAATTCTGTAAAGATCCACGCCCAAGTTGACCAACAAATTCGCACCCTGCGAATATGGGAAGAATGTTTTGTTCACTGCAAAGCCTGTGCAGTTACCCACCACAACGGGAGCCTTCTTTATGATTTTACCAACTGTTATTAGATCAAGAATCACTTGTGGAGAAGTTTTATCGGTTCGTATAATCTCCAAAAGTGGCATAATGTGGGCAGGACTGCATATCAAAGAAATGAAATTAGAATGCAGCCATAAAACTTGTTTTCAAACAGTTGTTTAAACAGAGGCAACTGTAATCTCACTGTCAAGCTTTGAGTAAAGCATAGGGTGTGTAGTACACAAGTTACACTCATTTAGACTAAATGACAATTTTAAGCATATGCTTGAGAGAATAAATGTAGCTATATTAACTAAATAATTACAGTAGCCTTCGAACTATGATCAAGTGAGGGATCTCTAAACATGAAATCATGAAATTAACCATAAAGCACATGAACATGCATCCCAGTGGAAAGAAGATATTAGGAAATAACCATAGCCTCAACTGGAATACCCCTCAGAATATACATAATAAAACTAAATTCATTACAGTCCATTTGAATTCTCTTAGCCCAAGGCTCAACTATATTCAACCAAATCCAGCCAGAAACTAACCTAGACAAACAATTTCTTTAAAATGTAAATATGAATTACTTCTTCTGTTTGTTTTCTTCTGACCAAAGAAATCCCAGAACCTATTGCTGAAAAGCATAGTTTCTTCATCATTCACATCAATGCAAGAAATAGATTACCAGTGCTAAACAAACCCCAACAAAAAACCAAGAGGATAGAATGGAACTTCTAAGTGGCTTCACTATATAGACCTTATAATTAAATAAAAAATAAAATAAATCAGCCAACAATATTATGCTCTCATGTTGCTTTCATAGAGAGGAGTAATTAATTAAAGCTTCTACACCCTTATATGAAAGAATGATGTGGATCAAGCAAGTCTATCACACCCGCCTGCTGCCTAAAAAAAATAAACCAGCATTTTCACCACATATGTCAGATTTCAACTTAAAACTTATCAACTTAGACGAAGTTGTCTAACATATATATATATAAGCCGCATTCTAAGAATTGAGGCAAGTGATGTAGAAGTACTTCCTAATACCCCTTCCACAAATACCTGTCAATTCAAGTGAGCCTACTAGAATAGACAATTACCAAGATGATTTATTGGTTCTCATATCATGTCAAATTTTAATTTAAAATCAATTGATTTTAAGTGAAGTTACCCAACATATATGTAAGTCCTACTCCAAGAATTTCCCAACAAACTATTATTCATATAAAAACTCTGATGCTCAATCATATTTTATTCTTCTAAATGTTCAACATAGAAGAGCAATACAGTGTTCACATTCCATCAATGCCCCACAGAACTGGAATAGGTGCCAAATGGGTATAAATTATAAGATAAGTGCAATAAACTTCTTTCAATATATCAAAACAAAAAATACAAAGAAATTTTAATGTGGTATTTGTTCCTATTCTCAAAAAAGTACTCCCTGTTAAACTTAAATCACTGATCTAGAAAATGAAAAAGGACCTTTTTTATTTTAAAAATAAAGATAATAAGAAAAATGAGTTATCTAACCTGAAAAAATGAGCACCTGCAATACGATCTTGAGAGCTGGTCTTATTACCAACAAGATTAAGGTCAATAGTTGATGTGTTTGATGCTAAAATGCAGTGTGGAGGACAGATCTTCTCAAGATCACTAAATATGGTTTGTTTGAGACTGACATTTTCAATTACAGCCTGCAGAGAGAGAAAAATTAATGCTATTTAAATTTGAACAGACAACAGTATCAGCAAAGAAATGTTGCAAATAGCCTCTGCTGAAGAATAAATATTAATATGAAAAACACTTTGCCAAGTTCTTGAAAGGATCCAAAATTGAAAACCACGTCAGCTATTTTCCAAGTAAAACAAAAAGGACTTCAGGCAACCAACCTCAATAACCAAGTCCACATCTTTAAACTCTGTGTAATCCAGAACACCTTTAAGCAGTGACAGTGCAGCATCAGCCTTCTGTTTTGTCAGCTTTCGTCTTCTTACTAAGTCATTAACATTAGCTGTCAAGCAAAACAAAACAAACATACATTAAAAAAATGTTACAAGATTATCAAAACATGTATCAAGGATGAGACTGAGAGTAGTTTACACTTTTCATAAAGGTCTGGTGTTTCATTAAAAAGTTTACAAAGGATAATTCGTCCTTCAGAAAACCATACCAATGAGTATTAACAACTCCTTCAAATATGACAAATAATAGATACAAACAGCTAAAGCATTAATCCATTAACACCTATCTTAATAGCAATGAGGTAAAATAATCAATGTCTTGAAAAGTACTATTGATGATGTATGTATTAAACCAGCCATTTGATAGCAGGTTTATATTAAAAATGTCTCGAGACCAAGACTAGTTCTGCTGAATACACTACTCATAGTAACTAACAACAACTTGTCATGAACATCAACCAATTAACAATTGGTCTTTTGCATCCAACTATTCCTCCTTCACCAATTGATCACCTGTATCAAATTATTCCTACTTCACACATGAGACTGGAATAATCACCTTCTATTGTTTTTATTCCCTTCATAAGAAATTCAGAATTGATTTCCTTGAGTAAGACACGAATGTTGCCAAGTAGAAGAGCTGTGGCAATGCCAGATCCCATTAGACCTCCTCCAATAACAGCAGCTTTTTTAACATTTCTTGGCCTAAGGCCAATATCAGTTACACCAGGCACCTGCCAAAACAAAGTAGTTAGTGAATGGTGAATACATTGAATAAACCTGAGTAAGATATCAGTTGTTTCCTCGAGTTTCGCCAAGAGACAATGAGAAAACCATATTAAAACTCAAACCCACAGAGGCCATATCTAACCAATCATGTACCTTTGTTATTGCCCGTTGAGCAAAGAAGACATTAATTAAACCTTTTGAGGTGTCGGACACAACTAATTTCTTGAATAGTTCTGCCTCCTGTAATTAGACTTGGTTATTAGCAGTGAATGCTAACAAATACTACACATAAAAATAAATCTATCTCGGACTAGAAATTAATATGACAAGAAAATGACCAAATAGAAATGGCAGGAAGAAAGCACATGTTTCCCTCTGAACAAACACTATATCAGAACTAATAATACCTTTAGAACACCACTGTAGCCTCCATGAACTATTCCATGTTCAATCACATCTATGCAGGCCTGCTGCTGAGGCAAATGTGGAGCAGTCTTCTTGATTTGTTGCCTGGCAGTTCCCAACACTTGACGTGCTTCCGACAGAAAACCAATTTTGTCTGTCCTATGAAGTGATCGAACCCAAGGTTTGTGCCTCTCTCCTATTTCAAGTGCCCACAACCTAGATACCTTTAGTAACTCCTCAGAAGACACAATAGAATCAATAAGTCCTAGCTTCCTCCCTTCTTCCGACATGATAGGTTTAGATGTCTGCAAGAAATGGAACATCAAAATTAACATCTTTGTTTTGCATCACAAAGCTTTTCAGGGAAGTTATATGCATGATAACTTTAAGGGAGAAAAATTATGTTTACTAGAATTAAGTCGGCAGAAAAGTTAAGCATAGTAATGAAGAACCCATGTACGTCAAAGAATGTTTGTTCCTCTCTAACTCATCTTCCAAAGTCTATACTCATCAAATTTAGTGTGTGCAATTATTTTTTACACTTAGCTAAGAGAAAGATCTCCAGTTTTCCCACTTTTTTTACTCCTTTCCTTTTTACATTTCACAACTATTACTAAACAAGTTTTTGGGCTCGTCTACCATGGTCAAAATGCAGTGGAAACACAAACAAATGAAAAATATCGGTCAGTGCCTTACCAGCATCATTTCAACAGCTTTAGACAGCCCAATAAGCCTTGGAAGACGTTGTGTTCCTTAAAAATTACAAATTTTGGTTAATATTATTTTCAGTAAGTGCTACTATATGATGAAAAGTTTCTCACTCCTGATCTATATTACTGAATATATGTGCATAAAAATCTTGATTACCTCCAAATCCAGGAATAATACCAAGAGTCAGCTCTGGTAGACCCAATTGAGTTCTTGGAGCCGCAATTCGTGCATGGCATCCCTACACAACAACAAGGTATTACATTCCATGCACCAATGAAGACACTTGGACAACAATTCTTGTTTAAAGAAACAGCATTACTCCTAAATAAGGAAAAACTAACCATAGCCAGTTCTAAGCCACCTCCAAGAGCAAGCCCCTCCACTGCTGCAACAACAGGTTTCTTCGAATCTGCATTTGTCAATAATATTAATTAATAACACAGCACAAGTTACATTTTACAGAAGCATCAAGAAGATGTCTCCACCAAGGTATGATCAAACTAAAAGAATAGTTACAAGTTACAACCTTCAATCGCATTGACTACTAGTTCCACGGAGACATCAGGGAGATGCGAGGAATCCCCTGTCAAGAAAAACAGCAAATACAATTAATTCAAAGTTCAAAAACTTTCAAAGACTTATAACCATAACTGACCTAAATTTTGTAATTTGCATTGTATCCATCCCAATTTTATAAAACGGATGTGTGATCATACTATCATATCCTACCGGTATCGTGAACCTTCTTCATAACACTGATATCAAAGCCACCAGAAAATCTCCCACCTTTGCCTGAAATTAAAGGGGAAACAAGATAAAATAATCACATCCAAAATTCTTCACTTGAACAATCAATTGTATAAAGTAATGCCAGCATCACTCCTTGACACTCACCAGTCAAAACTATAGCTTTCACATCATTCCTCCGAGCTGCCTCGTCAAATCTGTCTTTCAACCCCATGATAACTGATAAAAAAACAAAAATTAAAAAATCACACATAATAAATTCATGAAAAGGAAAAACTAGAATTGACAAAGAAAGAAGAATTGGTTAATCAAGCTAACTTGGAATGGCCAAAGCATTGACGGGTGGGTTGCCCATAGTGATGACAGCAACCCCATCAGCTCCAACCTCAAAATCAACCTTAGGGAACGCCATCTCTTAGAGAAACAAATCTCAAGTTCCTTCCTTTTCGAATCAAGTTATATTTTTTCACATGAAACTGAGAGAATACGAGGTGGGTTTAATAAGGATGAGTCCAAAGACTAAAATGGAATGGAAAGTTGCAATTAATGTAACGAGAGATCATTTCGTGGGTATTTCCCCCCACTGACTCTGTAAAAATATAGAGTTTTAAGAAATAAATATATTCTTTCACACACACATTTCTTATTTGATTGTTGGTAGTTAAAATTTATTAAAAATTGTAAATTAAAAAAGATTCAATAAAAAGTGACACTAAGAAAAAAAATTCAATAAATTTTTTGTATTGGACAATGATCAAGTAAAAAACAATTTAATAAATCAAATGAAGACTGTTGTTATCAGCATGTTCCTTCTAGTATCATTAATCTTTCAAATTTATGAGAAATAAAAAATCACAATTTTTTTATAATAAATAACATGTTGCTAGCGTTTTTAAAATTAAAAAAATCACAGTAATTAATATGTAAGAAATTAAGAATTATAAAATTTTCCATTATTGGAATTACTTTTAGAAATTAAAGAATGTATAATAGAAATTGATGATATTATACACTTATAGAGACATGAATAGCATCATACTCATTATTATATTTTCAATAAATAAATAAAATATTTTAATGTACCTGTTCGCATTTTTCATTAAAAAATACAAATACAACTGCAACATTTTTACAAAAGTTTATTTTCACGTTATTATTTTTTTATGAATTAAAAAAGTATATACTAGATAGAAAAATTAGTTGAAGTTGCTAATTTTAATGATGCAAACATTTTTCATAAATAAAATGGTAAGAAAATATTGTAATAAATGGTAAAAATGGAATATATTATTTTCACATTAATCATAAAGATAATATTTTTTATTTATAAATTTTAATAAAAAAATATACTAACAAAATCTGTTACACATTATTTTCAAGCACCCTTCGATTGACACAGCGTTGACTTGACCGACCAAATGTTCCGTAGAAAACAAAAAACTACTACGCATGCTGCACGAGGGAAGAATCTCATCACAATCACACGCGGGCAACCCCATGGAAAGTTCGTGAAACCGCGAAACGTGATTGGGTGAAACTCAAAAGTTTAATGATCATATAATATCTGGCCGTTGATACACTGCGACGCGCTTCTTAACTGCATAAATTCAGCTATGCCAATTGTAGAAAAAATTGTTAAATACTTTATTTCAGATAAAAAAATGATAAATAAGTTTTAATTTCTAATATTATATTTTTCTAACCAAAAATTTATAATTCTGACGTCACAGTTTATAAGTATAATTACGAAGAGTAGTGATATTTTATAACCCGTACAATTATTCAATAACCTAAAATTTTAATACAATTAATTATATATTAGTGTTTGGATTGTAAACATTTTTTTTAATTATGAATGTGAATATGTAGTGGGGTCCACTAGGAAAAAGATTGTGAGAGGGTTGTTGTTAGTGTTTGGAAAAGTTAAAAAAGATGGTCAGTGTGACTTTAAAGATACTTGCATGGATTTTAAGGAAAAAATAACTAAGACTTTTTTTATAAATAATATTATTTTCAAAAATATTTCTCAAATATTACAAATATTATTTATCTAATTAGTATTTTTTATTGTTCGTAATACTTTTGCTTAACTGATAAATTTATTGCTTGAGTAAAGAGATCTGAAATTAATAAATATTGTGGGTTTAATTTCATTCAAGCGATGTACATTCGTTCGAGTGATAACTTCTTTTGCTCAAACGAGAAACTCTTCACTTGAACGAGGAGACCGAAACTAATGGGTAATCTCGAGTATTTTTTTGCTCAAACGATGAGTAATTTCGCTCGAACGATAAGTGATTGAAATATGTGGTGACTCAAGTTGCATTATGTAGCTAATCGCATTGGACCTTTAGTTTGTGGTTAATTCTCGCTCAAGCAATGGGTAATTTCGTTCGAGCAAGAAAGCTAACTACATTGGACCTTTGGCCTGTGGTCAATTCTCACTTAAGCCAGAAATTCATCGCTTAAGCGAATAAATTTATAATTGATTATAATTTAAACTAATTGATCATAATTTTAAAATAATCAAATATTTAAAATTATGATCGATTATTTCTCTCGCTCAAGTGAGAAATTCATCCCTTCAACGAGGAGACATGAAACTAATAGGTAATCTCGGGTGTTTTTTCACTCAAACAATGGGTAATTTTGCTCGAACGAGAAGTGATTGGTTAACTACGTTAGACCTTTAGCACGTGGTCAATTCTCGCTCAAGCGAAAAATCCATCACTTGAGCAGAAAATTTATAATCGATTATAATTTAAACTAATCGATTATAATTTAAACATCCAAAATTCAAAATGATTTTGGACGTTTAAATTATAATCGATTATAAATTTCATTGTTCAAGCGATGAATTTCTCGTTTAAGTGAGAATTAACCACAAGCTAAATGAACAACGCAGTTAGTCAATCACTTCTCGCTCGAGCGAAGATATCTGAAACTAATGGGGTAATCTCGGGTGTTTTTCGCTCAAGCGATAGGTAATTTCGCTTAAGCGAGAAGTGATTGGCTAATTGCGTTGAACCTTTAGCCTATGGTCAATTCTCGCTCAAGCGAAGCGAGGAAATTTATAATCAATTATTATAATTGATTATAAATTTCCTCACTTAAGCGATGTATTTCTCGCTTGAGCGAGAATTTACCACATGCTAAAGGTCTAATGCAGTTAGCCACATAATACAACTTGAATCACCACATATTTCAATCACTTCTCGCTCGAACGAAATTACCTATTGCTTGAATGAAAAAATACCCGAGATTACCCATTAGTTTCGGGTCTCCTCACTCAAACGAATATTTCTCGCTTGAGCAAGAATTACATCGCTTAAGCGAGATTAAACCCCACAATATCCGTTAGTTCTAGGTCTCCTCGACCTGCTGAACAAACGTATAATAAACAATAAAAAGTGCTAGTTGGGTAAATAATGTTCTACATGTGCTATTTTAAAAAATATTTTATAAAATAGTATTATTTATGAAAATAAGTAGATGAATGAATAAAGAATAAGTGTAAAGAAATTAAGATAAATAAAATGAAAGTTAAATTAATTAATTTTTAGTTAGAGAATGAATATTATTTTATAATAATAATAAATTAATTTATTAATTGTCCATGTATTGGATTTCACCAAACTTTTAACCAACGTAATAAAAAAAATATTGATTAAATTGTGTGGAATTTCTTATTTTATTTCTTAAATTTAATATAATGAAAAAAATATAACTCCAATTTATTTTATTAGATGGGTAGATTGAATCATGAAATTATTTAACTTAATTAATACTTTTGATATATTTTTATTATTTATATACAAGCCAGATATATATATATATATATATATATATATATTAGGTCAATAGCAAATACAAACACAAACAAATAAATTTATAGAAAAAATAAATAAAATTTCAGAGAATACCATTATATTTTCACTCAAACAAAACAGTTTTTTTTTCTTCTTCTATTTCCATCATATCGATCATTACAGTTAAAAAAGTATATTATTATTATTATTATTATTATTATTATTATTATTATTTAAATATCACTATATTAAATTAAAATTATATTTAAAAAAAATATCACTATCAAAGATAAATTTTAATAAACACGTAAAAAAATAATTATATAAATATATGATCTTTATTTATTTGTAACAATATATACAATATTCATTTTTTTTTCATTCGACAACAAATAATAATTTATACATATATTATATCTTCTTTCCTCTACTTATTTTGATTATGTCCTGATATTTTTTCTCAAATATAAAATAATAAATAAAAATAATACAAAAATATCATCTCTTTTTTACTCTCTTAATTACATATATTTTTTATTTTTAAAATTCTGTCTCACATTTATTTATCTCTAATAATTCATAATTTTAAAAATAGATATTTATACATGTTACGAAGACCCTAATAAAATATTTATACATAATTTTAATTAGTCAAAACTAAGCATGATTAACATGTTCTACTTCATGTTTTGAGCTGGTCCAAATGGAAATAGTTGGGCCGAAATGTGCCTTGTAGATACTAGAATTATACCCGTTTCATTTGGGCCATCTTCACCCTCATCTCAACCCTGGAAATAAAAGTGCTTCCATACTCCTGAAAATTGTCGGGTTTTCAATGTTGGCTACAGCGTTAGGCAATTAGGGTTCGGGTGGCACGGGATCGATGATGCCGTTGCATAGTGGTAGTTTCAACTTCTGTAGTATTTGAATATGTGCATTGAATTTACGAGTTTCTCGGGTTGAATCTATAAGTAATGTACGAGATGAAGGTAAATCCCCGGCAACGGCGCCAAAAACATCACAAACTTATTCTGAAGTGTGAAGTGTTTGTATAGTTTTTGGCGTGTTGCTAGGAATTCACCTTTCGCGTACAGCTGGGGAAACCTAAACAAACGAGGTAAAAATTTCAATTAATGAGCGATTTGAGTCCAATTAACTCTGCATCTTTTTCATATACTAATTTTTACTTGCAGTTTTAATTCTTATTTTCAATACTTGGTAATTTCCTCAGTCAAGAAGGCCGGTTTCTTCACTTAACATATGCCTTAGAGTTAGGAATGATCGCATCATGATAAACTTTTAACTATGAGGAATCAATGTGTTGCTTCCTTCAGATATGGATTACTACTAAGTGTCCTTGGTGGTAGGAGTTTAATAGTCAAAAGGAGAAGCTGTAGAGAAACCTAGCTAAGTATTTTGGAGAATAAATAGAACATCTTTATGTCAAATGTAACTAGTGTTCTAATGACACTGGTCAAGGAACTAAAAGAGGAGAGCTATTTATTGGAATGCAAAGAAATATACTCTATCATGATTTTAATAATCACGCATATGATTCCAATAAAAATTTTCTCTTAATTTCCAGACTTGTTACCAAGACCCTAATTTCATTACCATATCTGATATTTATTAATGCATTCCCCTTTTGCCATTTTTCTACCCTACTAAGAACTCCCAAATTTTTGGAAAAGGGAGTATTTTGACTTGCCAGTTAACAATTTGGGATTTCTTTTTGCTTTCTGAGGGATTGGCAGTTGGGCTAAAATTGGGCCAGCCAAATCGCCAGCTGACAACTTTGATAGATGATTCTAAGTTCTTACTATAATGTTTATCCCTATCCCTTTACACCCATGCCTTTATGATGTTATCCATTTCTATGGCTAGTTGTTCATCAGTGGCAGTACTGTATAATGACATCTACTAGTATTACTCATGTAGATGTTTTACTGTAGTTGCAATTTTGAGGCCTCAACTGATATCTTCAAGGATCATGTGTGCAATTACGTCTTTATCTAGTTCAATCTATCCTCATACAATTTAACAATGAGCATTTTGGTTATCATGAAATGTGATTTTCTTAGCCGAATTTGAAGTGTGAATGAGTTTTGGTTAATTAATAATGCATTACGCGTGATGGTTTAATGCATTTAACCGTTAGCATTTCCCTGATTAATACAGTTCTATGGTATTTCTGAATCGGGTATGATATATTGCACAGTGTGGTCCTTCGAGGAAGATGCTGTTAGTTGCATTGGGGCAGAAAAAAGATTGTTCCTTCAGCATATAATATATAATTAAGTTGTCTACAATTTGACTGGCTCTTTCAATTTGCACATTGGGCATTTGGAATGCTATTTTACGATTAGTTATTGCAGAATAAAACATTTTTCAGGTCACAGCATGGGAAGAAATGCAAGCTGACACCCTGCAAGCCAGTGAATTTGATAAACAATCTCTGGAACTTGTCATTAGCTTTGATGTATTTCTGGATTTGATGCTGAAAATATTTCTGTTTCTTTTCTTCTATATTGCTTGTTTAACTGTTGGTTTATAAACATGTGAATATTCCATTGAGCTAATTCGCTTTCATTTACCTATTAAATGAAATTGGGGCACAGATCCTCCTTCGTTATGATGAACAAACTTGGTGATGATCTGCTGAAGTACACCCACCGTCTCCTCCTTGTCTATTTTATTTCGATCCTCTTCAAAATTGGAAATGTGAAAGATCAGCTCTTGAAACTGCATCTGCAAAGGATTTTTTTCAACGTCTGAATCTTGGCAACCATGAATAAATAAAAGATAGGGAACATCTCAAGAAATGTTAAAAATCAGACGCATCTTGCATTTGTAGAATTTATCGGTGGTTGTACCATTGTTTTGCACACTTGAGATTCACTGTTTTATAGAATATAGGTTGTGATTTTGCAAGTTTTTTTATTTTTATTTTTATTTTTATGTTCTGTTTTACAGAGGCATAGGCAGGTTAAGGTGTACATAGGTCGTGACAATTAGTTTGACAATTCAATTTATCGCAATTAATAACATTTTCCATGAATAAAAGTTACTTTCTATAATGCTCACTGTTTAATACCTACACGCACTTAGAAATTTGAAATGACTTACCAATCAAAAAAGAGAAATTGGTTTGGTAATGGTTGTCATGAAAAGTTAGGGACAAATAATATTAAAATTAGTTAATATTTAAATACGAGTGAAATACATCATTAGTATATATGGTTTCTCTAAAAGTTAATCAATAATCCTAATCAAATTGGCTGGAAAATTTGAAATAAATGGTTGTGATTTGGACACTATTCCACACCCACCGATTCAAAATTTCTCTTCTAACACGCATTCGAATAATTAAATCATATTTTTCATTAAATTCAAAAGCTTCTGTATGAAGCACATGTTACTAAAAGTATAAACAAAACCAAAAACTTTCATTATACAAATTAGGGAAGAAACTCCCACTGGTCTGAGTTGATTTTAAGAAGAGCATTTCATGCACTGCACATGCATTGCTAGCTTTCCGTGTAGTGGTCAATGTAGTGAGAAGCAAGTATGATTTAATTTTCCTTTCTTTTCTTCTTCTCTATCAGTCCTTTCCTTCTGTTACGCACTAAAAATCATGGTCTTTACCATATCCTCTCTTTATAATACTGTATTGAAAACACCTAAAACACCTAAAATCAATTTCTCTTACTTTGTGATGCCTCACTGTGAAAAATTTATATTCAAATTTATTTAGACACATTTCAATTTCGTTTAACAATAATAAGTTAATTCTACCCAACTTTAAAACAAATGTCTCATAATCAATTGCTTAATTGAGACACTTGGCACACTGTCATTTCTTCAATGAGGGGCATCCTTTACAAATGTGCCTGTCTGTCACATGAGCCCTTTGCATAGTTGCCTGTGCCCTTTATCTCAAACCAAATCTGAAATCTCAACCATTTTTGAGCCATTCAAAATGTGAGGCACTTGTTTGATTTTGTTTTAACCACATCACATATATATTTTAATGTGAGACGGTATTAAGAGTAAAAGCAGCACCATCTTGTTCTTATCAAAAGAATTTTAGAAGATAATCCAAATCAGTAGTTCTAAGCTACTACCTTTTGTTCAGTCAATTTTTAATGGGTATGAAATTAAATGTCTAATCCAAGTACTAGTGTAGTGCCTGTCATTACATTACGGTGTCAGTCATTACCATGCCTTTTAACATAAAAGGTCACAAAAGAGAAAAACAGAATGTCACGGGACTGAAACTGTTGTTTGTCATGTTCCACCATATTTTGTGTGCTTGCTTATCAGTCTTTATTGAGTTTTGTTTGTTTCAACATCTCACAACACAAACCTCGATTGGTAACATGACCCCTCTTCGTCACTCCCTTATAAGATGCACAAAAATAAGTCATATATACATTATCAAGTCTCATTCAGCAAAAGAAGCAGATAAGAAACTCCTGTGAAATCGATATTTGTCTTCAGCATTATTTTCATAGCTTCAACTCTTGTTTGTTCCTCTGAATCAGCAACAGGAGCATGGAGGTGAGTTTCAAGTCTCCTTGCCTTGAAAAACCAGAAGCTGAGGCTGAAGTAGAAGAAGACATGCGCTTTCACAAGTCTCTTCAGGTTCAAATATTTCTATATCTATTTTTATATCTATCTATATACATGCACATATATGTTCTGTATGTGTTCTTTCTGTTGTTCTACTATTCTACAGTTTGTTAATGAAGTTCCATGCTTTGGTTATGGTGGTTATAGGAGCTAAGAGAACTGCAGTCTCAGCTGCACAATGCTGCAGATTATTGTGAAAAAACTTTCTTGAAATGTGAAGTTAAGAGAGAGTGAGTTCCTTCAATACTCTTATTCAAATCTGAATGTTATTTTCTTCCTTTGGCTTCAGCCTTGTGTTTTGTCTTTGACAGTTTGCTATGAGGTTCAAAATTCATTTCTCCTATGCTATGGTGGTCCATGCGACATGTGACCAGTCATGTCTAGATGGCAAGATTTTAGTCGTTAATTCTTTTTCTCCTTATTTTGAATAAAATTTACTGTATTTGAGGCCTGTGAGGGGCTTTACTGAGTATCACCCTGATCGTGTTACACCAGCCCATATAAGTGCACACTTGGGCTTAGGAGTTCATTGTCCACCCCTGCTTTGGGTTATAGTTGTTTCCCAATCCATAGGCATAACCATATAAGCTCTAGTGCAAAAATTGATCATTTGTATAATGGGGGACCACTCACCGATAATGCCACTGTTGGGGGATTGACATAATCCAATATCAATGGATGTAAATAGCGAGAATTTAATTTAAAATACATTTACAGTTTCATAGACTTTTATATGTCTTTCAATATAAAAGTAAATCTAATCACTGTTTGTATGAAAATTGAACTTGGATCACTATGTATGCTACTAATTCGGGAAGGTAAGGTAAGGATATGAAGAAGTGAAGTATATTGTCACACTAGATTAATGTTGTTGTTCTTGAATTGTTCCACATAATTTTCTTCAAATCCAAAAAAAAAAAAACGGTGCTAAAAGTTTAAGTTTCATTCTATTAAAAAATAACTTAAAAGTCTAACTCAACCTCTTAAAGTGAAGTTTGTATCTAATTATATACTCTATATTTATCATATCACTGGAAAATATGGGATCTCCAACCTACTATCTTATACCTTTTTCATTTCATTGAGCTTTCTAATTTATAAGAGTTTGTTTTCTGGACGTGCTGACCCATGACTGATTGGAATTTGTATACCTTGCAGTGTGATGGAAAACACAAAAGAATACATTTGCAGGGCCATGGTCACTGTAGTTGATCATTTTGGAAACGTCTCAGCTAATCTTGAAGGCCTTATTTCTCAAACAAGTGCATTTTGTGAGGCTGAGTCACGAATCCAGTGCCTCAGACAAGTTAGTATTGTTACTTAGCACTTGCTTAAAATATGCAGTGCAGTATGTTATCTAAAAGTTAAGAATTTGCATAAAATAGAGGACAATGATATTCTCTAATCAATTAGTGACATTAGCAACTTATTTATGCTAGTTAATAGTTTATGTCTGTTTGAAAGAAGTAACTTGTTATTCACAAAATATCTTTTACGTGAGTGATGAAAAATGTATGATCACCACAAATATAATAGATTACTAGTTACCATAGGAAAGTACAAAACTAATGTAAGAATATCATTTCCTTAACATATGTAGCAACTTCTTAACAGTTACTTGAATGGTCCTTTTCGACAGAGACTTTTCTCATGTGAACAATATGCTGATAAGCTTGCACTCACAAAAATGAGATGGAGGGAGAAAGTGCCAAGATTCCATTCTCGATATTTATCTTCACGTAAATATTTGATGTTACCCCTTTATTCTTTTGATAGGGACAATGTTTCAAATCAGTTACATCACATTGTAAGTCAATTATTGCTTTTCCATTCATCTCATTTATTTTTTCTCTGTTTTACTTTCTTTTCATGATCAGCACCCATTCTTGAGAGATCAAGCAGTGAGAAATTAAGGTACTCATTTTCCAATACCCTCATGAATCTGACATAATTTATGTTTGACCACATATTTTCTCATTGTCAGAACCAAGGAAGAACATGGCATTCTCATCATGAAAATTAACTATATTTTACATTTCACTCTGGTCTTTAATAAAGTCTTATTTTTATCCAAATCAGAGATTCAAAAACTGAAGATCCCACAAAAGTAGAAGATAAACACATACAAGAAAAGCAGGAGGAATTGCCACTTTTCTTGTGCACCCAAAAGCCACATGCAGAGAAGAATTTGAAGCCAACCAGTGTTGCTACATTGAGCAAACATAACAATCTGACCATGGGTACAACATTATGTTCTTCTAATGACAAGTATAATAGTTAGTTCTTCTACATGGCTTTCTTTTAAGTTGCATCTCTAACACAATTTTCTTTGCAAACTAAAACTAGTGGTACCTGTTCGGGACTGTTTGTCAGTCTTAACAAAAGTTTCAAATCCTACATTTCATTTCCAAGTGAGTTTGTTTTCTATACTCTAACCTGTTCTGTTTCATGTTCATGGTGCTTGTTACATAATAAACTGTTTTTTCTATGAGTCACAGATTTGTAAATGAAAAAGGCTTTTATTTTCCTTTGTAGGGTTCCCCGAAGATTACACGCCATAGAAGATCCTTGCATGGCAGTGACATCTTATGGCTCATACGGCGTACTAAAAGAATCCAATGAAAAACTATATTGATTGTTACTTCAAGTGCTACTAGCCTTCAGTACTTGTTTTGCTGGCGACCTATCATTTTCATGTGGCAGTTCAATATTAGTTGTATGATTCGGGAACCAAACATTATTTGCAAATATTTATATTTTAAAACCCTGTTTCCCAATTAACAACTTAATCCAACATGATAAGGTTAAATTATATTGGATTCAAGAAAAAATGCAAAAACTCCACTCAATCCATGTATACCTTAGTAAAGATTTGGAGAATGATTTTACTAGGACTATCAATCTTCCACTATTTTAAAGTGAAGATATATAAAATCCCAACCAGTCCAGCAATTACACAACCTAAGTCTGAATGGCATAATGTACAAGCCGGTTATAATAAGAAGCACAAGATCCTATATATACATAAATTATATACAGATTTCTCTTTCCATTGAAGAAAGTGACAAATTGTTTCTGACCATGTAGGATCATACTCCTACATAACCAAAGCGTCAATGAGTGTTTATATGTGCACTGTAACTACTTCCTTAATATGTTCTAATATTTTTTTTCCCCTACCCCATTCCATTGTGTTGTTGATATTAATGTGGAGCTATGGGAGTTTTTAAAGCATTCAAGCAAGCACTCAAGTTTCTCAAATAGTAAGAGTTTTGTAGGGCTTCATGTTGAGGAGACTTAACCATACTCTTATCATCTTTATTATGCAAATATCTCTCCATTTATGTTAGCTGAAATATCTAAAATTATGTTGACAAATATTTTGCTGTAACATATCTCTTAATATCATGGAGAATATTATATTTAGCTGTAACTATATTTAGAAATGAGCACATATGTGCATTCAGATGTCTATATATATCATATTGATTTTCTTAATAAAAACACATTTTCATATCGTACTCTTTTTGTTATGGTATGAAAGCTAGACTTTACTTTCATATTGGTTTAATAAAATATCTTTTCCATCTTGCTACTATGGTCAACTTAGAAGGTAATAATAAAGATAGTGAAACTATGAGAAAATTCATCTCCTTTGACAATATTACTTCCAATAACAACCTTGGAAGTGTGTTTACACAACTCCAACTGAAGGGAAAAAACCATGATGAATGGATTTATACTCTCGAGATTGCATTGAGAGCAAGAAAAAAATTTAGATTCATTGATGAATCTCTACTAGAAAGGATCACTAAATCTAGAAGACTACTAAACCAACAACTTTTTACTGGTGTCCTGGATAATGAACACCATTAAATCAACACTACAATCAACCATGTCGCATATGAAGATGATACAAAATCTTTGGGAAGACATAAAAGAACGATTTTTCACTGTCAATGGGTGAGGAAGAAAAGACTCATCAATTCCTTAAAGGACTTGATAAAACAGCCTATAGGAAGGTAAGATCAATTTTGTTGGCCCAAGACCCATTACCTACTTTGAATAAAATATATTTAACACTAGTGTAAGAAGACTACGTCAAAATCATATCTAATAAACAAGAAGAGCATGAAGGTGTTGAGTTTTTCAGTGCATACAAGGTCTAAAACATACAACAAAAATAAAGAAAAGCTCACAAATATGATATGCAATTATTGTGATCATAAGGGACATGAATTCGATAAGGACATGAATCTAATGGTTGTTTTTAGATAATTAGTCAACTGGATTGGTGGGACGATCGCACTCATGGGAATGGAAGAGAAAATGGACGTGAGAAAAGGGATAACAAGACATAACTACCATTGGTGGAGGATCCATCAAAGCCGATTCAAAGCTCATTCAGGAACAAACACAAACACAACAATGTCAATGGTAGAAGTGGATAGAAGGGATGTCAATGGTCTTAATGATGAGTAATGACAAACTTTGTTGAATATTCTGAATAATGCCAAGATAAGACCAACTGAGACACATTGGTAAGCATTCCCCTATGTAATGGGTTATAGACACAGGTGCCTCTAATCATATGATAGGAAGACTAAACTACTTATCTTATATTCGAGACATAATTGAATGTCCTATGCTTCCAAACAGGAAACAAACAACTGCTACAAAAGAAGGTATAATAGTGCTAATCGACAAGATGAAATTGGCTAATGTTCTTTATGTGTCAAGTTTACAATACAATCTCATTTCAGCATCTCAATTGATTGATGAATTTAATTATGTTGTAAAGTTTAGTGATAAATTTTGTGCTATACAAGACTATGCATCGAGGATGGTGAGTGGAGTAGGTGAACTACAGGGGGGAAGAAGAGAAATTGTGACAACATTACAAACTGAACAAAAATTCTTTCAATTTGTGGCACCATAATCTAAAATTTAATTCCAAATGTTGGCATTGATAAAAATAATAGTGTTTGTAATAAGGTTCATGATGTTTCTCTTATAGATAAACAAACACCAGATAAATTTCTTACTGATAATAATAAAAACTTTGGAATGTTTTAAATTAATCCATTATGATATATAGGGTCCTGTCTAACCACAAGGTAAAAGATATTTTTTAAATTATTCAAGATCAACAACTTGGATATATTTTATTTGTTGAATGATAAAAAAAAAGTTTCCATGAATTTTTGCAATTTTATAACTATGGTGAAACATCAGTTCAATAAACAAGTAAAAAAATGTGCGAAGTTTTCTTGTATGGTGATATCGAAGAAGAGATATACATGAGGTTACCTCGAACTTTTGTTCTCATGCTTTAAACCAAATTGACTAGCACCTTGAAACAATACAGGTTCAAACAATCTTCTTTTTTATTATTCTTTGTTTGCTCCACATAATGATTCGCTTCAATTTAATGTCTTCAAACAATCTTCTTTTTTATTATTCTTTGTTTGCTCCACATAATGATTCACTTCAATTTAATGTCTTGATTTATGTTAATGATTTGATTATTTCAGGAAATCATGATGTTGTCATACTTTTCTTCAAACAATAATTATGCACTTGTTTCCATATGAAAGATCTTTGTTTTTTAAATAATTTTTGGGCATTGAAGTAGCTCAAAACTCCACGGGTATTTTTTTTTTTTTTTTTTTCTTTGTCAATGGAAACACGCCCTTGACATCATTTCTGAAGTTGACATGTTAGGAGTTGAACCTATTGTTTTCCCCCTAAAACAAAATCATCATAAAGAGACCACCTCTCTCTAATCCAGAACGCAATCATGGGAAACTTGATTTATTTATATGTTACAAAACCGGAGTTTTCCTATTGTATGCACGTACTTGCACAATTTCATGCAAAATCCAGGCTAAGAATATTGGACAACAGGTGTTCACGTTATCCACTAATTGAAAGGTAATTGGGCCAAGGAATTTTGCTTCTTACTGATTGTGATCTTCAGCTTTATGATTGGTATGACTTTGACGGAACAAGTTGTCCTTTAACTAGACTTTCACATAAAGGTTGGTTTGCACTTATTAGTAATTCACCTATCTCTTGGAAAAACTAATCAACAACACTTTGTTTCTTGTTCTTCTCCTGAGGCTGAGTATTGATCCATGACTACCATGATTTGTGAATTAAAATGGCTAAAAGCTCTACTTCTTTCTCTTGGAGTTGATTATCAGCATCCTATAAAATTTTATTGTGATAGTTAAGTTGTTCTTCATATCATTGTCAATCCTATTTTTTATGAATTTAGAAAACATATTGAAGTTAATTATTATTTTATACTAAAAGAAATTCTCAAACAGTAACATCATTACTACATATATGCCCACTCATGCCATATGCTTCAACTTGACAAGGTATTAGACAAATATCTCTCTAATTATGTTGGTTAAAATCTCTCAAATCATGTTGACAAATATTTTGCTGTAATATTCTATCATATATCCTAATATCATGAAGAATATTATGTTTAGCAGTAATTATATTTAAAGATGTGAACGTTTGTACATCCGAATGTGTATATATATCATACTGATTTTCTTAATCAAATAACACATTTTCTTACCATATCTCTTTTTATTAATCTTTTTCGTCCTCGTCCTCTTCTGAATCTTCAGTGGAGTCAGTCTTCTTTACGTCACTATCCTCCCTCATTGATGTCCAACCCATGAAATCTGAAAGAGTCATTGAAGGTTGTGTCTCCGAAGAATTGAAGTTGTTATTCTCATCCCTAGAGCTTGGAGAAGTCTTTCCTGAATTTGGTAAAGAATCCAACGAGAGGGTTCCGCTACTCACTACAGATGAAGGGTTCTTTGTCATTGAATCAGCGTACAATACATCCTCAATCCTTGACATAACTGTGAAAGCCAGACTTTCTATTACTCTTGAGTAGCTCTCTAGGATGGCTTGTCCCACATCCTGTGCTCATTTTGGAAGCATTCAAAATTTGTTAGAGACCATCTAATTTGAAGACATATAATATTATATAACATGAACAAACTAATTGCAGTGCTGTTTTAACCTTGTTGTATTGTATTTTGCTAATGTCAAGTGAAGATTGTGGAAGTCCTGGGAACTGATGTTTGAGCATCACCAATATTGTCTCAGCTCTCTCCTCGAAGAGTTCCCTCTTCTCAATGCTAACTCCTGAACTCCAGGAAGACTTACTATCCTTGTTGATCATCTTCCTTCTCCATATCACAATGGAAGCTTCCATCCTATTCTTGATGTCAAGCACCTTATGTTCTGTGGACATGTCCACTGTTGAGAGAAATTGTCCAGGATCAAAGTGTTCCACTGTAATGCTCTTATAGATTGCTTCACCAAGGCTTTCTCTACCATTCTGCCAAAGACATGAAGGAGAAGATTCACCCAAGTTTCAAGTTTTCAGTGCTAATAAAATTATTAAGCCAGTTAGCTATTCTTTTGCTCTAATTATATTACCTTTGGGAGAGATTCAATATAGTTTTCAGGGATCGCCATTTCTGATAGTATTAGAGCATTTATTGCCATGGCTGCTTTAAGCACTTGGTTGACATTGTCCTTCTGTAACTGTATAAATTTTCCGGCCTTTTCAGACAGCCCTGTTGGGGGAACTTTAACTGTTGGTAGCCACCATTTGTCACTCTTCCTTTGGTTGTTAGAGTTAGCCTCAGGATCCTCATCATTTTTAGAGACATACCAGAACTCATTTTGATCTTTAAAGTTGTCTAAGGTGTCCTGTTTCATTGTTATCGAGTTAGTCCAAAGTGGGTGAAGTGAATCCATTTGAATAATAGTGATTCAGGTAAGGTTTAACTGCTTACAATGAGCATTGCATCAAGCTTGCGCAAGGCGGGGATGTTCATGTGAAGATCAGTTCGTTGCCGGGTAGTCATGATCTACACAATATCAGAACATATTGCTTTGAATGACAAATATGAAACCAAGATTCTTGGACCTTTCATTTATAGTTAGTTATAAGTTAGTCTTAAAATTGGAGGGTGAGAGAAGGGGAAGGCAGAAGGTAGAGAAGAGACAGAATAAGGTTGCATACCTCCATGATTGATCCATCCTTAGCTATTTGTTGTGATGGAGCAAATTCAACAATATGATCAGTTACAGATAGAAGCCAGTCAATTTCTTTTCTCCACCTGGCCTTTCTTTCTGAGGACATTGGCTCCAACTTTGACTGTTCTCCAAAAACAGATGCTGCATTGCATTAAACAAGCCAATTATTGACTGGAAATTTCATTGGGACTTGAGAGAACATATTTCAGTCAGTCACACTTTAAATATACATGTGTTTGAACTTGAATTGAGATGACTACAGTATCTATTAACTGTGCAGAAATCAAGGCCCATGATTAAAATCACACTACCTCTTCGGGAAAAGTGGAAACTATTTCAATCCCTTTACAAGCTAGTAGGAACTACAAAATAGTCAATTGACACATACTGATTGGAGGTAAAAAAGGTATATACCAGCCAGATTTGTTATGGCATTTGATAGAGCCAATGCCGAAGAAACACCATTCCCTGCACCTGACATGTCTTCTCCTAAAAGCAACTTAGCAAACCTTTCCTTCATCAAGTCACTATCTGATATAATACCACAAAAAGGTTTTTCAGAAATTTATGCTAAGTGTTCTTGATGATCTTCTTCTAACTACTAAGATTCAGTTTATGATTTTATTTCATCACTTTGAGGATGAACAGATTAATTTAACTGCTATCTGAAATCCAGACACAACCTTCACTTGAATTAAAGTTTAAAGATCAATATACCAGCTGGTCTCTTGGGAGGAATTCTAGGTGGTTCAACTCCCAAGCTTGCTGCTGGACTATGATCGCTATTTTGGGCGTGAATTTCGAATGTGTGATCGAATGAGCTCCTAGACTCCAAGCTTTTTGAGTACAACCTATTAGTTTCACCTGGTTCATCATGACCATGTTTCCCTGAATTCTCAAACATCCTCCTGATATGAAAAGATTTGGACTTCTGCATGCCGCTGTGATGATGAAAAGCTCGAACCATCGTTGATCAGACCTTCTTCAAGTGTCACCCTGTCACCTTTGTTTTCTAAAAAAACAAAGGAACAAGTAATTGGATGGTGATATGTTGTTGGCCTTGAAGCTATGTTTGTTGTGTTCCCTCTTCTTGATGTTTATTTGTTTTTTAAGTACTATTTGATCAATGATAGAAAGAAGGGAAAGAAAAAAAACCCCTTCTATGAAAAAAATCATGTCAAAGAACGTCAGGAAAGAAACTTTTGATGTTGTTTCAAAGAATTGTGGTGTTCATGTTTGAAGCAGAAAATAGCGTGGCTGGTTTGAGGACAAGGGTAAAAGGAAGAGGCAGGGCAATAATCTGTTGAGTTTGTTTTCTGAATTAATGAATGAGAGGTTCACACTTGCCATTGATTTCCATAATTGACAAGGAAAGTCATTAATCTAACTTTATCTGTTTTCTTCCACCCTCTATTTCTCTACCACCCCTATGCTTGATTATAGAAAAGAAACTTCTTTATCAACATAACCAATGCCAAAAATATAATAAAACAAGGAAAAGAAGTTCAATGAGTAAATGGACGAAGAAAATGGCATAGAATGGAATTTAGACACATACATTCAATGGTTGTAATATTTTTCTGTTTATTTGAAATGAAATTTGGATTACTTTAAAAGTTAAGACTTTTTGTTATTTTTGTAAGTTTTTTCTCTTTAACAATAACATCATGCATGCACGTGTAAATTCATCAATATTTATTGCATGTTAAATTGAGAGATGAAGCATAAAATGAAAATGTATCAGAAAGAAACTTGTAAGTCACCCATTAATTATCATTATCTTAACATGATTTTCTAACACCTTTAAATAATTTGCTTATTGCTGCCTTATATATGAGTTAAAGTATGTAACTGTTGAACAAAGAATTTGATATAATAAGATATCCATACACCGATATAAAAACAAAGAAGTGCGAGGAGAAGATAGAAAAGAAGATGAGTGATGATGGGTCAGAAAAAAACAAGCTAACAGTGGGACCATGTGTATGAGAATCTATGTTCAACATCATTCAAATCCAGTTAAGGCTTTTTCAACATTTTGTAACACCTTTTATTTCACTTTTTCTTTTCAAATGTAACAAAAGTTCACATAATTTAGTATTATTCAGGTTGAAAATAATTTTATAACACTGATAAAAACATGTTTTTCAAATAAAATGTAACAAAATACTATAAAATAGTGATTGTGTCAATATTAATCAAATTGAGATAGAAACATTAATCTTAGGGAAATGGTCTTAGTCTCTTTTATTCATATTCATATATTCTTGAGAATGGAAGAAGTTGGACACCCTTTTTTTTCTTCAATATTAATATTTATAAAAAAATGTTTTTAATAATATTATATTTATACTTTTCTCACTTTTATAAATTTCACACCTTAAATTATTGAGTGAAGTTGTTAATTAAATAGTCAAACCTAACTAATACAACATATTGAAAGAATTGTGTTGCTTATTAATATTTTTAAAACAAACATTTTTTTAGAACTTAGTTGATTTTATGCTGAATCAACAATAAACTATTTTGATTTGTTATAAGAAAAATAAAATATATTTTTAAATTCAAAATTATATTAATAAAAATATTTTTAATTTAAATATAATAAGTTCATATATAAAGTATAATATATACATTTTATAAAAAAAGTATGATATATTATTTTATAAAATAAAATAATTTAGTTTAAATTCCTTTTTACCGCGACCTAAATAAATTAAGTTAAAAGTAATTTGATGTCATTTAAGCATAATTTCTTTATTTAACTATTTTTTTCAAGTTAATATACACATATATATATATATATATATATATATATATATATATATATATATCACAATCCTAAACTTATTAATAGTATATTATTTTTTGTTAATAATAATTTTTTATATTTAATCCTCGAGATATAAAAAAATTTATATTTTCTATTACTCATAAAACAGAACAAATGATAGAAAATTGAGTTTGGAACAATATTATAACATGGTGGGTCTCTTGTTTGTCTTTTTGATTATGTGGATTTGCCGGCTTGTCCCATGTTATAATTTAGAGTGAAGCAAATGGATTATCATGCAGAGTCTCTGCAGAAGCTCCACATGACAACACGTTATTGTACTCAAGATAAGATTATTGCATACCCACCTTCACTTTTTCTAAGTTTAAATTCAAATTTTGTAGATGGTGTCTGTCTCCACACAGATTTTGAAACGAACTTTGGACACAGAAAACAAAATTGCTTTGTTTATCTTACAGTTATTTAATGCAGAGATTGATTGATTCATGAGAAGGGGAAGAAAAAGGGGTTGGTTGTGATTTTGTGACTCTTCCATTCTCTATGCTACACACTACTCTTCTTTTGTCTTGCATGTCACACTGAGATACCTATTTCCTAAAATTCATCATATCATGTTCTTCATCTTCAATTAACCACACATTTTGAAATTCAAGATATTTCCTCTTTCATTCATCATTTTACTCGCTTTGGTTAACACGCAGAAATGGACAAAGATGAAAATTTTGAATTAGATGAAGGGGAGTTGTTTGGGGAAAAGGTTAACAGTGTAAAGCATAAAGAAAAGAAAAAAAAAAAGTGATTTTTAGGGTTGAAGAGCATAAATAATTGAGGAATGGGCCAAGTTTACACGTCAATTTTTGTTTTCCTTGTTTGTCAAAATCCAATTTAGTTGCTATTACGTTCACTTTTTTTTCTCCATCTTTTCAATTTCTGTTTTTCTAAAACTATGTCTCTTCATGTGGCGGGAAGTGCAAAAGCTTGCTTTAAATATTAAAATAATTGTCTTGGGATAATACAAGTTTTATCATTCATCATAGTGGTAAATTTGTGAGATAATCAAAGTGTTTTTTTATTTAATTTTATTTTGTGCATAAAATAATAATAATAATAAGATATTTATTTGCTATTTTTTAAATTCCATATATTATTAGTTTTCTCTTGAGAGTGTCTTCCACATCATATGTGGGTCCATTATTTGAGAATGTTGGTTTTTATTTTTATTTTTTGATAGTTGAATAAGTATTAATTAATTAATTTGGTATGCATACATAATGAACTGCAACAACCATAATTGTGTGGGTTTAAGTGTCTTGCTTAGTTAGAGAGAAGCATTCAAGTCTGAGTTTTTAAAATAACAAACTCTGACTTCAATTCAAATTTACAACCAAACAAGGAAAAGGAACTGGTGAGGGTTGAGTTACATTTATTAGAGGGACCAAGTGTGAAATGCAACAAAGCAAGAGTCCTGTGACTTAATTTATAAAAGCCATTTCAATGACTTGTTTGAGAGTTCAGGGTACCAACTGACAGGTGTAAAATGCAGATGAAGTTCAGTTGAAGGGTGAAAACTTGGAATTGATTGTGGACAAGGACTTGTTTGGGAAACAAAAGAGCTTTTTTTTTTTTTGTGATCAAAGTTTAAGAAACAGCTTCAAAATCAAAGTGCAAAAAATAGTATCAGATGATATTTTGGCCTGCAAAAAGTTACACCATGGTATTCTGAGAATTGTTATTTATGCAGTTTGATTGATACATGCATGACTGAAACACATTAATCTTGTAGGTATGAATAAATATTGTTCAAAGCTACTCTCTGTGCATGAGAACATGCAATGGAGAATTTTTCAACATTAAAGATTTAGGTGGGGTTATATGTTTTTCAATGAAAATTATTATTATTATAATAATAAGAGGTGCAAAGATTCATGAGGTGTGTGTGAACAATGAATGGATTGGTTTCCTCTGTGTTCGGTGAACCAAATGCCACCATCAAACATTTCTCAGACAAAAGCAGATCAATAAATTTTACTCCATAGGATGCTTGGGAAGGAGACAATAATTTAGTAAATTTTTGGTTTTTATAAAAATAGTTGGTTCATATTATTATATTTATGAACATTAAATGTTGAGAATTTGGTTTGGAGATTGAGTTTATATGCCGGCAAATTTAGACTTTAGTTGGATTGTAGGGACAAGTGGATCTTTCCAAATTATTAATTCATCCCAAGTAACCATTTGACTTTAAATACCTTCATTATAATGAATAGTGTTTATCATACACATGTATGTAAGCAGTGACTTGAAACTTTAATTAATAACAAAAATATTATAATGAAGAAATAGTTTTTTTGGTAATGCAAAGGGACTAAAACTTGATCAAACAATGTTAACTATCACCTAACTTGATTGAAGACCATGTTTCTGCAAGAAAATCAGCAACTTGTTTCCTTCTCCAAAGACATTTCATAATTTTTTAGAACCATTTGGTGGAATTTTCATTCAAGTTTTAATATTAGAACAAGTTACAAGTTTAAACCATATTTCGACTCACATTAAATACATTAGTGATTTTATATGTGTGTATAAAAATAAGTATATTTATTAGAAGAAGTTAAGTGGAGGCAAGGTTAATCGAATTCATGAGCCAAATGAATGATATAAAATATTTATTATTTTTGTTGACATGAGATAATCGAATTCAGTATTATATTATAAAAAGAATAGCATGTGCTAGATGTGATATTATAGAGGCAATGATTCGTGTATGACAGCAAATAACGAATTTAACCTTAATCAGTGGCCCTAGCTGACCAATCTCAATCTTCATAACAGTAGAGTGCCGTGAAGACCTGGTTTCTATCTACACTATTTATTGCAGAGTTTAACTGATATGATTATATAGGTTTAACTTTTTTCTGATATGGATAATTTATCAGTTTTATTTATAACTGATATATGTTGAAGAAGCTCTTTGACCATATTTAATGAGATTTATATTTTTAGTTATGTTTTTTCAATTTACAAAATGGTTAAACTTAAATATTATTTAAAAATTTGAGATCAATAGCACCTAAACCATAGATTTATTATTATAAGAGGATACGTGTTATGTTATTTTTTAACTTGATTGTTATGATATTAATAAATCTGTGATATTTAAATAAGAGACTGTGTAAAATTATTTTACTTTATCGTGACATGAACTATTTTCCCATTTATTTATTGATTTTCAAAAGTGTGTCATGAAAACAACCTTTATATGGTAATATGTTTAAAAAAAAGAGAAAAAGAATGACATGATAACTTTAGAAGAAAAGAAGTACCAAAATTTTTTGTTTTCATCAAATGGTTTGCGTGGAGCAATTTTTCCACTCTGGGACTGTCTGACCCGTGTGCTTTTGAAACAGGCTTTGCTTTGCTTCTTTGGCACTCTGCAAACAATGTGTACCGCCAAAGCCATTTGCTGCCATTTTTCACATCCATAATCTTTCAGTGATTTTCTTGTCTCTAAACAAATCTCTTTAAACAATACTAAGCAACACACACTTTGTTTTTTTTTTCGGAAGCTCAATGTTGTTTGTTGCTACTATCTACCCTTCACCCAATGACAAAGTCAATGCAACCATTTGACTGTTTTGTTCCTCCCATGTGGATCTGAGGCTCTTGCTTGCACTTTGCTCCCTTGGATGAAGCTTCCATAAACCTTCCTGGCTCCTCCGTACCATAACTGCAACTTTTTTTTTTCTTAATATTTTCTTTGTTTTTCATGTGTTCCTCATCTGGGTTTGGGACTGGTGCTGCTGATTGTGATGAACAGTTGAAAGAAAATCAAGGGTAAGTTATAATAAGTGCAGCATGAAACCATGAATTCTTACTTCTTTTTGAATTAAACTGTTGGCGTTCTGGCTTCTTTATGGTGAGTTTCTGAGAATGGTGAATGTTTTATTTAATCATGAACTCTGAGGAGAGACAGAAGAAAAATGTGAATTTTTTTTATTAATCTGGGAAAGAAAAAATGGAGTGTGAATTGCAAAACATTTTAGCTTGCCAGTGGATTGGTGAATAATACGATGATGATGAGTGAGTAAAGTTGGAATTTTTGGAATCATTTTCAAGTTGGGTCCTTTCTGATTTCAGTGGAGAATTACTTACAGATCTCCAACTCTCTTCCTTTGTTTGCTTCACGAATCCAATTGGAAATATGTGCAAATAGTTTAAATTTCGAAGTTCTAGTGTCCTAATGATCGAGACTTTTTGTTTGTTTCTGTGTTGATCTATCTCCCGTTTTTTGCTAGAATCCTTGTTTTGATGAGGTCTGATTAATTAATTGCACATGTTTCAGTTGGACAACGAACAAGCCTTATTTTTGTCTCATGTAGACAAACTTGACATCCTAGAGGACAAGACCATGTAAGAATTCTGGGATTTTAATAACAATTGTTGTTTGTTTTGGTTGTTAGAATATTACTAACCTCCCAGTTTGTTGATGAAATTTTGTGTGACAGAATATACCCTCAAGACTCAGTCATGTATAGACCATTCATGACATGTGATGATCCAAAAGGGGTAGTTGAGTGTGGGGCTATAAGGAAATATAGGACCAGTTCTCAGAAAATGAAGGACAAGACAAAAACTGGGAGGCCGGCTGAGACATCATTGGCTAACAAACAAGACAAAGAAAAGAAGGTTTCAAAAGGATCCGCAGAAAGGTCTTTTGATCCATCATCCTTGCAGCTCATGGAGGTGTCTAGAGGGGCTCAAAGGTTGAACAACATGATTGATTCATGGTCTAGGGGTCTTAGGTATGATGGAAGTTCTGAAGATATAGCAAAAGATTTGCTAAAAGGGGCTCTTGACCTGCAAGAATCTCTACTAATGCTTCGCAAGGTGCAAGAAGCTTCAAAACACATGGCTAGTTTGAAGAGAAGACAAAATGGGAAATCTGAAAGTGGCAGATTTGATGCAATGCCAATTGATGGGACTACACATTGTGATCATTTTGGTGAACAAAGTTATCCCATGGGGTTCCAAAGACGTTGGCCTTCAGCTGATGGTTCTTCAAGTAGTTGCACTGAGGAGCTTAAGAAAGTGATTAAGGAGAGCCTGGTTAGTCAAAATTTGTTCACAACCACTGAAGGGTTGGATTCAGCATCCACATTCCACTCTACAAACTCAAGTCAATCTTCTGTGGCTTGGAATGATAAGCATTCTGATTCTTCTTTCTCACCAACAACTTCAAGGAGGGAAAGCCGATCCAATCTGGTTGCCAAGCTGATGGGTTTGGAAGAAATCCCTTCAAGATCACTTCCAGCTGTTATACAGAAACAGTTGGAGAGTCCAAAGGTTCTCAATCACAAAAGACCTATATTTGACATAGATATGCCTAAGGTGAGAAAAAATGTTGAGAAGGTTAATCTAGAACGTAAGATGACCTTGAAGGAAATTCTTGAGACTACTCATTTCAATGGACTTCTGAAGAAGAGTCCTGTCAGAGAGCCTAATGTTCAGGTCAATCATTCCATTAATCCATATTACAAACATTGTGGTGATTTACCTCCTATTGTACTTATGAAACCTCGATGTACTCCATATCAGGAATGTGTGAACAGTTATGAGCATGTTGTTCCTCCAGAAAAGTTATCCCTTAGAAATCTTAAAGCAAAAGCTGTCCCTTCCAAAGTGTTCCAACACAAGGAAGGATCAACCACCAACATGGGGAAAAAAATGGAAGAACATGTATCCAAAAGGTTTGCCAAAGAGGAAAGAACTAAGCTCCTCAGGGAGTTTGAGGAGTTGAAAGAAAAAGAAATCAAGTCTACTGAAAATGAGAAGGCTCCAGGAGGTAAGGTAAAACTGCCAATTCATGTCACTCACAAATCACAAGTAAATGAAACTGTTGATAGAAAAGCTAAGGTGAAGATCATTAACACTAGTAGAAAGCTACCAGAAAAGGAGGTTTCAAAACCCAAACAACAAAATCTTATCCCAGTGGGTGATGTTTCGAAATCCAAAGTTGTGACAAAATCCCATCAAGATCAAGGAGAAATCAGCTCTACAGGTACCAAGTTGAGGAAGCCACACAGTGGGTCCATAATTGAAAAGAATGAGATTCCCAGCAGGAAGAATATTGTTTCAAATTCAAACACCGTCTCAAAACCAAAGAGTAAAAAAATTAGTAATTCCAAGGAACAGAAAAAGAAGCAGATGAAGAAGCAAAGAGCTGCTGTTGCTGAGCCTGAAGCAGCTAAACCAGTTGTAAGTTTACTTTTGCTCTCATTGTTTTCCTTTTGTCTCTAGCGAATGTAGCAATATTGTGTATCATCTCTTAGAAATTTTGAGTTTGGGCTAGTAATCCATGAATGAAGGCCCTCAACCTGAATTTTAATTCATTATTCTTCTGAAAACAGGATGAACGGTTAGGCCAAAAAGAAGTAAAGAGTGTTGATGTTTCTCATAGAGATGATTACCCTGAGATCAGAATAATAACTACAATACCAGATGATCTTGCATTGAAGCATGAAGAAGTAGATGCATCTGCAAGTAAGATTAGAGGTAAATTAAGTTTTCTTCATTGGTGCCGCTTGTTAACAATTACATTGTGAGTGGTTATGCATGTAAATTTTGAAGAAGTTTGAATAACTGCCCATACAAAAATAAAATATGTACTGATCTAGTGATAAACAATATATTGTGACAGATCCATGTATTGATATAAAAGTATATAAATTTATATATTATATTGTAATAATATTTATTGATAAGTTTCTTTATATTGATAGTGCGTGGTAATTAAACTCTTATAAATCATAAGTTTCTCCATGATTCTTGACATACCAGGTATATTTTTACTTATCCTTATTTTATATATATTACAGAAATTTGTGATCAAAACCAGAGTTCTTCTAGTGATGATTATTTTATGCTCAAGTCTGCACGTGAAAATGATGCCATTCCTGCTGAGAAAGCTCATGACAGCATCAATATCAGTGAAACCGATTGCAAGTCTGAGAAAGAGAGTTCCGAGCTTAAAAATTTGCTTCTGTCAAGTCAATCGTTTATTGAACATGCAGAGGAGCTCCTCAATCTTGATGATGACTGTCCCAAGATCCTACAGAAAAGTGAAACTAAGGAAATAGCCAATCTCAGACTCCACTTGGACTGTGCAAATGAACTCACTGAGCGCAAAAGCCTTCAGGGGTCACAAGCAGTTCACCCTTTATTGCTAACTTGTGCGGGGAATCCAAGATTGCACATTTCTTTAGGTAGGTTGGTTGATGAAGTCTATAGTGCCATTGAGCATCTAACATCGTACACTGAAAAACTAGCTTCAGATAATATATATGCAATGATGGAGAGAGATATAAAGGGAAACAATGGACTGATAAATGGAATATGGAACTGGGGTTGGAGGCATGGATTTTCTGCAGATGAAGCTGAGCAAATTGTCAATGAAGTAGAGAACCTAGTTTTAGGAGGATTGATTGAGGAGGTAATTGTAAATTTATGATTACATATTGTCAGGCCATGTATACAGCCTTTAGATATCAGCATCTTCACCTTGTATATAAGGACTCATTGAATTGATACAAGAAAGAAGAGTTGAACACCTTGGCTGCAGAAAGTTGCATAATTTTGCTATGAATAGCTTTCGTTTTAGAATAATATAATGATACTCATACCATTGGATTATCTATGGAGCATTCTTTGACCTTTCATGTTAATGTCAAGCTATTGGAAAATGTGGAAAAAAGATGGAATTATAGCCATGCAACTTTAACCAATTACTATTTACTAGAGGTAGAGCGATGTTATGGTTTAACCAATTATAAGAGAAAAGTTTATATGACAACTAATATGATAAGAGAAAAGAAGGGATATCGAAGAAATAAAAATATAAAAGTAATACGATATATGAATAATAATATATTATTATCCATTAAATATATATATATATATATATATATATATATATATATATATATATATATATATATATATATATATATGGGTTGAGTACTTTAGTGGTGTATTGAAATTTTTATTTTCTTTAATCAGATTAGAACCGAACCAATGGATTGGTAATTTAGTATAAATATTTAATTAATTTAAAGAGTTTTAACGTAAACCATAAATATTTGAATTACTTTAATTATTTTATTGTAAATTACATATTTGTGGAGTAAATTATCTAAGCCTGTAATATAGATTCGCCTCAGGCAGGAATTTGATATAAAATATCCCATCTAGGACCACATCATTCTGTCTGAAAAAAGATCCATGTATTATTTTATACCTATTCATAGATATTCATATTCACATTTTTTTAATTTAAAAAATATTATTTAAATATTCTTCTTTAAAATATAACCTGAAATAAAAATTTGAAAAATCCAAACAAAATTATATCATGAAATATTAATATAAATAAAATCAATCTTTCTAAAAAACAAATTCAAATAAGTTATATTGCAAAATATGTTTAAATTCATAAATCTAAATAAAAATCATAAACCTATAAATTAAATTTTAAATAACTTTTTAATTGTTAATAATTTCTTATATAAACTATTTAATTATAAAAATCTAAATAAAATAAAAATTATTAAGAGATATTCACGACTACAAATAGTATGATAGAGCAAGTAGAGATTTGTTAGAGTAACAACTGATCGTACTATATCCGTCAGTGGGTCAATAATCTGTGTCTTTTTTTAGTAAATCTTGGATTTCATTCCAGCTTTTTTTCATACATTAATTTGCGCTTTACCATTATTAATAAAAAATAGTATCTTTCTACATTGGAAGCGAAGCATATAATAAGAAAAAAAATGTGTATTTAAACCTGTTTTGAGAATTTTCTGATGAAAGACAACCCAGAACAGAATAAAGTTAGACTTTGCCAGAGTAGTAATTGTGCCCTAAAGTAGCCATTGGTCACTACAGAAGTGTTCTTTAATAGTATACGTTGCGGCCAAAATTAGATCAGAGCTGAAACCACACCGATTTCCTTGTTATGCTATAGTAGCACAATTTAAAGAGTATCCAAAAATTCTCTTGCCCCTGTTCTGCCACCTCTGTTTTTCAGTGCAAAACCCTATCTGCATTTGAAGCACATCCACCCACTATTACCAGATACCTCTTCAAGCTGTGATGCTTTAGCTTTTGTGTAAAGAGCAGAAACATGCTTTCAATCAGAGTGCTTGCAGTCACAAATTCCAGTCTTCTATTTTTTTCCGTTACAAATCCCCTTCTCTTTTAAGAAAATGTTACTTGTTTACTGCGCGAATATTATTTTCCCGCCATAGATTATTCACATGACATGAATACAAAAATAGTATATTATTGTAAGAGTAATCAATTTCAAGTACTAGACAATATAATCCCGTCACTATACATGACTTATTTTCTAAGATATATATAGTTTCAGAGACTCTGCATAGGTTTCTGAATCAACTCGGTTCTTACAAGGTTGAGAAGGTTTACGCTATACCCCCACTGGCTCCACCATTCCAAAATTCCTTTCAAAATAAAATCACCCAAATGGATACCTTTACACATTTCATGTATAAACATTAATGAACTACCACTTCTATCTAATTATAACATAGATGAGACTCATTTTATGTTCAATAAAAAAAAGACCTGTCGAAGTTTCTTTAGAGGTTAACATACTTTACAGGGCACGATAACAACTATTAACCCCCTTTGTTGGGCAGAAGGCTGTTTTGATAGCCAGTACCTATAATAGCCTTTCACCAACTTAGCTTGGCAGGCATCTCACACTCCATATTAACAACTCAAGATAACTAATTAGTCCACCAATGTTGCTTCAAGACAAAAATGTCTAAGTTGATAAGAATACAGATAAATTCACAACACAAAAATTGTATAGGTATCATAGTTTTTAATGAAAAGATTTTTCAACTAAGTTTATATAAGCTCAACTCCATAGGTTCATATTCTTTCGTGAGCTATCAAACGCTATAATCATTAAAGTTTACATAAACTTAACAGGAAAGGGAATTTGACAATAGGCCCTACTACAAAGGGAATAACTCAATTTTCTTCAAAGACTTGCAGGAATTAAAACACTGATCCAGAAATCAATTGATGACAATAACATTTTGAAGCCTCAGATAAATTTGAAAAAATTTCGCGCAAGTGATAAAGGAAAAAACGGGAGAAAGGTAAAAGTTTAAAATAGATCTAATAACCAGGCACAATTTCTTCCTTTCCAAAATTTGTTTTCACTCCTCTTAGGGACTAAGGGCTCTTGCAATCTTAGGATTGTTACTATTACCAATCACCATCATTATTGAGTAAACATGAGATTACAACTAATATATCAGTATTGTCTGCCTAAAAAGGTTCATGATTCTCTGCATGCAATTGTGATTCTCACCATTCAAAATTTTGATTTTAAGATAAAATGTGAAAGAAATATATGCAACAATCTTTCCTGTGAATTGGATGATGGCTGCAAGATGTGCAATTTAAAATACAACTCCACCTTCCATCCTCGCAAAGCCAACTTAAGTGAAACTTGTCCATAGACACCTTTAGTGAGGTTGAAAATCAGAATCTTGAAAGCAAGCAAATTTACAGAGAAAGAAAAAGGCTTTAAAAAATTATAGTACTATATCACTCTGAACTGGCAAGAGCTGACTGCAATACATCTTCAAGATACTTCTCAGCATCAGCATACTGCCTTTTCTTATCCTCAATTGCTAAGGCAGCTAAAGCTTTATCCTGAACAATACCAACCAACAGAAATATACAAATAAACATAACGTAGTTTTAATACTGTCAATAAATATAACAAACAGAGCATGTAAATCATGAAATACCGGAGGCAAATCTTGGTAACTCCTCAGAGTATCAAGGATGGGCTTAGTTTTCTTCTCTAGCTCCTTTCTATGCTCAGCTGTTTCAACCAAAACCCTATGGCTAACCTCTGGGGTATAACCTGCATGATTCAGCACTGCCTGCACGGGGCACATGGCAGTAAGCCAAAAACATACCATAAATATCCTAGACTGCAGCCTATAATAAGAACACGGCAACTATGAACAAAATAATAATAATAATAATAATAATAAAGGATCATGTACAGAAAGCCAATAATCTAGATCTTGTACACAAAAAAGTGCACTAAAGAAACTGCAGGGTACAATTAACAAATAACAATAACTTATACACATAAGAAACCATCAACATAAGAAGAAATATAATAAGCTGACAAACCTTTAAGTTAAGGGGTAATATCATAAGCATGAATGCATACAAAAGGTTAATGCCTACAGTATAATTCTTTTTTTTTTCTCAATGACTAAAGTTATCTACAACATTTTGTTGTTGTTTTTTATGTATATCTCTTTTGCGCTAAAGATAAATACACATCCATGTCACATACATTCCAAACATATATCTCACCTCCAATAACTAATTTCTTAAGCATCCATCGCCCATAAGAAAAAGAGACAGCATACCTTGTAGTTGGCACATTGTTGCAAGTACTGTCTTTCTTTTGCAGCCATTACTTGTAAGTTTGTTGCCCAACTCTCCATTTGAGCCTCACATGGAGCTACCTCATCCTCTAACTGAGCAAGTGTTCTGCATAAAAATTTATTAATGTAAACTTAAAAAAATAACTGATAAAAGAGTGTTTTATGCCAAAAGGCTGAATATACTATCTAGGGTGACATAATGTAATTCAACAACAACATCTCAATTGCAGGGGGCGCAGCAACCACATTTGGTGTGATTGTCAACAACATCAGCCATAATGCAACCAAAACTTGCAAGGTAAAACACACCATGAATACATAAAAGAACTCAATTCCATAGTTTTAAATTGCCACTACAATATTGGAGTTTTGGAGGCTTCCACAACAACACCGCACCTGCAATCACCTACCTACAATTTTCTGTGATATTGTCTATTGCAATTTAAAATGTTTGACTCATTTGAAAATGTACCTTTTTAAATATGTTAGCCTGGCTATGGCCTTTCTAGTGTAATCAAGCAGAAGCTTGGATTCCTTGTTCACTTCAGCCCTTTTTTCCTCCACTCCAGTCTTCCTCAGGGAAATATCACCCATAGCTACAAGAAAGCTAAACACATATTCCAGGGTGAATTCAAACTTCAAATATTGATGCAAAAAATAAAAAAAAATAAAAAAAATAAATGAAAACAACAGTGGAGAAACCAAACAAAACCCACCTACTCATTTCAGTATCTCTTATATTCAACAAGTTGGCCACATTTGCAAGAACTTGTGCTGATGTAACCACATTGGAGGGCAAGCTCTCCTGCGCCAAGCCCACATTCTCCAAAATCTCCCTAATCCTCGCAGCTGCAATATCAAATCATCAAGGATTTAAAATTGGCTATGCTTAAATGCTGCCCAGGCTGAAAGCTACAATTTTAAGTTAGGTTGGTATAACGTATTCCATGTTTCTAACTGTCTCAACAAGTTTGTGTCAGCTTTACCAGATTCTGATGTGGAGAACGATATGAAGACCAACAACATTGATACAGAATTTTCATTTTTGTTTTGGTGAATTACGAAACAGGATTTGAAATTCAACTAAAATTGCATCATCATCATCAAGGAATGTCTATGCTCAAATGTATTAATCTCATGTCTTAAGATTATAAATATCAATCACGATTTTAATTAAAAAGATATATAGCTTCGACCATTAATTTTATATTAAAACAACATTTACTAGGACTGAGGACTCTGTCTGTGTCAATAAATTATATTTGATAATAAATATTTATGAGCTAACAAGGTAATTGAGGAATCTATTATACATACATAACGTTTTAATTTCTATCAGAAGAATATTTTATAAATTTTGAAAAAACAAAAGAATTATGTTGTATAATAACAAAATGTCTCTGTGAAGGATCAGAACATCAAAGAAAAGGTTATGACCACAAATGTCCATAATTCTACCTAAAAAGAAATCGTCATCATCACCATCGTTTTCCAAAATCCGTGACCACGGGTATCAAAGTTTAGCCAGTCCAATTGCAGGAGTATGTAATTTTGCACAACTGAAAACAATCATCATTTTGGCGACAGAAAACATGAGAACCCTAACCCTAAGAGCAACTGACCTTGGGATCGGTACTCGGAGGCCTTGAGGCGGAAATCGCGAGCTACGAGGCGCGCTGCCTCGTCTTTGGCTTTGGAAAGAGTGATGAGATGGTGCAAATACGAGACGCTGCGCGGTGTGTATTCGAATTCCGGAACTGATTTCCCAGCGCCTTCGACCGTCTTCGCGAGCCACTCCTTCACTTCCGCCAGAGCCTCTTTCTCGCTCATTCTTCTCTGAAACACACACGATTTCAGATCAAATCTAATGAATCAAACCACGAGTGAGTGTAACATAATTCAAATCTCTTCATCTCAACAAAGGAACCAACGAAAAACAAAAAATAAAAAGCCTTACCTTCTGAATAGAATGAATCAATTTACCGGTAATGAATTCTACTTTCCTCGTTTCGGTGGCGCGTGATAATAAACAAACAAATTCCCCTCTATAATTTGAATTTTTTTTTTGAACAGCATTGCGTTAAGTTTTGTTTGGATTAAATTATGGAAAAGGAAGGGAGTAAAAAAAAAGAACCAAATTGGAATGAAAGTTATTAATAAAAATAAGAAAAAAATATTTTTAATGTGACATTATTTTATTTGTTTATTATATTTAAAAAATATTTGAAATTAAAAATAAATTTATGTTCCTTGTATAGTTATTTTCGACGTGAAAATAGACTATATAAACATATTCTATTATTATTATTATTTTATATATAAAAAAAAATCTTTTTGTTGTGTCTTCAAATTTCGTATTTTTATATAGGAAAGGTTTCTTTTTTGTTTTAGCTTATGTTAGTAGATTTGTTTCAGATTAAAAATACATTTTTCTTGACATAAACTTTAAAATACAGTATTTCTGTTTTGTTGAGAATATTTTGAAAGAATTGCTCACTGGACTAATGTTATTGTGGAGGTTTGAAAAAAATGTTGTGAGAAAGTGAAATTTGTTTCCATCTATTAAAGAATTAATTGCTGTTAATTATTTTTAAAAATTAAATATATCATATAATAAAAATTAGTATAGATTTGAATCATTTATTGTTCATAATAAATAGAAAAATCATATTGACCTATTTATTATGTTGATTATTAAATTTTGAGAGATATATTGAATTGATTCAAGCAAGCAAACTTATCTGAACTGGTGGAAAGAACAACAAAAATTATATTTCTATATTAACATCTAATTGAATTATTCAAATAAAAAAAATCTTACCTATAATAAACATATTACCTATAATTATATTAAATCATTATTTTTATTATTATAAAATTATTTTTTAACTTTTTCTTTTCATTATTTTCAATGATCACAGAACTAAATAAATAAATAAAAAAGCTTAACAATCACTTGTGTCTCTCCTCTTAGAAACTAGGATCCATCACTATGAAGCCTATCCTTAGAAAATAAGCTTTTACACAACAAATCTGTAGGTAACATATCTGCCAGCAGTTTCACTTGGCCGTATAATCTTCACAACCTGACCACGCTTCAATCCATAGTATCGTGCAACAGGATCTGTCACCTGAATCCTTGGCAGCTGAACAATACCATGTCAGCATCAACAGAAAATTTATAGAACAATACCAGGCATACATGCAAACCAAAAAAAATGCAGAAAAATAGATTCCATAATATTCATTATTCCAGAACTCCAAGGGACAAATAATTGTTGTTTGTATCTTAAAGTGTCACTCCAAACATTTTCACAAAGTGAAGAGAGTGATCAACCTGGGTTTCTTTCACCGTGTATCTCTCAATCAAGGTTTTCTTCTCCAGATCAGTGAGAACCTGATGTTCAGGGACAAGCTCATGCTCTTTAATGTTCACCAACAGCTCTGCCTCCTGAATCAACATCCATTGTAAAACTCAAGTTCACAAAAAGCACAAAATCAAACAAAACAATAAATGTTACGGCATAAATCTAATGCAGGTTTCAAACAGACTTGAAAGAATGTAACCTGAAAAACCTCCAATTGAAATTTGGAAGAGATTTCACTAATGCAGGTTTTAGCGAAGGGGGTGAGGCTGCTCTGAGTGACCAGAATGGCTCGGGAGACATTTTCGGAGTTCATACGATTGGTGTAGGTCTTCATCGTTTTGACGCCCACCTTAGCCTCCTCGGGGAAGAACACGTATATCTGGTCGCTGGAGTTATCCTTCTTGGACTTGTTGATGACGAGATCCTCGCGCTTCATGTGTTCCCCGAACTTAGATTTGAATTCAAGCTTGGACATGTTGATTTCGAAGTCTCCAACAAGGTAACCTCTGTCTCTCAACATCTGCATCACCGTCTTCCTGATTCGATAGAGCCTCGCAATTTCTTCGTCGGAAAGCACCATGGTTGCGATCACAACTATCAAAGCCCTAAAGGAAAATAGGGATGAAACTGCGTGTCTAGGTTTTCAATGGATTATAGATTGGATACTGATCCTGTCTTGGCGAGATGAGAGGAAGATCAAAGTTTCGGTTACTACGTAGATTTTGAATACAACATCATAGTTAAATAGTATGGACGAAAAAATGAAAAAAAAAAAAAACGGTCTACACTTACTTTTTATTTTTATCTATATCTTTATTCTGTTTTTAGTATATTTTTATAAAATTAGATTATCTTTTATAAGTATGCTTATTTATAAAAAAATATTTCTCTTTGTTCATCAGACATATATTATGTTTTCTTTTCATTCATTATAATTATATTTATTTTATTTTATCTTATGACATTAAAAATAATTATGAAAAAGGAAATTTATATTTATATATCATGAACGGGGTTTTATGTATAAATTTTTTATATTAGTAAACTTTAAAGAAAATTATTTTATTCTTTTAGATTTTAAAAGAATAAAATAATTATCTTTTATTCTTTTAAAATCTAAGTTAAATTTTTATTTATCAAAAATTAGATTTTTATCTGTAATATAATATTTTTGTAATATTAAAAAATTAGAAAAATATACACAAACTAAATTAATATAAAAAATTATATAAACTTTTTTAATAAATAAAATATTTAATATATATATATATATATATATATATATATATTATTTTATCGAACAATGACACTATTTCTGTTTTACAAATATTATTTATAATAAATTATTAATGACAAAACTATTATATAATATTGTAGTTCAACTATTATATTAAAAAAATTAATGATAAATCATTTTCTTATTTTTGTTCTCTTTAAATAAATAAAACAGAAAGTTGACACAACTCTATCATTTCATTTAGAATTTATGACATATAATATCACGTTATTATTTATATAAGGTTTTCAATAAATTAAAATATAATGTAAAATGCAAATTTTTTTTTAATCAATCAAACATTTTCAATTATTTTATCTTTCAAAATAAAATAAAAAATTGAACAATGAGATAAAATATATAAAAATAAAAATCATAATATGTTTAATATTGAAAATATATTTAAACTTGTTTCATTAAAAAAAATGGTTATATAGAAAGTTGGAAATATCATATTATAGAAATCTTCCATATAATAAAAATTACAATCATATATATATATATATATATATATATATATATATATATAAATAGATTTGAATTAAACAACTTGAATGGTGGTTGATATCAAATATTTCTATGGCAGACAGGTCAAAAATTAGTTTTTTAATACAGACTAATGGGGAGTGGAATATTCAAAGACAGATAGATTCCATTCCAAACATAGTTTAAGAATATAAGATTATGATAAATAATAATAATAAAACAAAGGAAAACGAAAACATATTTTAAGAATATAAAATTATGATAAATAATAATAATAATAATAATAAATAAAAGAGAACGAGTACCAAGTGCTAATTACAGCTTTGGACTCTCCGAAGGACTCCAACAACAAAGAAGGGGAGTTTCAGGAATTTCAGAAAGAGGTTTTGCGTTTTGAGTCATCAGAAGCCGTAGTTTGATGGGGGACGAAAAATCCTCCATGACCATCACCACTAGAGACAGAGATCGAGAGCTTCTCATCCCGGTTGCCGACACCGCCGCCGGCGATGAAGCCGCCTCCCCTTCCCTCAAGCAGTCGTCGTCATCCGTCCATCATGCTGGACGCGAGGTGATTTCTTCTTCTACTCTTTCCCATCTAGGGTTTTCAATTCACCACTGCAGTTCATTTTCGTCTCTCTTTTATCCCATTTGCTCAATCTGAACTGTTTTGAATGTGTTGGGTTAGGGGACCTATTTGGAAGTTTTTACTTTGACTTGGAGTTTTTTTTTTAGGATGAACCAGTTAGGAATTGGGGAGTTATTAGTTTCTTGTTGAGAGCAATGTGTGACTTCTTAGAACGAAGATTTAAGTGAGTGATAATCTGAGATTGTTTAATGAATCATCAAATTTTATCCAAAATGAAAAGTGATAACGAAATTGGTAACACAAGTGAAGCTACCTAGTGCTAATTATTACATGGAACAATAATTTTCATTTACACCTAAGTAGAAATAAATTATTTAGGTGCATATATAGCGTGTATATGTTAGTTTTTGTTTTTGTGATTTTGAATACCAAAGTTACAGGTTGCATACGAGAATTTTCTATACTCTCATACTATTTGTCTGACAGATTGCTCTTTTTTCGTGTTTCTGTCATTTTGTAGACATTTTGCAAAGTTGTTAGAAGCTGGGCATCAAAAAAGTTCATGACAGGATGGTGCGTGATTCTTCTGTCCAACATCTTGATATTTAGGCACTGATACATGAGATGTATTGCATATTCCTACAGGATATTGTTCATGTTTATTGAATGTATTTGCCTTTTGCATGCTTTGTATTCTTTGAGGTGTTGTTTATTTTCATTTTATATCTGTTGCATTGTAAAAGGAGAAATACAGAGCATAATAGTTGCTTGCTTAGTATTAGGAAGCTCTTACTTCTTTTCTCTGTAGGGGGAGAGGATATATGTTCCTAGTAATATTAAGAGTCCAAGTGATACCTTCTTTATTGGGAAATCTTAAATGAATAAAAAATCCCGGGTTCTATTTCCTAAAGATTATAAATCTCAAAATGACTTACTGGACACGGGTAACTATTATGCGCTTATTTATGACAATTCTCAGCATAAGTACCACAAAAAATTTGTAACAATCTCATTGCTATCTCGTCACTTGATTTAAATTAAAAGGACAATATGATGGAGGAATAGATAGATTTTAAGTCATCAATGATGATTTAATGGTGGATGCTTGCTCCTAAGAAGAATATTTGTTATTGTCAGTGTGTCTCTCTCTGCTTGTACATATCTATGGTTTGCTGAACTATGTTTTGTTACCTTTATTTGTTTTGATCAGTGGTTGGATTGTCCTTTTCTAATTTCCAAAGTCCTTTATTTCTTTGTTGTTTTGAATTGGTGATATCTCACTGTTAGTTCTTTTGCAGTGTCATTCTCTTTCCAATTGCTATCACCTTCTATATAACGTGGTGGTTTATTCATTTTGTGGACGGATTTTTCTCTCCTATCTATGCTCAACTTGGAATTGATATTTTTGGTAAGTTCTTGTGTTTTATGGTATTTAACAATTAACCTTTACTTAGGAAAAGATTGTAACTAAGTTCACTTGTATGTGTCAACAACTTATTTTGTCTTGTGGCAGGGATTGTTTAAAGAAAATAATATTTTTTTTCACTTGAGACTGCTAAAATTATGCTTATTTAGTATTATGTTGTCTTTGATGCATATTTAAGTGGATTTATTATATTCGCAATATTCCTTTATTTTTTGTCTTCTCTATTTTTTTGCCCAGGAGTGGGTTGGATTATTTCAAATAGCAACAGAACTTTTTCCAATTTAAATTGTTTGAATCTTGTTAACATTATTTGCTAAAATGTGGTCAGGTCTTGGATTCATAACTTCCATAACTTTCATCTTCTTGGTTGGGGTTTTCATGTCATCATGGTTGGGTGCATCCGTCCTGGGCCTTGGGGAGTGGTTTATCAAGCGAATGCCTCTTGTTCGTCATATTTATAATGCCTCCAAGCAGATTAGTGCTGCTATATCTCCTGGTGTGTGTTTGTGAACATATAACTCTTAACTGGACAATGTTATGAATGAAATATTGGATGAGAACAGTTGATGCTAACATGCATATTGTCACAGATCAAAATACACAAGCCTTCAAAGAAGTAGCTATCATTCGGCATCCACGTATTGGAGAATATGCATTTGGATTCATCACCTCATCTGTTACCCTTCAGGTCTTATGAAACTTCAATGTTTAAGAGTATTTTAAGTTCAGAACATTTACTTGCATCATTGCTCGAGTCTGAGTTTAATTATGATGCCCGGTTGTTCTCTAGTACCATTCCTTTCATCTATGATCCCATTATTCTGATGTTAGTTGATATTTTTAGATTTTAGCATTTTTTATGTTCTTTCTCAAACATCGTGTATCTTAATATTGTATATACGATAAGCCATAGGAAGATTTCTGTATTCGGAAGCATATGACTCTTCAAGTTTGATAAGACTGGTTTATGGTCAATTCATGACGATTATCTGTGTTTACAAAGCTTTTACACCGCATTGTTTGCTGAAATTAAATATTTTTTTACAGAACTATTCTGGAGATGAGGAATTATGCTGTGTCTATGTGCCTACAAATCATCTCTATATCGGTGATATATTTCTTGTCAACACGAAAGATGTCATTAGGCCAAACTTGTCAGTTCGAGAAGGAATTGGTGAGTGATTCTTTTATATTTACTCGAAGTCTCGAGTTTTAGTAGTCAAAGCAGGCATATTTATTTTGCACTGGTTGTGTGGTTAAATTACAAAGGTAATTTGTTTGCGGTTTCTGTGGTTCCCTCTCTGCTCATGTTGCACTAACATTTTAACTTTTTAAAAAGTATAGTGGTTAAATGAATAATGATAGTTATCTACACTTAGGCACATATTCGTCTCGCACTTTTTGGTACATGTTTTTAGATGACACTCCGGTTCTAACTCCTAATATACAGCATAGTAGCTGGATTGTATAAGTACCTAGCATTATGTGTGACTATCATTTTCTAGGCTAGCTTTTGTACTTCAAGTTGCAGGCCTTGAAAGTGTATGCAAATGTGTATATATTCTGTGTTTTTCTTGGGATATCCCCTACGCTTGAAGATTCCTCTCTAAAATGCCTAATAATAAGAATAAATGAAGAAGAATAACCAAAACTCGTTCCATTCTAGCTTCAACATATGCAAAATTGCTGATACTGTTGTTTCGTCATCATCATTGTCATGATAATAATTCATTCCTCTCTAGTTTCACAATATGCTTGAATCTGTTTCAAAATTGCAGAAATTGTTGTTTCGGGAGGCATGTCAATGCCACAGATCCTATCAACGATTGACTCACGCAACATACCAAGGGAAATAAGTAGAATCAACAGAAGCTGAGAGTGAAGAGCATAGAAGTTATTTATGGGTGTCATATGAAGCCTTCAGAATGACAATGCAATCATTGTGTTGCGGATGCTAGTATTGAATTTAAGTGATTGATTGCTAAGAAAGTGAGACTCTGATGGCGCGTGTAACATTGGTTTGTGTAAGAATGTAGAGTTTAGCATTTATTCGACAACCATACAAAATTCTATTCTGTGCTTGGATTCTCGAATTTCTACCTGTGTATAATGTACTGGTTCCCCACTTGTTATAGCAATTCAATTTTGTAGCCTGATTGATCAATGATTGTTTTCAGCTTAATGCAGTATTTCCGTGTTGTTATCAAATAGTCTGCATAAAAGGTTCGATAAAAAGTTGTTAATTATCAATTATCATCCTATAAGTTGCAGTGTGTGTCTAATGAACCAATCATTTAAAAAAGTATGTAAGTAAAAAAATAAAAAATAAAAAGTTGTTTAGAAATAATCATAGGTTAAAAATCTTCATATGCAAGTGAACAAATACTTTTATTAAAAAAAAAACACAATTTGAATTATTATACCAAATACATCTGTCAATAAATGATGAATTTTGATTTAACATTATTCTTGTCATACACTACAATCCATTATTTTTTTTTTTTATCAAAATATTCATTTTGCTCACGTTGGAGTAAATGACTTTTGGATACAATTTTATTTTTAAATTATAAAAGCAAAAAACTAAATTTGGAACAAATAAAATAAACTTAGTATTATTTAGCAAACTAATTTTTGATGTGAAACTACTAAAAACATACCAACACTAACTTTCATATTTTTTTTCATAATTTTTATTTGTAAAACAAAATTACTGAAATTGTATTATACAAAAACTTACATACCTTCGAACAGATTTGAAAATATTTTAAATTAAATTATAATTTTGAATTTAGATATTTAATATTTTTAATTATATTATTGGTATACAGTGCTTAATCTTTTGACTAATATTTTAAGAAGATTTTCACTTTTAACCTAGGTTTTTTATTTTTTCATATATAAAACTCAAATCTAAACCTTTGTTTTAGAGAAACATAGCTTATGATGGAAAAATAACTTAAAGGAAAATTGCTAAAAATTTTACTGATCAACTCAACTAAGAAGGTTACAAGATACATGAGTTATATACAGTAAATGGGAAAAGAAAACTAAATATAACCATTAAAACAGAAACAGTTATTTACAAAGTCAATCCTAACACCCCTTTCAAGATGGAGTATGAATATTAAGCAAGCTCATCTTGCTCATGTTGGTCTGAAAAGGTATGGGAAAGAGAGATTTTGTAAACATGACTGCAAGCTCATGTTTAGAGGTAACATGAGAGAGAATAACGAGAACTTCAAGACTCTTGGATCGAATGAAGTGACAGTTCATTTTTATGTGTTTGCTACTATCATGAAAGGAGGGATTCTTGGTCAGTTGTATCACATAAAACTGAAAAGGGCATAAGAATGGACATGGCTAAATCATCAGTAATATATTTCAACCATTGTAATTCACACACGAGGGAGGGAGAGGCTAGAGCCCTGTATTCAACCTTTGTGGAGCTTCAAGAGACCATTTTTCTTCTTGGACTTCTAAGAGATCAAGCAATTACCATAGAAGATACAGTAAACTGTTACATATTTTCTTGTGGTGCTGCAAGTGACCCAATATGAGTCAGTAAAAGCTTGAATCCTGTGAGGATTGTTAACTGGATAGAAGAGAGCTTTGGCTGGTGGACCTTTGAGATATTTGAGTATTCTAAAAGTAGTTTGGAGATGAGGTTGTCTCGACTTTGATACGAATTGACCGATCTGCTAAACAACAAAGCAGATACCTGGACGTGTGTTTGTCAGATATATTAGTTTGCTGACGAGACGTCGAAATTAGTAGGATCATTTAGTAATTCACCAGTGTCAGCATTTAACTTGACTTTAGGTGTAAAAGGTGTGTTAATTGCTGGCAAGCAGTGAGGCCAAACTCAGATAATATGTCAAGAAAGTATTTTCCCTGATTGAGAACAAGACCATGACAAGATTGAGCAATCTCAAAGCCTATAAAGTATTTGAGATTACCGATATCCTTAATATAAAATTGGTCATGAAGATAATGTTTGACCTGATTAATGAAGGATAAATCATCGTTTGCTAGGACAACATCATCAACTTATATCAACAAGACTGTAAAAGAATGATCCTTATTATGTATGAATAGCGAATGATCAGTAGGACTTTGAATAAAGCCAAAAGAAAGTAAGGCAGAAGTCAACTTAGCATTCCACTACTTGCTAGCCTGACGTAACCCATATAAAGACTTATGCAGTTTGTGTTGGGAAGGATGATTTGAACCCAGGAGGGAGACGCATATAAACCTCCTCATGGAGATCACCATGTAAAAAAACTTTGTCTACGTCCAATTGATGGAGAAACCATCCCGAAGAGACAGCAAGATATAGGAAAAATCTGGCAATGGTGATCCTCACAACTAGAGAAAAAGTTTCAAAAAAATTCACCCCTTTGTTTGTGTGAAACTTTACACGACTAGGCATGTTTTATACCGTTTATGGAACCATTTGCTTGGTGTTTAGTACCGTAAACCCATTTACATCTTATAATTTTCTTGCCTGAAGAAAGAGGAATCAACGTGCAAGTTTTATTCTATTCAAGAACTTGTAGTTCAGCCATCATGAACTTCCTCCAACATTCAAGTTGACTTACTTCTTTGTAAGAAGTTGGATCAATTGTACTAGAAACAGAAAGGCAAAAAGAATTATGATTAGGAGAGCATTTGGAGTAAGATAAGTAAGAATGCATAGGATAAAAAACATTACAAACAAATTTATGAGATGAAGAATAGTTAACTAAATATGAGAGTAACTTTCTTACTCGAAGTCTCCTAACCCAACACATTTTGAAATCTGAATAAATTTATATTTACATTTTAAAAATTTAATATGAAGTTGTCGTAGTTACATAAAAAAATTTAGAAATTTTTATATTATAAAAATTAAATTAAACTTTATGTTTTTTTATCCATATGCCAACCAAAATTTTTTTTAATACATTCTTCGTTGTGAATATTGTTGACACATATTTTTTTTTACAAAGTTCATCAATATTACTAATATTTTTTCTTACAAAATATATTATGATTAGAGCTAATAATTCATTTTAGTATTATAATTTTGAATTGCCATTCACCTACTAAACCAACTAACTTGACATTTAATAATATACATTGAATTTAAATAAAAATACTCATTAAAGCAGAAAACAAAAATCGGTGGCATGTAAAAAAAAAATTACGAACAATGTCTATAAAATATTTACTACAAATTTCCGTTGGATTTCAGTAATTTTGAAATAAATTTGTCAGTAAAAAAATCCTAAGTAATTAACATGATTATCTAATGGTGTTTGATAAAGTTTTGAAATTCAAATATTGACTATTTTTCTTTTTATTTTGCAGGAAATAAAAAATAGTTAATACTGTAATTAAAAGGCAGCATGTTAATATTTAAAATGAACTCTTAGCATGTTGAATCAAATTAATGTAGTTTAATACTTTTTTTTACTAATAAGAGAATAATTACTAATTAAGATGATCTTTTAATGTAATTTGATCGTTTTAAACTCAAATAAAGGTGAATTTATGTGAGTAGATTTTTCATAATTTTATTGAAAATCCAAATTAAAATTAAAGTTTATCATTATGTAGAAAGTTAGATCTATTTAATTTAAGTTAAAATTTGTTCTGTTAGAGAACATTTACATCAGAAGATGACACAAACAATTGTACTATAGAAAAAACGACACAAACAAATATACTAAAAAATGACATATGACAAGGTTTTCATTGTAATGAACTGAAAATGGATAGAAGATAGACATAGATAGTTTAACCAAACAACTCAAATCATCGTTGAAATCAAATTCATTCAGTGGCAAACAGGGAAAAAAAAACTATAATTTTTTATTTGTTTTTTATTTTAATTTGAATATAGACTTAATTAGAACTGTGTGTGACTTGTATACAAAAAGTCAAAGACTGGAATATTGAAAAGGCAGAGAGACTTAAAACATATTTTAAGAAAATAAAATTATAATAAATAAAGAAAGAAAGAAAAAAAGAAAGAAAGCGAAGACCGAATGTGAATTGAAGCTTTGGACACTCCAAAGGACACAACAAGAAGAGTTTCAGAAAAAGAGGTTTCGCGTTTTGCGTTTTGAGTTCCATACGGCGTCGTTTATGGGCGCTGAAAAATCCTCCATGGCCATCTCCACTAGAGACAGAGATCGAGAGCTTCTCATTCCCGTAGCCGCCGTCGAAGGCCCCGCCGCCCCTTCCTCCATGCCGTCCTCGTCGTCTTCTTCGTCGTTGTCTGTCCCGCATCATGCTGGACGCGAGGTGATCTCTTTATCTACCCTCTCCCAATTAGGGTTTCAATTAACCATTACAATTCATTTTCGCTTCCTCTTTTTTTACGCAATTCGCTCAATCTGGTCTTTTTTAATGTATTGGGTTGGGGGATTTACTTGAAAGCTTCTTCCTTCACTTGAATTGAGGTTTTTTGGGGATGAAGCAGTTAGGAATTTGGGAATCAATATTTTCTTCGCCAAGAGCAGTGTCTAGTTTCAATAGAATGGATATTTTAAGTAGTTGTTAATATGAGATTGTATCATTATTCCTCAAATCAATTTGTATGCAAAATGAAAAAGGGGTAACAAAACTGGCAATGAAGTGAAGCTATCTAGTGCTAATTATTGTCAGCTGTATAATGGACCAATAAATCATTTTTACATAAATAAAAACAAATTAGATAGTTGCATGTATTGTGGGTGATTTTTTTTTCTCTCTTATTGTGGTTTTGAATACCAAAGAAGAGTTATCGCGCTCTTTTAATTGCAACTTAGATATGAGAATTTGCTATGCCTTCTTAGCTATTTGTCTGACAAATTGCTATTTTATTTTTGCTGTTTCTGTCATTTGTAGACTTTTTACAAAGTTTTTAGAAGCTGGGCATCAAAAAAGTTCATGTCAGGATGGTGCGTAATTCTTCTGTCCAACATCTTGATAAAAATGGTTATATGAAATGTATTGCATGCTCTTACATATGATCTTGTTTGTGTGCTTCCTTTTGCGTACCTTGTATTCTTTAATGTGGTGTTTTTTTAAACTTGATTTTTTATCTACATTTTATTTCAGCTAGCACTTGTTGTTTATGGTGTTACACATCGATACAAACGAAAAGTTACGCAGCATGTTATATATATATATATATATATATATATATATATTTTAAACTTGATTTTTTATCTACATTTTATTTCAGCTAGCACTTGTTGTTTATGGTGTTACACATCGATACAAACGAAAAGTTACGCAGCATGTTATATATATATATATATATATATATATATATATATATATATATATATATATATATATATATTCCTGGTAGTATCCAAAGAGCCCAAGGGATACTTTTTTTAATTGGAAAATCTTAATTGAATGTAAACCCTGGGTTCTAAAATCTAGAGACTACAAATTTCCAAATCACTTATTGGACTCCAGTTACTATCATCCACTTTATTACAACAATTCTCATAATAGTATGACAAAGATATGTTAAATGTCCTTGCTATCTCATCACTTGATTTAAATTAAAAGGATAGCATGATGGAGAAATTGATAGACTTTCAGCATACCTCTCTCTGCTTGTACATATATCTATGGTTTGCTGAATTATGGTTGGTTGCCTTTATTGTTTGGATCAGTGGTCGCATTGTCCTTTTCAAATTCCCAAGGCCCTTTGTTTCTTTGTTGTTGAATTGGTGATATCTCACTGCTACTTCTTTTGCAGTGTCATTCTCTTTCCAATTGCTATCACCTTCTATATAACATGGTGGTTTATTCATTTTGTGGATGGATTTTTCTCTCCTATCTATGCTCAACTTGGAATTAATATTTTTGGTAAGTGCTTATGTTTTATGGTATTTCACAATTAACCTTTACTTATCATGTAAAGATTGTAATAAAGTTCAATATAGGCTTGAACAACTTATTTTGTCTTGTGGCAGGGCTTTTCTAAGAAAATCATATACTTTTCGCTAAAGGCTGCTAAAATTATGGCGCTATTTAGTATTATCCTTTCTTGGATGCATATCAAATGAATTTATATTCATAATATTCTTTTTTTTGTCTTCTTTTTTATTTTGCCCAGGAGTGGGGTTGGTCTATTTCAAGTTGAAATGTCCAATATAGCAACTAAACTTTTTTTAATTGTTTTTATTGTTTAAAATACGCTGACAGTATTTGTTTTTTATCAGGTCTTGGATTCATAACTTCCATAACTTTCATCTTCTTGGTTGGGGTTTTCATGTCATCATGGTTGGGTGCATCTGTCCTGGGTCTTGGGGAGTGGTTTATCAAGCGAATGCCACTTGTTCGTCATATTTATAATGCCTCCAAGCAGATCAGTGCAGCTATCTCTCCAGGTTTGTGTTTGTCAATATCTATCTTGACTGTGATAATGGTATGAATGAAAAAATGGATGAGAACAGTTTATGCTAACATGCATATTTCCACAGATCAAAATACACAAGCATTCAAAGAAGTAGCCATCATTCGGCATCCACGTATTGGAGAATATGCATTTGGATTCATCACCTCATTTGTTACCCTTCAGGTCTCTATAAAACTTCAGTGTTTGGTAGATTTTAAATTGAGAACATTTACTTGCATCAATGTTTGAATCGGATTCTCATTATATTCCCTGCTGTTACTACTTTAATTAGTAGTTTAATGTTACTTATAATGTAATTTTAGTTATTTTCTTACAGTGGTGTAGCAGTCTAGAAAAAAATTGTATTGACTAATTTTACTGCTTCAGGCTTTTCGATTGTGATACGATGTTAGTCTTTATCTTCCATGGTTGATATGCATGTTCAGTGGTCTTACATTATGAATAATGCAAAGTTTGTACAACCTATGCCATTTTGGCTTGGTTTTGATAAATAATGGAATCTTTATTTTACGTTATTGGCCATCTATTTACAACTAAGAGTTCTTCCATGGGCTGAGCTGATTATCATTGCTCTTTTTGCCTTTCTTAAATCCATGACCCTTTTATGCTGAAGTTTGTTTTTATTTAGATTTTAGCATTTTTTATGTGCTTTTTTTTTTTTTAATTATTATGTATCTTAAAGTTGTAGGGATCTGGTTGGGTGAACTTCTCCATTAGCAAATTTAGAAGAGAAAAATAAGAAGAAAATTTGAAAAAGCAGTTTCTCCATTAGCTTATGCATAAGCTAATTTCAAGAAGCTCTCTGATATAGCTTCTCTACATTTTTATTTTTAACTTATGTATAAGTTAAATTTAGCTTATGAAAAAAGTTTCTTTTTTTCTTCCCTAGAAATGTTTATGGAAAAGCTCATCCAAAAAATATACAATATGCTAAAGGAAAGTTTCCATATAGATAACCGTGTAATGTTGAGTTTGATGGGGCTGGTTTATGGTCAACTGTTGACGATTACACATGTTTATAAAGATTTTACTGCGCAATGCATGTTGAAATTATTTTTTTTTTATGTATTTTTTTGCAGAACTATTCTGGAGATGAGCAGTTATGTTGTGTCTATGTTCCGACAAATCATCTTTATATTGGCGATATATTTCTCGTCAACACCAATGATGTCATTAGACCAAACTTGTCAGTTCGTGAAGGAATTGGTGAGTAATTTTTCTATATTTATCGGAGTCTCAACTAGAAGTCAAACAGACATATTTATTTTGCACTGTGGTAATGTGGTTATATAGCCAAGATAGTATGCTCGCGGATTTTCCTTTCTGTGGCTCTCTCTCTGCTCATGGTGCACTAAACTTTAAACTAACAGATCTATGGTCTTTCAAATTTGGAAGATAACTTTTAGAAAGGGTAGGGGCTAGCTAAACAAGTAATGATAGTTATACATGTTTCTAGATGACACTCCAGTTCTAACTCCTAATATACCAGACAGTATCTAGATTTTACAAGTACCAAACATTATTTGTGTAACTATCATCCTGTAGGCTAGCCTATGATTTGAAGTACCAAACATTATTTATTGGGATATCACCACTCCTCCTGGACAAGGCCTGACAATAAGAATGATGAAGATGAAGAACACTAACGACAATAATTCGTTCCAATCTAGTTTTACCATATGCTTGAATTTGTTTGGAAATTGCAGAGATTATTTCACTGTTGTTATCATTATCATTGTTATGATAATAATTCATTCCTCTCTAGTTTTAACATATGCTTGAATTTGTTTCAAATATGCAGAAATTGTTGTTTCGGGAGGCATGTCAATGCCACAAATCCTATCAACGATTGATTCACGCGTCATACCAGGGGAAATAAGTAGAATCATCAGAAGCTGAGAGTGAAAGGCATAGATGTTCATTTTTACCTGTGTATAATGTACTGGTTTTCCACTTGTTATAGCAATTCATTTTTGCAGTTCTTATTAATTGATGACTTTCAGCTTAATTTAGTGTTTCTTTCTATGCTGTTATCATTAACCAACTAAACTAATCAATCTGCTACCAACCTCGTTGGCATACTTCAATAACAAAAAGTAAGATGTAAGAATATAAATTTCTAACTAAATCTTATTCAAATGTAAAAATAATTCTGAGATATAATTTGGAAAATAAGACTAAAAATGACTAAATTATATAATTAAAATTGGGTATTTCATAAATGAAATCACATGTGAATACAGATTCAGTTTGGAATGGATTGATCTTTCCGAAATTGTATCTAAAATTCAATCCAATTCATTTTATTTGTTATTTCAACTTTTAGCTTATTTGGGTTTTTGACTTCTAATCTAATTTTTACACTTCGCATTGAATTGAACCAGTTTATTGTTAAATTTCAATCACTTTTCCTCTTCATCTCTTATTTTAAACGAAATAAATACATTTTTAAAATTATTAGTGGAAATCCAAAGGTAGAGCATGTCGGGGTTTTTTTTTTCTTTAAATTTTCTACTTAAAATAATCACAAAAACAAGTGTGACTGCAACCAAATAACAACAATAATTATTAATTTTTATAATAATGTTAGTACTATTATAAACCAATTTTGTAATTAAGGTTAAAAACATAATAATAAAAAATGAATGCACAACTGAATTTTAGAACTGACTTGTAGTTTTAAAAGCAATTCTTATTATCTTGTGAATATAATTTTGATTATCACCGCTCTTAATCCCACTTATATTTTTTAATTTTATTTGTAGAACAGTCCTAAATTTATATTTTTTAAGAGAGGGTTAAAAAGCCCACTTGTTAAACAGTTCCTATTTGAAAACATAAGGCCCAAAGTTAGTATTTAAAACCCTAGCTCTAGGATATGGAAGTGCACCATTGAAATCTTTTTCAAAATGCTGATTGATTTCCGGGTTTCTCCCTCTGCAAAGGTGGTATTTTTATCCCCATCTTCGTTCTTCAGTTTCTGGGTTCCGTCCTTTTCCTTCTTATTTTTTTCATATGAACATTTTTTGTCTGTTAGTAGTTGAAACACAGAAAGGGACAGTGACGATTCTGATTGAAAGGTCTCGTTCGTCGTAATTGGCCTAATAGGGCCTTGCCGACCAATCTGATATATCACCACCCATATTCTGAGTCCCTTCTTCTGTTCAAAACAACTTCCATTCTTTTTATTTTATGATATTAAGTTTTCATCGAAATTAATGTTTTTGTTTTGCTTAGGGTTGTCTCCAATGTTAGATATGACTGGTATGTTCTGGCCAATGATTAAATGATTGAAAATAGACAAGCATATGTCTGAAGTTATTCAATGTGGATTCATCTAATCTTCTCTATGAGGCCAACCTTATGTTTCTTTATATAATCATATTTCTGTTTTTTGTTCTAATCATTGTAATTTTTTGGTCAAATTTATATACATTTTGTAAGTCTATTGTAAATTTGATTGTTCATGGTATGTATTTGAAATGTATGTTTTATATGGTCATTTTTTCTTCCATGCACTGGTTTTTCTTCTGATAATTTTTTCCCTTTTGATTTATTTGGTAGTTCTCAAAACTTTTGTTGAGACTTGAAAATTTTATCTACAATTTAAGTAAATTGAGAAATAACAAATTGATGTTATTATTTTTAGTAATTTCTGAATTCAGGTGAATGAGTTGTATGTAACTCACATTATATTAGTACGATAATTAAAAAGAATTTTCTGCATACATAATATATATTTTTTAAATTATTTAAATAAGTTTTTATTAATTATTAATTCAAATGGACTTTTATAATTAATATGTACAGGATTTTATTATTGGGAATATTTTTTTTATGAAGCACTGACAAAAGTAGAAACAATTTAATCCTATGGGCAAGTGTCTTGTATCTGATTTTTCTTTATTTTTTAAATAAATAATTTATTCAATATATTTAACCCTGGCATTTATATTTTATTATAGTGAATCATATAAAAACTATTTAAAATATGTCTGTCATTATATTAATATTAATTTTTTACTTTAATATTTTTATATTAATATTATTTAATAGTTTATATAACAATTATTTTCTTTATTTCAAAATATATTTATAAAAATTAAAATAAATATTTTTATTATTATTTTTAATAAATGTATCAATTTTTATTAATATCTTTATCATTTTAATATTTTCCATTAAAATTATTTTTAATGATTTATCATCTCTTCTTTAAAATAAATATAATTTAAAATATAAAAATATAATTAATAAAAAATAATTAATATAGTCTTAAATTTTACGGACCACTAATATCTAAAGTATAAATTTCACAATAAAACATCATATATCCTAAAATAGAATACCTTTTTTCATATTTCTTCGGTCACAATCCTAGGCCTTATTTTTTTATTTAAATCATAAAAAAAGAAAAAAATCTAGAAAAAAATATGTATCGAAACATTAATAATAGATATTTATGGAATGTAAATTGTCAGAAAGAAAAAAAAATATCAGATTAAAATTTGTTTCTGCTTTTTCAAATGGCAGTAGTTAAAAACCTTGAAACAGAAAATTGCGATAATAAAATTTTCTGCATAATAACTAATTGGATAAATAAATTAATACTGGATTTATTTGAGTAATTTTTTCTAAAAAATATTATTCATGTTAAAAAAATTAATTAACAAGTATGAACTTTTAGTTAGCATGACAGGGTCCAATTCCAAAATGGAAAGGCTGATGAAATATTAATTAATTTAATACATATTAGTGGATTTTGTTTTTAATTTATACACGTTTAGAAAATATTTTTTATTCTAAAATAATTATACATTTTAATATATTTATTTTTATTTTAAATTTAAAAACATTAGTTTCCAAAATAAGATCCAGTTTCCATCGTAATTTATTATATTCATTTAAAAAAAATTTAAATGACCACATTTTTTAAAAGATAATTTAAATAATTTTTTTTATTAGTTGAAAATATAAAAAAATTATTATTATGATAAAACCTATAATTTTTAACTATAATTATTTAAAAATAAAATTAAATATTTTAACATGTTAAATGAGTTATTTAAAATTTGATAAGAATTGTTTATATAAATAATTTTTTTATTTCTGTATAATATTAAGTTACATATTTGTATTCATAACATATGAAGCTAAATATCCAATATTTGAATAATTTTATAAATATCTTTCTTTTACAAATAAAAACCAATACTTAAATACATTATTGTAATGATATTTCAAAAAAAAAACACTAACAATTAATTAATCACAAATTATTATTTATACCAATGTAGTTAAAAGTTAAGATTATTTAAAAAATCATTTATTTAAATTAAATTGAAGAAATAAAAGAACAGAACAGACAAAGTGCAACAGTAGTACTACATGAGAAGTATCTCACTTATGTCTGAAAAACACCACACGTCGTCGTTTTCAGTGATAAAATTCTTTCTGTATACAGAATGAATCCCACACAACACAAACATCTTCAAACCAACAGCTGTGAATGATTTACAAACAAACACTCTGTTCTGTCTCACTCACTAAACCCTCTTCTTATGTGTCTTCTTCTCTCACTTTTCCCATCACCCCAATTCTTCACCCTTTTCTCTCCAACACTTAATCCACCACTTTCTTCCCAACCCACAACTTTTTCACTCAACAAATTCCGATTTCCTCATCCGGGCACAGTTAAATTTCCCATCTTGGTGGCCAAATCTCATCTGGGTCATTTTTTCAATTCACCACCATGATGCACGCGAAGACCGACTCCGATGTCACGAGCATGGACACGTCGTCATCGCCGAAACGCGCCGCGTACTACGTGCAGAGCCCCTCGCGGGACTCTCACGACGGGGACAAGTCCTCCACGATGCAGGCGACGCCGGCGTGTAACAGCCCCGTGGACTCGCCGTCGCACCACTCCTACGGCCACCACTCTAGGGCATCCTCTTCGAGCAGGGTGTCGGGGTCCTACAACATTGCCACGTGGGGGAGGAAAGGAAACCGCAAACACGGCGGCGACAAAGGGTGGCCGGAGTGCAAGGTGATCGACGAAGAGGAAGGGTATTATGGGGAGAGAAAAGGGTTGTCTAGGAGGACTCAGATCTTCGTTGGGGTTGTTGGGTTTGCCTTGATTTTCACTGTGTTTTGTTTGATCATTGCTGGGGCTGCCAGGCCTTTCAAAGTTCGTGTCAGTGTTAAGGTACAGTCAATGAGTGACATGGATGGTTGGTTGCTGCTTTTTTTATATTCAAGAATATTGCCACTTGCTTTAATTTATTTTTTGATTCAGTAAATAAATGCTTGTTTGACTTTGAGCATGTATATTATAATAATATGTATAGTTTAGTTTTCTGCTAATTAAAGAATAGATCTATTAATATTTGTCAAACCTAGTTACTTAGAAGGAACCGATTATTATATGTATTTGCAGCAGGTTTGGGACCAAAGAGGGTTCACTCTAACAGGAGGATTGGTCTCTTCTAACATGATAACCTTATTATTTGTTAAAATAGATACTTCTGTTTAGTGTCTGAAATGTTTTAAACAGAACTTTTTTTGAAGGAGGACAACGTAAAAGAAGATAGTTAGGCCTCCTGAATCCTGTTGGAGTTAGGTTGATGTGTGTGTGTGAGTCAAGAAATAATACTTAATGAGGCACTCATGTGGTGTGATTTGTGAACCTGAGACACTACACTTGATATCTATCTTTGAAATTGTTCCATAAATACTTTAATGAGAGATTAGTTTCTCTTTAAGCTAAAAACAGATTATGCATAAGCTAATTTTTAGAAAAATTTCTTATTACTCCATATTTGGTTTTTAACTAATGCAGAAGTTAATTTTAACTTATTGAGTTCAAGATTATGCAAGTTGTGTCTCCTTATTGATTCTTTGTTTATTCATTTTTATTTTTTCCTGCTAATTTGAATTGCTTGTTCCCCAGACTTAACAAGTGTCTTCTGAAAAGTTGTAATCTTCATTTATCCACTGCTGGTTATGTGTCCTTATAGGTTATTGATGTGAAGAGAAAAAGAAGTTCAATTTTAGTTGGACATTTTCAATTCAAGGTAACATTTTCTTTTCTTTCAGAGTTTGACAGTACACAACTTCTACTTCGGAGAAGGGGCAGACATGACAGGAGTACCAACCAAGATGCTAACAGTAAATTGCTCAGTAAGAATGACATTGTATAACCCTGCACCGTTTTTCGGCATTCATGTCTGCTCCAAAGCAGTGAATCTTATGTATTCAGAGATTACAGTTGCAACTGGTGAGGTAAGAATAAACTTTAATATCCAACACTGACCACTATTCTTTGATTTAGAAGGATTGGTTTGAGAGTAATGCTATACACATTGCTGCAGCTGAGGAAGCAATATATACATAGAAAGGGTACACTGCCAGTGTCTGTGAATCTGCAAGGAAGCAAGGTTCCGTTATATGGTGCTGGTGCAAGTTTAACTGACTTGGTGGACAATGGAAAAGTACCAGTGACTCTTATCTTTGAAGTTAGATCAACAGGGAATGTTGTTGGGAAGTTGGTAAGGTCCAAACATAGAAGGCATGCCTCTTGCTCAGTGGCTATTGATTCCCACAACAATGGACCTATCAAACTTAAAGAGAATGCATGCACATACAATTGAGTGGTTTTAGTTTATCAGCAACCAATTTCTTGTGTGCCTTTTTAATTCATTCTGCTGGCTTTAGATTCTTGTGGGACAAGTAAAAGGGTGTAAGAAATACTAGATTTTATATATTGTAGAAGCTTTGGTGGTATTTGGAAGAATTAAAGAGTAAATTAAACTAAAAGTTACATGAAGTTTAGGGAAATTATACAATTTTTTTCTTTTTGTATTTACAGGAATCTCCCTTGTTGGAGAATTTAGTGTAATATTTTAAAAAATTAGTATAGGGGTAAAAAAAATTGTGCAATTTTACAAAATCTTAAAAGTGGATAAAGTAATTTACTCAAGAATTAATAATAATAGTTAAATATCTACTTTTATATTAGAAAGACAAAAGCCAGTGCCTTTCCTTTAGGATTCAAAAATATAAACTGTTTTATTAAGAAATTATGTGGTTCACTTCCTCGTGATTTGTTGTGCCGTAATCTTCAATAAAAAAAGATTAAATTGATTAATTTCTTAATTTTTTAAGAAATGTGATTCTGTTAGCATATGCATGATATTTAAGATATCATACTTTATCTATTTAGCAAGCTATAAAGGTTGCAAAGTTAGGATGATTAAATGTAAAATTAAAATATTATTAAAGACACAGATTAATCGTAAAAAAATGTTTTAATTAGTCATTTAAAGTTATTTTTTAATAATGTACTCGTGTTTAAATTCGGTGGGAGGATTTTATTAGTCTCGGTACTCTTTGAATCTACAGTTATAAAAAAATTAATCAGAAATAATCTACAATGTGTTTTTATTGTTGAAAGATACTTTTAATTCAGTAAAAAAAATTACAATTTTGATCATTTTACCCATTGAGTCGTTCTCTGTCAGTTTTTATATTAACGAAAATTTTTAATTTTATATCAATTACATAATAAATCCATGCTATACACTAAATAAATATTTATGATAATATCAAAGTAAAAATATAAATGTAAAATTAAAAGTAATTAAAAGAGTTTGCATTGTTGATATAAAGTCATATTAAGTTAAAGATATAATAAATAAAGTGTATTTGAACTATTTTAGTAGTCTGAAAAATATTGTTATAAATAATTTTGAACTGACATTGAATATTGACTTTATTTATTATTAGTATTTTAAATTAACACATAGAATAACCCACAAAAGTATTGTAATTTGTTTCCAATTAAGATTGTTTTCTTTAAATTTGGGATAGATTCCATCAACACTTATTTCTAAATATACCTAAGTGATTTAATACGTCTTTTGTTTATTATATTAATTGGTTAAGCGATTATAAAAATACTCATGAATTTTATGCTAAATCAGTGGAATATTTTCTTAAACTTTCAATTATTAATTCTACCCCCACATTTCTCTTTTTATAATATAATTATACATAAGATGTGGAGTTACTTAAGCTGATAAATGATAATAACACAATAACATTCATATTATTTGGATTTCGTTTTCTAAAATACACTAACTTCGTCTCATGAATATGGTAATCTGAGGGATTCAAATTATTAGAAGAGAAAGTTAAAGTTAATATTGAAAATTTTCACCTTGTGTTATAAAGAGTGAGAGAGATACTTGCTTGGAATTTTGTGGTGATACGGTTCCACAACTAATTTTCATGTTATCACTCAACCAACTGAATTTTGCAATGGATGTCATTTTCCAACTCAATCCAACATTCATTGCTTGATAGTGCATTAAAAAACAATTATTCTGTTCATCGTCGTCATTCTAACATATTTCCAGGCACATCATCATCTATTTCACAGTGGCGAAACACAAAAGGCAGAAACTGTATTTTTTAATATTTTAGGGCATCGATAATTATATCTAGCTGCCTAGAGGAGCAAACGAATAAAAAACGAAATGAATATTCTCACCCAAAAACTGGAGTCAAAAAAACATGCACTCACCACTTTCAAACAGTGCAAATCTGGGGCAAAAGGTCAAGTTGAATGAAACAAACTGATAAACTCAAACATATTCTGAAGATCCAGGAACTAATCTCCCTCAAATTTTTCATCTCCACAACTAATGAAGCTGCTAATATTAGTTACATATCAAAATACATTAACACCCGCAGCTAATATATTCCTCCAATTCTATCTCGACCCATACCACGCCTATCATCTCTTCCACGGTTCATGAACGTATCCCGGCGATAGTCTTTTGGTGGTAGGCCACCTCTTATTGGAGAGCGGCTTCTCTCTCTCACATCACGAGCCCACCGACCATTACGATGGTGAGGAAGGGAAGGCAAAAGAGGTGCAGGGGGTGACAGTGGCCTCCTTTCAAATCCTTTCCTTTCATCAGAAAAGCCATCTCTTCCACGGTCTCTGTTATCCCAGTCTGGCGGGGGCGGTCTCTCAAACTTGTTTCTCCCCCTGTACGCATCTTCTATGTAATCCATTCTCTCTCTACGGACATGGGGATCTGGAAACCTGTTTTCATGCCTGAGGGGTGGCAGTGCAACAGATCCGTACTCTCTAGGGCCATCCCTTGCCAACCCACGAGGAGGAGATCTATAGCCATTCAAAGTTCTTTCGGGAGAGCGGTCAATGGGAGGTCCAGGAAAGCGTCTAGGAGGAGCATGAAGTGGTGGAGGTGCAGGATAAGCCCTTCGAGGACTTCTAGCAGGTGCATTGCGAGACCTGTTACAGCTGTTACAATGGTCACGCCTTGCAAAGTTAAGATTACCACACCTGCAAAATAGAAGAAATTATCTCCAGTCTCCACAAAATGGCTTTAGATATTAGGATATTTAACAGCACAGAATTCTAAATTTTAGAACAATGAGCTGACTAAAGATAGGTAGGAGCTACAAGTAATTCCAATAATGAAAGTCTGATCACAATCAGAATTTAGGAAGAGTTGCACTTACAAGGGATCAGGACAAAACCAGTCACCCTCTCTAGGACGCACATTGGGATTATTTCTACTGTTGCCTTCCCCTCTAGCAAATCCAGAAACAAAGCCATGGCCATCAAAAGATCTACCCATTGGCCTGCCACCTACTCTACCTCGACCATACGGAGGTGAAGGGTCTCGATATCTACCTGGATCCCTCCCACCAGCATATCCTCGGTTTCGTGATAGGCTATTATAATCAGAACCAAAACGGTGATCTGCATCTCTTCGGTGAACTGGAGATGAGGAACCTGCACGAATTCTATATCCTGGGAAAACAAAGAAAGCCAAGTTTGAGAATAAGTGACTTATTGGAAGTGAGGGAAAATTCAGCATTGTAATCTACAGTAGAATCCAATAATATTGTGATCATGCAACTGTCATATAATCAGTTTGATATTCCAAAGGAAGGCTATCACCACACAGGGCTCCTCCTCCTCATATACATCAAAATTAAAAAGTGTGAAGAGCTCAGGAAGTTTAGATGATAACACCTTCATTGTGACTTCCCAAACACGAGATCCATATTACCCTAAAGCAAACAAGTTCTATGAGCAAGGGTTGCAAGGGTTGCCACTAGTAAGTTACTTCCTTTTTATTCTTGATACCAATTCTTTCCATCTCCGAACGCTACCAGAATATAGTTAAATAAACAAAACATTGAATCTAGCAATCTGAAATATCAAATCCAAATTCAAATTTCAGATCAACAACCTAAACACTGCAGTATGGGGGCCAAGTTCAAGACCTGGTTATGGGTATGCACTAACCCTAATAAAACTAATCCAACATGAATCCTGACAAGCAATGGACCAATGTCATTTCACCCCTTAGAAATTGAGTAAACTCAGGAGCATAGATCAAAATGTATGCCACAAGGATATCACCAACAAACACTACCAGCATGTGAACAATCCCAAACTTTAATGCCTTGATCCAATCAGCCACTTGCTGGACTCTTTTGGAACCATTTCTACTGGTATGTTATGACAGCCAAAGGTAGATCTGAGCAATATAGTTGACCAGTTTGCAGAAAACCATACAGAGGAATGGCCCAGGCAGATAAATCCCATTGAAGAAATCTACAATGATGCCAGCAACCAATTCACCCTTTTTTGGAATATGCTATGCCCCCAAGTAACTTCAAAACAACAGGAGAAAGAAATTGGCCACGAAGTGTATTCCTAAGAAGATATGCATCCCTTTTCTGTGCCATGTTGGTGTCCTCAATCAACAGATCGACATGCAGTATTAAGGATTCAACAGAAGCTATGCAACCGCAAGATAACAGAAGTTCCTAAACTTCATTTGTCAAATTACTATGCTGGAAAGAAGCCTTCCATGTTGTAAATAAAGAACAATCTGATGCATATCTAATTAACCACCGAATGAAGAAAAACCCATAGAAACTAAAATGACAACCACCAGCCCAAAAACAATCATTACAAGGACTATTCCAAAAGCAACCAAGTATCTGGAATTGAAATAACCAGGTGTCCAAATAGCAAAAAATCCAAATATAACCAATAATACTATGAAGTTATCATCAGTAAGCATTGTCTTTCCAAAATTTCAGGTCAGCTCCCGTAGAAGTAGCAAATTAACAATTCACCCACCCACAAAACATCTTGTGGCAGAACCTAGAAATAACAGCCAAGCATTGATTATAACTGTAGGTTATTCACCAAAACCAATATGTAATGGGCAGTTTTGTTCTCCTACAGAAGCTATACAACAGCAAGATAACAGAAGTTCCTAAACTTCACTTGTGTAATATTACTATTCTGGAAACCAACCTTCCATGTTGTCAATAAAGAACCATCTGAATTATCCCTAATCAACCAACAAAAGAAGAAAAACCCACTCATAGAAACTAACATACAACCAGCAGCAAAAAATATCATTGCAACGACTATTCCAGAAGTAACCCAATATCTGCAAATGAAATAGCCAGGAGTTTAATAACACAAAGCAAATATAACCAATAAGTTATCATCAGTAAACATTATCTCTCCAAAATGTCAGGTCAGCTTTCCCAAGAATATCAAATAAGAAATTCACCCACCCACAAACACATCTTGCGGCAGATCCTAGATATACCAGCCAAGATTGGTTATAACCATAGGCTATTCAGTATTCACCAAAAACAATTGGTAGTCAATTTCAGTCCCCTACCAATCCTGTAACCATATTGATGTTCTAGTACATTCCCCACGCTTCAAATTGTACCTCAGATTGTGTTAAACTCAGCATTGTCTTAACTTTGACAAATATCCCAAACCAAATACATGACAGTCACTCAACTCAGCAAAATGAGAACCCATGCAACAGATTCTGTGCTGCAAAAGCCCCCACGAATGGACTATTTCAATCATCCAACCCATCTATTAACCCTTTTATATTAAAAAAAACCACAGAACAAGATCCAATGCGGAGTTCATGGTAACATGCCTTCCTGAAGGCCCAAGATCTTGCAGGCAACATCAGAGCTGTAACACATAAATGCAAAGTTTATTCACTGTAAACACTCCATAATCGATAGGAGAGCCATATGTGTGACAAGTACATAATGAATACACATCAGATCTGACAAAAAATCCACATCTGTATAGATACAGTCGGTCAAAAGATGAAAGGCGAAAGAAAACATGAAATGGTAGTTTTCATGTCACCAAACCCCAAAAAGATAAAATACAACACATTGAAGTAACGAGTTCGACAAAAAAATTAAGCTTTCACTAAATTATACTTCGCTGACGCTGGTTGTGATTTATTCTGAGAAAACAACTACTTATTTTCCGAAAATTCTCTCAGAAATCTGGCTTTCTCCAAACTCAGTAAAACTAAACATACACTTCTAAACTAACAACTACAAACAGCGAAAGTATTCTTGAGTATTCTCACATTTCGTTGTTATCAATGAACAAATGGCTAAATTATCGGTGTTATCTGTTCAAACATATCCCAATATTCCAATGCCTAATATATACACCAATATAAAGATTTTAGTCTTTCGGATGCACCAAAAAGGGAAAGCAATATGAATACAAAAACAAAAAGCTTGTTCCACTGAGAGAAATTGGCTACATGGATCACACATCGCCCTTCCGCTCAGTTGAAAATGATGTATATAGCTTCAATGAAACAACAAAAACAGAACCAAACAAATCACAAACTCACCAAATTTTCACCGTTTTCAATCACTACTCCTTTTTACACCGTACCGTATTCCTATATTAATCATAAACCAATTCAACAGCAACAAGGCACACAAACCGACCAAGCCAGTTTCCAAATCATATTCCTAAACGAAAATTTAAAATCCTATCTCAATCATCCGCATCATTAGGCAATAGAAACAAGAGAAGAAACAAACCAGGTTCGTCGGGATATCGGTCGGAGCGAGAGTAGGGAGGAGGATCGCGGTGGAGTTCACCGGGCTCGAAATCGCCTGCGCGACCACCGGCGGCGACCTCTGTGTGGGAGGGGCGGACGACGAGGCTGCTCAACAGAGGCTGGTGGTGATGCTGCGGCGCTTGTTCCTTGTCCCTCGACGAAGCCATTATGATAACTCTCTGCAAACTGCAAAGAAGGAGATTATCGCCTTTTTATCGTTTCTGATCGAACTGTTTCTTCTCAGTATGTAAACCCTAGATTCTTTAGATGCAATCAGTAACCATTCGTTTTTCTTATATTTTCAATTGAATTTCGCAAAACGACAATGGTTTTTTCTAAATTTGTTTTCTAACTTTTTTATTTTTATTTATAAGAAGTGAAATCGGATATTCGAATTTCTTGATCCATAACCACTGTACACATATACGTATAAAATATAACTAGTTTTGATTTTCTTTACATGAATTTAATTATTCAATTGTAAGCGCAACATATTGAAATCTGTAAAAATTTTAATATTTTTAGTATTTTAAATTTAATTTATTCATCTTTGAATTGTTAAATAGATATTTATCACTCGTAAATTTATTATGATAATTTGTTTCTAAATATATAAAATTTATGATAGAAGTAATTGTTTTCTTGTTAAATATATTTTTATTTTTTTAATATATTTATTATTAAAGATAAAACAATAGATTATTAAAAAATAATTTTAAATAAAAATAATAAAATGAAATCATAAAAATTAATTAATTTATTAAAAATATAAACAATTAATATTTATCATAAACTTAATGTTAAAATGTCATATATTTAAAAAAATATAAAATAAAGAATAAAATATATTGTATAATCTAATATAATAATTATTTATATACCTTTCTTTTTTTATCTTTTAAACAAAAAAATAATTTAGAAATCTTTAATAGATGTTTTTTAAATGCACATTTTAAACACTTTCATTATGATCACACTTAAGCAAAATATATATATATATATATATATATATATATATATATATATATATATAGAGAGAGAGAGAGAGAGAGAGAGAGAGAGATAGATTAAACACTTGCCACGCCCTAACCTATACGTAATTTGTTTGTTAACTAAAATTTCAAATCGACTTTAAGAAAAATTGAAGTGAAAAAAAAAATATAACTTATTTTTTCTAAATTAACATTTTCAATAAAGCAATTAGTCTACGTTTTAATTTTGACTTCCATATACTATGAATGATTTTCAAAAAATAAAATATATTAAAATATAAATGTAAAAGGGTGTTTAGTAAGTAAAGATCATTTATACGTATTTTGCTACTGCAAAAGTGTCAAAAAATATTTTATTTTACAATATACCATTAACATATATTCAGTGTTGAACTACTATTTATTAGAATTTAAATTATTTATAAAATTTAAGTTTGAAAAAAAAAATGTAAAGAAAACATAAATTAATATATATTTTTTTGTCTTAATGTTTTTTAGTCTTTTCAATGATGATTCATATTGTTACTAGGTGACAAGAAACATGCTGCACGTGGCGTCGGCGGAAGCGGTGAAGACGAGATCTAGACCATAGGTCTCCGCGGTGGGTCCCCACTATTTTACTCAACGCAGCAGAGACTGACACTTGTCCTATCCTAACACCACAAGCAGACACTTGTCTTTATCCTAGCCCTACACTCACTCCCACTATTCCCTTGTCTTATTCACATTCTCTCTCATCTTTAACGTTTCTTTAACTACAAATAATGGTTAATATAATTACTAAAATGCAATAATAAATTTATGGTAGGATTATTCAATACTATAATAGAATTAAAACCTAATTGTAATGGATTAAATTAAAAATATAATTTAATTAGTACGGTGTTTAGTGGCGTTTCTGGTTCGCGTTCCTTTTTTTTTTTCTCTCCCTACGAAGAAAACAACGAACCAGCATTCATTGATCGGATTCCTTTTCTTTCACTCTGTTTCCTTCGTGAACCAGCAACAACCCCCCGCGCACGATAGCGCCACTCCATCGCCTTCGTTTCGCGGTTGGTAACTGTTTCTCTTTCACCACCCTATCTATTTATTTCGGTTCCCACGCAACAATCTCTCTCAGATAGATTCTTCTTCTACGTCTTCACTCCTCTCTCTTTCTTCCAACCAGACGGAGGATCGATCATCGGATTACTGCGTATTCACTTCAACCTTCACTTTTTCAGCTCAGATTTCGTTTTCTTTTATTTCTCTTTGCATTTTCTCTCTGTTTGATCTCGATTCAGTTCTTCGTGATAACTTATCATAAACTCTCTTCTGTTGCTCTTTTTTTTTTCCGAGAAAAACGGGAAACTCCTTTTCTGCGTAGGATCATCAAAATTTCTTAGTTGTTCTCTGCAGAGTACATATCTGAAACAACGTTTTTATATATTTATGTAAGGTTAGGTGTACAGATAAAGAAGTAAAGGAAGTTTGAACGGATGATTTGCAGACAATCGTATATCTAGCGTCAATATAGTTTGTTTTAGGTAGGGATAAACTGGTGGTACTGTAGTTTGTAAACTCTAATTTTGATAGTTGATGTTTGAATCTGATGAAGTGAAAGTTGCCATATAGGTATTGTTGATAAATATGTTTTGTGGGTTGTTGAAACTTTTCCAGCTATTACTGCTGCAGCAATATTGTGCTTGAACTTCAATTGAAGTTTGGTTAAGATTTTATTTTGCTTTGCTTTTGATGTGATTATTATTAGTCACCGTTCACGACATTTTTTTTATACATATATTGAAAATTTTACATACTAAAACTTTTGAGCTGTGATTTTGCAGGAAGTAGGCAGGTATAATATTGGCTAATGTGGGTCGGGCATTATCGTGAAAATTCATCCATGTACAAGCGTACTCCTTCGAGAGATTATTCAAACATGGATGATGTGGAAGAAAACTTAGGTATGCACCCTTTATTCTAACATAGAAGATGTATTTGCGGTGTTTTGTTTATCTGACATCTGTTAAGTCCATTTTGTTGTCAAATATCACCTAACCTAAAAAGTAAAAACCTTTGCAAGGAAACTAGTGCCATCTTTCTAGCCTAATCATTTGAACATTTCATTGTTCAGAAAAATTGGCAATTCATGTAATCTTGAGAGAAACAATAGCTATGCTGTTGCAATTGTCTCTCTTATTGATTATTGATAATTTGCAATTTAAAGCGATTATAAACTACGCTGTTTGGTCTTCAATCGTGGTGGTTATTAACTATGCTATTTTAATGCTTGATAGATCTTTTAGACAATGGCTTGGATAAGGGAACCTCAAATCCTTCGTGGAAGCTTTCCTTACCTCATGTACTTGTGGCAACCATTTCTTCATTCCTTTTTGGATACCATCTCGGGTCTGTGCTTTCTTAGTTTCTTCTTCTTGGTGCACTCTCTTGGACTCTTTGCTTTAATCTAGAATCCATTGAAGACTTATATTTTGATATTTTGATATTTTGTGTTATATTCAGAGTTGTTAATGAACCACTTGAGAGCATTTCTGTGGATCTTGGCTTCCATGGAAATACAATAGCAGAAGGTGACAAAGAAGATTCCAAAACCTGTGCTTTTTTTCATTGTCTATTGTAAATTTCCCATAAATAGAATTGATTTTTCCCCTTTCAAATGAAGGTCTGGTGGTGAGCATATGTCTTGGTGGTGCCTTGATCGGATGTCTACTGAGTGGTTGGATTGCTGATGGGGTGGGACGACGTAGGACTTTCCAATTGTGTGCTCTGCCAATGATAATTGGTGCTTCTATGAGGTTACACTTCCAGTACCGATAGAATATTGTTTGATTCGTTCTGTTTTTCTCATGGAATAAATGGAAATTTTCTTTGCGCTTTATTCAACCAATTTGTAGGTTTCAATTGTTTTCTCAAGTTTTATCTGTGGACTACTGGGGAAACATAGAATAGTTTGTTACTTCAATTTTGTGTCCTCTAATGCGATAGCATAAATGCACCTCATGGCCATCTTATGGTTTCCATATGGCTTATTTAACCATTATGATATTTTTCAAGTTTTTTTTTTTTGGTTGGTTCTAAAAAATAACTCAAGCCTTCTTTCATGTATTTCACGCATATTTTTTCTATAACAATTGAATGACATAGCCAGAGCATATCGCCCAAATTTCTAGATTACAGGTGGGCAGCAAGACATTTAGTTTTGATTCAAGGGCCCCCTAGGTTTAAATTTCTTTACTATTATGCATATTTCAGTTTGGTCAAATGACAGTCTTTTACTTTTATGTTTTCCAATATAAATTCTTACAACTAATTTCTCATTGGAAAATGGTGCATTTTCAGTGCGGCTACAAACAACTTGTTTGGCATGCTTGTAGGAAGGTTGTTTGTTGGGACTGGCTTGGGTCTGGGCCCTCCCGTTGCTTCTCTGTATGTGACAGAGGTATGTTAATCAACTAATTCTTGTATCTGTCTCTGTACTAGGCGGAAGATTAACTTGATTACTCGTCATGAATGGCAGGTTTCTCCTGCTTTTGTGCGGGGCACCTATGGAGCTTTCATCCAGATTGCAACATGCCTTGGTCTAATGGGAGCTTTATTTATTGGAATCCCTGTCAAAGAAATATCTGGATGGTATCATATGAACTTGCTTCATGTCCTTATGTTACGTATTGTTTATTCATGATTTAAAATTTCACCCTGAATTTTTTCACAGGTGGCGGGTTTGTTTTTGGGTTTCTACCTTTCCAGCTGCTATACTTGCCGCAGCTATGGTCTTCTGTGCAGAGAGTCCACATTGGTTATACAAGGTTGATGCCTAGCCTAATATTATTTCATCTTAGATATTATCTCGTCACAGTTGTAACTTACTGCTTCTATTTGTTTTAAACCCTCAATCTCAATGTTAACTATGCTAACTAATTCTCACTTATTTATTCCCTTCCTCTCAAACACACTGCTTCTGTTTATAAAAAATTATCACTTATTTGCGTGTCCTTGCTATCCCATTTAATGGTAGACATTAGGAGTGTCATATTGGCTAACCTGCCCATGTCTCTTCTTGTCCCTGTAAGGTATAGTTTGGAATAATTTTTGGTTCTTATTACTTAACAATACAATGAGTAGGATCATTCATATTTCTTGTATTTCTTGGAAGTTCATTCTTACTTGTAGTCTTGAATGTTGATCCCTTCATCCATTTGACTTCTATCCTTCACTTAATCCTTGATTATTCCTCTCTTTTGTGATGTAGCAAGGAAAAATTGCTGAAGCAGAAGCTGAGTTTGAGAGACTTCTAGGTGTATCAGAAGCAAAAGTTGCTATGTCAGAGTTATCAAAGGTAGATAGAGGTGATGATACTGATTCTGTGAAGTTGTCAGAATTGCTACTCGGGCGTCATTCTAAAGGTATATATTTTCCTGGTTTGTCCCTGGGATTGTTGTGAGTGTATTTGTCATTGTTGTTACCTTGTCACTGGTTTCCTTAGGTTTTCCAAAGTTATTTTTTATTCACGAGTTTGTTTTGCAGTTGTTTTTATTGGATCAACCCTATTTGCTTTACAACAGCTATCTGGTATAAATGCTGTGTTTTATTTCTCTTCCACTGTTTTTAAAAGTGCTGGAGTGCCATCAGACCTTGCAAATGTCTGCATTGGAATTGCAAATTTGGCAGGTATTGTTATCTTCTGGTTGCGAGGATATTGATCTAACTTATTGTGATATTCTATTCTCTAATGCTTATCCCCTGTCTTTCCTCAGGATCTGTCATTTCAATGGGTTTGATGGATAAGCTTGGAAGGAAGGTTCTACTTTTCTGGAGTTTCTTTGGCATGGTAAATTACTTCTAGATGTTCTATTGTTTATGTGAAGGATCACGCTCATGAAAATATTGGGCTCATGTGGTAGTTATACTGTTTTAAATCCTGAGTTGGTGTTTGTGGTAATGAAGAGAGAGATTTTGTTTGAAATATGAACTAGTGCAAGTGCTCAACATTACAAAATTCCTTTATTTTTGTTATGGTGTTTGTATTGTTTTCATAGAGAAGATAAACTCAGGTTTTAATCAATAAGTTGTTGGTTCTGCATTTCTTACTGTATAGGCAATAGCAATGATCCTTCAAGCCACAGGAGCAACTTCACTTGTATCAAACGTGGGAGCTCAGTACTTTTCTGTTGGTGGCATGTTACTGTGAGTATGCACCTATGATTATGAATACGATCTGGATAGATTCATCTATAACACAAAAATTACAAATAAATTTAAAATAATGTTTCTACTTGTGAACTTATGGTCACTGTTAGACTATGGATGGTCTTTCAAGGGAGAATTATTAAGAATATCTTTATTTAAACAAAATAAAATCACCTTGGCTTTCAAACTCACGTAAAAAGTGGAAAGTTTACAGGCGATAATATATGTCTTTGTATTAATGACAATTGAGTATGAAATGACTATACGATCTAGCAGTTGCATGAAGTGTACAATTATCAATTGGAACAGTCACCGTATCCTAGAGGTTCATATTTGGGAAGACTGCTGGAATATGAACTTTATATACTTCATGCAGGTTTGTCTTAACATTTGCTCTTGGGGCTGGCCCGGTTCCAGGTCTCCTTTTACCAGAAATCTTTCCTAGTCGAATAAGAGCCAAGGCAATGGCAGTCTGTATGTCAGTGCATTGGGTAATTTTCTTCGGACATTTTGCATTATATAAAATATCATAAGTTTGGCAGGTTATGTTCTAGGGTTTTTATTGATTCTACCATGTTACAATTTGGTTGAATCAATGAAATGAAGCCTGCTCAAATTCCCGGCTTCTTTGCAAACTACTGAAACTATTATCATTATCTGATATCACAATGACTTGGAAGGAGAGTGAAGCTCATTATTTATCGAATCCTTCTCTCATTAGATTGTATGGTTGTCTTTATACAGGTCATAAATTTCTTTGTTGGCCTACTGTTCTTGCGTTTGCTGGAGAAACTCGGTCCACAGCTGCTTTACTCTATGTTTGCTACCTTTTGCACCATGGCAGTAATTTTTGTAAGAAGAAATGTGGTTGAAACCAAAGGGAAGTCACTTCATGAAATTGAGATTGCACTTCTTCCCCAAGACTAGTGTTTCATCCATTGATTCTCTAATTTTCCATAGTTTCAGCTGAGCAGATTGTGTAATCTATTGTTGGTCGACCTTAACAATACAAGGGGAAGCTCAAGGCAGGAACTATGTATTGAATGTTGTACGAAGACTTAAAAGAGAAGAGGTTTTAGGTGTTATAGTAGTAGGTATGAATGGCGGCTTACGACACCCTTCTGATGTCTTCATGGCTTGTGATTCTCTGATTTGGCATCCACTTAAAGTAGACATCTATATATATGACTTGTGTAATATTCATCGATGGGGGGTCTACGCACCCCATTACATCCATATTTCACGATTTCATGTAATATTTTGTCTGTACATGACATTATTTCTAGTTACTTGAATATTGTCCCATTTTGGATAATAATTAGTCTACCATGTGAGTTTTGTCACCGCGTATATAGAGGAAAATGGGCCGAAGCACATGCATAAGAAATAGTTATGAAATTTACCTCACAGTATTGGTTTTTGTTATAGGAAAATGGGCCGAAGTACCAATGACATTGGTGTTTGCTTTCTCTTTCGTATGAATGAATTAAAAAAAGTTAAAATTCTTTTAGCCTTGAGTTTCAAATGTCGCATATTCAAATAGAATATGTACACAACTTATTTTTGACATTTTAGAGTCTATCACTAATTTTTACGGGACCAATTTTTCGGTAGAATAATTCTAGCATGGGATCAGAAAAGAAGTTGCCATTGCTTGGTCCATAATTTAGCCCTCTCTTTTCCCTTCCAATTTTAAATGGAGTTATAAAAACGGGGAGAAAAAAGCAAGTGTCACACCAGAAACAAAATACGAAAGACATAAGCACGTTGATAACATGGGGTTGTATGGATCTATTGTCCCTGTCATCGGGTTGCAGAATTTTGGCACTACGCGACTGTTTTACAGCAAGGATAACATGGTAAAACAACAATTCTATAATAACCTTATTTTTCAATACTTTATCCTTTGTCCACAATTCTTGCTAAAAAAAATAATACTTTTCAAAAAATCCAACCGCGGATTTCACTGGTGATATTCAGCAAATAAAATACCAATAGAGCATAGGACAAATTCTGTCCCAAGAATGTGATGCCACCTGATTCATTTTTTTATATATTAATATAAAACAGAATTCAAGACGCATCATATCCTTCTAGTTCACGGGATTTGTATAGATAAATCAGAATCAGTTGTGGTGATGTTCAAAGTTCCAAACACTTCCAAATCAGAATCAGAACCCAATTCATTGTGCCCACCAGGGAGATCCTGGTCTTGTCCAATATTAGTTAAAGGAACCCGCAACTCAGAAATTGGAACAGGAAGAGGTTCTTCACTAAAGTACTTGTCTTGAAGTAACTCCATTGCTGTGATTCTATTAACTGGATCATAACAAACCAATCTTTTGACCAGGGAAACTTCATGAGGGGTGCGATTGGGCATACATGCTTCAAGATCACTAGGGTATTCCACCTTAAGAAATGAGATATTTCCATAATCAGGAAGTTTGGAGCAACCAGGCCAAGTTTCTTCGTTAATGTTCCCCAAAACACTTACAATTCTGCTAAGCTGGTCTACATCACTTGTTCCAGGAAACAATGGCTTCGATGTTAAGAGTTCAGCAAAAACACACCCCAATGACCAAAGATCAACCTCTAAACCATAGTCTGTGGATCCATATAGTAGCTCAGGAGCCCGAAACCAGCGAGTTCCAACACATGATGTGAGACAACCAAGTTCATTCCCTCCCACCTCCTCAGCTTCGTAGGTAAAAGAACCCTTGCAAAGTTCATCATCAATGTCACTCGTTGTGCATGTTGCAAGACATGAGGTGTTTCCATCATGGATGTTTGTTTCCCTGTCAGTGTCATAAGATTCGCTCTTGGTTTTCATCTCATCTAAAACTCTGAAATATTCCTCATGACTCACGGTTCTCTGATCCGGATTTTCATATCCAGTTTGGCTTAAGTTGCGTAGTTGGGAAATAGCTTCAGGATGTTGTTGGAGTGAGCTCTCACTATTTGAAACTTCATCATCTTCCTGGGGAGCATCGAATCCAGACTCCACAAGTATCCTTGCCTGAAAAAGTAGTCAAACTAAACATTTATATATCAGCAAACAAAGACAAAAGATAAGGGTAAAATGTGTTTCAAAGCTCTCAAAATTTGGTCAAAGTTGACTTTACTCCCTACATTTTAAAAATATGATGGCTTTAGTCTTGGTATTTTCTGAAATGTGATGGATTTTGTCGCTACATTACGAAAACGATGACTCAGAGATTGTATTCTGAAATATAGAGATTTCGTCCCTGGATTAATTCATTCAGAACTATGGCCGAGGAATCAAATCCACAAAACTTCAGAAATACAAGGATGAAAACCATTTTTTTTTTTAAATATAGGAACTGATACTAATTTGATGTAGATCCTGAGGTTCCCAAAACACACTATTTATATAAAAACTTGATCTCAGATTTACCTAATGACTTGTCAATCCAAGGGCTTAGTTAGTTCCCCAACATTAAACCAAACAAATTTACACACCAACCTCACCCCCATAGAAAAAAATCCTTTCTCTGACAGATTGTCATGTATAGCACGATGCAAGTTCGTTGATTTTGATCTTAAGTATACTAGAAGTCAAATATAAGATGATTTTTAATTGCTCAACAAATCACGAAAATTAACCTTTAGTCCATTTTCGCTGATCCAAATTCAAATAACTTCATAGATAGAGAAGAGAACCACCAGCTACAGATTTCAACAACAAAACAAAAATTCTCAATATTTGCAAACATGGGTAGAACTTAGAAGCTCAGTGCCACAGAAATACGATAAACCCATGATCATAATACGATCGATCACCATGATCATAGACTAACCCAAACCACGTCACATAATCAAATCATAAAAGAGAAAAAACAAAACAAGTCACGTAACGATCAAGTAACCAACACACTCATAAAACTAAAAAAACACCATCAAAAGAATTGGATTAAAACGAAGCTGAGAACTTTATCCCTTAACCTGTCCGAAATCTGCTAACTTGAGTACCCCATCATCGGAAACTAAAAAATTCGCGGGTTTTAAGTCCCTATGCACGATCAGATTCCGGTGGCACTCATCCACAGCACTTAGAGCCTGTAACATCCACCTCTTAACCTCTCCCACGCCGAAACCACCTTCTCCGATCACGGTGGCGAGGTCGGTTCCGAGAAACTCGAGCACGAGAACCGCGTTCTCGTCCTCGCGCCAGAAGAACTCGTGCAGAACGACCACGTTTTGGGACCCTTTCAGGACCCGCAGGGCTTCAATTTCGCGAGACGCCGATTGCGAATCGTGCACCTCTTTCAATGCCACCACTGCACCGTCGGAGCGGCGCCGGGCGTGGTACACGTCAGCGTAGGCACCTGACCCGACCCGACCGATAACCTCGTACTTGGTGGTTATCTCAGAGCGCGTGTGGATGCTGCAACTCTTGGGTGGAGGATCCATGAATGTTCACTGAAAAGTTACAAAATTTTTGAGCTGGTGAATTGTGAAGAACGAACTAAGTGTGTTGACGATGGCTATGGTCTTTGGGTTTGAGAGTTTGACTCTTTTCTTTTTCTTTATTTATTTAAAGCTGTAAACTGTTGTATTCAGGAAAATGTTTCTTACGTTTGGGACTGTTTTTTTACAACTTCTATGTACACTTTGAAAAAAAAAAAAAATAGACTTTTTCAGTTTTTCTAACCGTTGCAGTTTTTCTATAAGATTCATTGAATCTCTTAATTCATTAAGTATAATTGTAAATTTGTGATGACATAAACCAATTCATAAAATAAAATATTGTTGTGGATACTTGCATATTTATTTTTAAATTTGAATTTTTCAAAATCAAAATAAAATATAAAACATATTTAAAGGTAAATATTTAATTATGATAAAATTTAATTATATATTTCATTTTTATTTTTCTTGATTGATAAGTTGAGCTATCCTAACGTCTTAGTAATTTTTAAAATTCATTTTAAATAACTAAATACAAAATTTACATGCTATCTTACAACTCTATTTATTTATTTATTATTAATTTTAAATTAAATAAAAAAATATTTAGAAACATATTTAATTTAAATCTTTAATGTGGAAGTATTTTTGTATTTTTATTTAATTAAAAAAAGTGGCATGATTTTAAAATGATTATTGAATAACTAATTAACTTATGATAATTATTTGTGATAATATAAAAACATAAAAGCTAGCAAATACACAATTTAATTTACTAGTAATTTAAAGAAATAATATATTTTTTTATTTCATAAATACAAATTGATTAAACACGTGTTGAATCACATAACTCTCAATTGTGATATATTTTTAATATTTTGTGTATCGAATACCAAATTGTTGTGGTTATGAAAAACATGTTCCATCCCTATAATTTTTATGAGAATTGAGTGCATAGAAATGGGTGGGTCTTCAGTATTATTAGTGTTTATGATGCTGCTTTTCAACTTTTAATACGAGTATAAGGGTTCTTTTTTTTGTTATTTGAGCCTTTTATTTAGTAAAGTGCTATAAGAAAGACAGAGATTGAGAATATAGATTGTTGTTCTGTGGAACATGCTTTGATGTTCCATCATCCATTATTGCTCACAAAAGAGGTGGCATGATAAGATATCACAGAGTGCTTTTAACTGCATGAAATGACACGAATCTAACATATTTATAAACTCTATCGTTGACTACCAATATAACATCATGTATTTTTCTTCACAGTCATTTTTTAATTGAAAAAAACCACTATGCTTTCCCCAAAAACATATTATAAACTCTGATATATCTTTGAAAAACATGACCATTTGTTTATCACAACACGACAAACTACTAAAAACTTTGTTATGTTTAAATTGGTAACTTGATTATGCTCCACTTTTGCCAATCACATTGTAATAGTGTGTTTATACATTTACATAAATAAGCTATAATTGGTATTTTAAAAAAAATATGAGTGTAATTCTAAATCCACTATATAAGAATAAAAAAGTAGTACACCATATAAGAAAGAATGATTCATAATCTAATGCTTTTTGAGTTGAAAGTGGTGTCAATCCCTTATGTAAGTCGAACCTCTTGTCTCATTAGTATATTTCTCTCTTGCGAATTCCTCTCGAAATACCCAATAAATGATATCAGAGCTGGATATCAAAAGTCTTCCTGACAGAGTATAGGTCAGGTAAGTGTGTCATGTTAGGGTGACCCATAACCTACCTAACAAATGGTAAGATTGATCGACAATGGATTTAGGATAAACAGTAGTATTTGTATAGAAAGTCTTCATGATAAAGTTGGTCAGGTAAGCGTGTCCCAATGCGAGGAATTCACACTTGAAGGAGAGATTGTTAAAATGGAGCAACATATAAGGAAGTATGACTCATAACCTATCTAACAAATGGTAAGATTGATCGACAGTGGGTTTATGTCCCGTTCGACGGGAGGAATTCATACTTGAAAGAAAGATTGTTAAAATGGAGCAACATATAAGGAACTATAACCCATAACGTACCTAACAAATGATAAGATTGATCGACAGTGGGTTTAGGATAAACAGTGGTATTTGTATAGAAAGTTTTTATGATAGAGTGGGTCAAGTAAGTGTATCTCAACGGGAGGAATTCACACTTGAAAGAGAGATTGTTAAAATGGAGCAACATATAAGAAAATATGACTCATAATCTACCTAACAAATGGTAAGATTGATCGACAGTGGGTTTAGGATAAACAGTGATCTTTTTATAGAAAATCTTTATAAGAGAGTGGGTCAGGTAAGGAATTTCATACTTGAAAGAGATATTGTTAAAATGGAACAATAAGAAAATATGACCCATAACTTACCTAACAAATGGTAAGATTGATCGACAGTGGGTTTAGGATAAACCGTAATCTTTGTATAGAAAGTCTTCATGAGAGAGTAAGTCAGGTAAGCGTGTCCCGTTCTACGAGAAGAATTTAATACTTGAAAGAGAAATTATTAAAATAAAGCAACATATAAAAAACTATAACTCATAACCTAATATCTTAAGGTTTTAAATTGACAGTAGTATCAAGTTGGACTATATAGATTATACTCTTGTTTCATTAGTGTATTACTCTATTAAGAATTTGCCTCGAAAAACCCAACCGTTACATTATGCAAGTTCTTTTAGCAAATTGATATCGCCTTTCACAGTTCACTTTATGTTCTCAGCTAGTTTGATGATTTTGGTGTTTCCCTCTATAACGCTCTTTAATGTTACTAAAACCATGTATGAATGAATGAATAATCTGGCTTTTCAAATGATGTTATGTCCCCACTTTGTTATTTATGACACAGCAGCATCAATTTGATGAGGTTCAGTGGGGTCCATAGAAACTTGTTGGCACATGAGACATAACTCCCCGAAGGTGCCACAGGCCCTACAGCAATTAAGACAAGTGGTCACATGGGTTTCTCGAAGAGGTAAGCAAACCACGAGTCATTGGCAAAAGCCCACACTCCCCTTTCTGCACCCTTTCAAACTCACCAAAAAGGACCAATGACTTTAAAAAGTAAAACACAGGCTTTGCAGGCTGCAGGAGATTCAAGAGGGACACATCCTCCTTCATTGACTGTCTCACCTCGCTCATTTATACTTCTCCTAACCAAAAGTACCATACCACTGCAATCATAATGGCACTCAGATTCAATACTCATAACAACCAACACATGAAATGCAGAATCAACTGCAGACTCAGAAAAAGTCACAAGTGAATGTTTGTTTTTTTTATTATTCCAATGCAAAATGCCAAGGAATGATAAATTGTTCTGCATAGTTTTCTAGGGAGTCATTGTATCATTATATATCCTCTGAAAGGTTTTAAAGGCATGAAGCAATTGAAGGAAAAAAAACAAAGGTTCCATTATGATTTGGTAATATATAATGACATGCCTAAGTAACAACTGAGAGAATGAAAAATTCCCTTCAGTGTCTAAATAGGGTCTTGTAAAGAGGAAATAACTAGATATTTCTATCTTACACCAGTTACAATACAAGCACATAAGGGTACATTTAGATATTGTGATCATATGTCAGGGTTTCCACACTTGGACCTTGAAGCTTTTGCAAAATAACATCCATATCAAAAGTGACGGTGCAATAGATCTGTGTTAAGCAGCACAGCCTCCACACACAATACTTCTGTCAAGACAGTAAAAAATACATGTTAACATATAGTAAAATGTCACTGGATGATAAAATTTTAGCAAGAATGATAGAAATTTGGTAGTAAAATAATAAGGGGACACTTTATGATAGATTATTGCTTCTCCTATTCCATCCTGAGATGTAACTAGCTTGAGTATTGATCTAGGGTCAAGGGCATTCAACTGCTCTTTCAGAGGGAATGATCTTAATCTCTATTCAATGCTCTTTCAGCACCGTAGTCTTTTTGTGCAGTGTTTTTCTTTTCTTTCCTTCTTTGGGGTATCAAAGCCTGATTAACTTTGTCTAATCATTACATTATTTCACTGCATAACTAGCAGCATCACCTAGCCTAGCAATTTCGTTTCTTCATTAGGAAGGTCTCTTAAATTACACTATCACATCATCAAATGCTTTGCAAAGATCAATGATTTTAAGTATGCTTCAAAATTATAGGAGCAAGGACTTACACAAACGAGCAACCAGACTTTCTATGCCTTTTCTTCCTTGCCATTTCTTTCCTTCTTGGAGGTTGGAGAACAACCTTAATTGCAGTATCAAACACTGCTTTGACATTCTAAATCATGAAAAGATAGCCATAAGTTTAATACAAATAAATCATCACAAACCATCATCTATATCAAGTTTATTCACACTTTAACTATAAATTTTATAAAGTCATAGCAACAATAGTATCTGAGTGCATAAAAATTAACCTAATTAAATTTAAACCGACTACCTGTTGAGTCTTCGAACTGCACTCAATGTAAGCTGCAGCACCTATTTGTTTCCTCAGTTCTTCCCCCTATTAGTGATGTGCCATGATTGATAAATGATTAAATTTTCTCCACTTATACCCATAATACATAAATTGCTTCATACTTATCAAATAAAATAAAATGAAGGAAGCAAATTAAAAATATAAACCTCAGCAGATGTTATGACATTAGTCCCTATGTGATCAGCCAAATAGCCCCGGTCTTCACGAAGATCTAAGATCAATAATTCAGTACTTTATGTCATTAACTTCTTCCCTCTATGATTAATGTAAAAAGATTACAAAATTTTGCATGTGCTGCTGCTTACCTAACTTTGTACCAACAAGAACAATTGGAACATTAGGTGCAAATCTACGCAATTCTGGCATCCACTGTAAGAGAAAATAAAGAATGCAGAAATGAATAACTACTGCGTTATGGGGGCATAAATGCAAAAGTTTAAGTGCACATAAATGCTCTGTTGAAAATTGTCCATTATTGATAACTCCTAATAGACTAATACAATGAAAACATGCACGTTCCATAGTAGTAAAGCCCCATACAGGCTTAGACAGTAATCTAACAGCTACAGACTTAGGCTTTGTTGGAAGATGGACCTAGAAATATCATCTTAAGAAAGATTTCTCATTCAAGATATTTTTTAAAACTTTGAAGTAAACACTAGGAGTAATTTTGAAATACAAAATAACTGTTAATTTAATTAAGTTACTACAATATGCCTAAGTAGATTTTTTTTGGATCAGATTGAACCTGTTTGTTCTACTCCCTCTCTCCATCTTTCCTGTTTCTAGCTAGCTTTTCTAGGGTGATTTTCTTTTCCTTCTCTTCAAGTAGCCATCAATAGCCAAAAGTCAACAAAGACATTGTGGCAAATATCAACCAAAGACCCAAGAGTGAACATAAAACAGTGATCATTGGACCTCCTCTCAACCAACCACTCATTATTCAACTTGATTTCTCTGTCCTATGATCTTATTTGAATGTTAATCCTATTAATATATGTGATAAACTTTCATCATGGTTTTAAATAGTTTATTAAGAAATGGTACTTCTAAAATCTCAAAAATTAAATGCACACTTTAACATCTGCAAAGAGATATTACGCAACTATTGCAACCAACGTTTTTCAAAAACGAAAATGTGAAAAAGGAAGGACATAGCAAAAAAGAAAATGTTTCCTTTCATTTCGGTTTTATGTACACTCCAAGAGAAAGTGATTTTCAATTTTTCATCATGAACTTTCTTCTCCATTTTCTGTTCCACCTTATCCCCTCATCCAGAGGAAGCTTAAAGGAACACACTCACTTTCTGAAAGGTTGAATCCAAAACTAGAGAGAAGAGATTACATACAAAAGAAGAGAAAGCAAAGATAGATACGAACCTTCTTTAGAACATTTTCGTAGCTAGCTCTGCTAATCAGTGAGAATGCTAAGACAAAAATGTCTGCTCCTCTGTAACTCAGTGGCCTCAACCTGCTATAGTCTTCCTGGCCTTTAAAACAGTGAAATGTATCCAAAGTTAAGGGACTGTGAACAATCAAAATATAGTTGCTGGACTAAAAAAGCACAAGTGGGAAGCTCCTAGTACCTGCTGTGTCCCATAGCCCCAAATTGACAATACTTCCATCCACAGCTACATTGGCACTAAAATTATCAAACACTGTTGGTATGTAATCCTGCACCCCAAAAAATAAAAGAAAAAAAATGAGCTAGATGAAAAAAAGAGAAGGGTTTCATCACAAACATTTGAATCTTAGACAAATGCAAAGATAATGAAACACGTCAACACATTGAAACAAGAGCCCAAACACTAACACAGTGTTGAGATTGAAAAGAAAGTTCCGTTTAGATGAAACACCTCCAAAGTTAAAAAATGGTAAGAGAACAAGTGAGCCTAGTGGAGAAAAGAAGCATCTTTGATGGACGGGGTCTGAGTTTTTTCAAGGGACTTACAGTGGGGAACTTGTTGCTGGTGTAGCAAATGAGCATGCAGGTTTTCCCAACAGCTCCATCTCCAACAGTGACACATTTAATAAACTTTGAAGCATTCATCATAGGAACACTGTTAACTAAGACTAAGGTTAAGCTGCAACAGACCAACACAGAAAAGACCCTCAAAAGTTGAGTTTGAAACTAAGAAAGTGTGGTCTCACTGGTTACACTAAAGGGTGTGTGAGATGAGAGATAGATAAATAGGTAGAAGAGAGAAAAGAAAAGACCCTCCTTATAGTTTCAAGAAACAAGAAATATAAAAATAGAGAGAGAAAAGAGTTGAGCTGCAATGCATATACTAATAGTTTTGTTTTGTTTAGTCAAATGTGCTGTGTTTGTTGTTGTTGTTGCTGCACTTTTTCGTCCCACTCAATAAATTTCAAATCCAACAGAAATATTTTTGAAATGCACAAATGGGACCCTCTCTCAAACGGTACCTATGCATGCTGCTTCTAGCACACCTAAACCTCTTCATTGAATCATTTGTTGGTTTCCAACTACATCTCATTAGTGACTGATTAGTGCTCGTTACTTGCTGCACCATACAATACTTACTGCTGCAAATTAAGATCACTGTTTCTACATTCCAACTGTATCCTGGGCCTGCCACTAATCATATTGCAAATAATTTGAACATCATGCTAATTCTTTTAAAATTATATTTTTCTTATCAAAACAATGTACATAAACTATGCAAGTTAAAATTAATTTTAGTTCTAATATTTTCTATCTCTTACACCCATAAAAATTATAATATTAAAAAACAAAACAGTAGTGTCGATCTTCCCACTGTTGTACTGTTTTCTCGGCAATCTCGCTTTTGACTGGTTATTACTTGGAGAAGAAGAATTCCAAATTTCAGACATGAATAAAGTTGTGCTGTCACAGAGTAGAAACCACCAACAAAACACACATGCCAATTTTTTTCACAGTTTTTTTTTTTTTTCAGATGAATTACCTATTAAAAAAGAAAAACTTATTTGGGTGCTTGAACAATTAATCTAGCCCTAATCTGATTTTGCTAGAGAAGAAAAAAAGGGGGAAAGGACGATGATGTAAAACAAAATAGAATAGAAAATGTGTATATAAGGATGGACCCACAAAAACTCACGTCCCAACAGATTCAAATTGTTTTCAACCATTTGAGGTTGTTGTTTTGTCCCAATCTCAAAGACTGCATCTTTCTCAAAAATTCAAAGCAACCCAAGTACCTCAAGATTAGGTCAGTTTTTTATGTCCTAAGGTTTTTGTTACGGTTATTGTACACCATAAACCCTAAACTATAACTTATTTAAGTAGAACTGATTTTTATCTGAGTTAATTTATTGAAAAATAATTGATTTTGTTTTATTGTACTAAAATATATTGTGTGTTCATAATAAATAAATTTCAAATAATTTTATAGATTACAGATTTTCAAATATAAGCAAATATTTGATGTTTTGTTAAATTTAAGTTACTGTTCTAAGCAAGTTGAAGTTTGGGAAAATAAAAAAAATCTTCTGAAAAGGTGTTGAAATTTTGAAGGTTGAAGGACATTGATGAATTGAATATGGTTGGTGATTTTGGTTTTACTTTTGGGCAGACATTAATCCATGTGAGGAAAGTAGGGTTTGTTAGATAAGGTAATTGAGATAATACTATTTTAATTTCTTTTAATATTATATTAATTTTTAAATATAATTTTCTCAAAAAAATAATTACCGTTATAATAAAAATTGTCATTATTCTAGTTTAAACACACAAATAAAGGTCATTTATATAAAATATAAAAATGAAGGAAGAATTTAGCATTTTGAAATGAAATACAAATATAGGTGAAACAACAACTATTGATTAGGATTCTGAAGAGACAAATGTAAAAATAAAAAATAAAAAAGATAAATGAAAAAAATTAAAGATTAAAAAATAGTCATTATTAGAAAAGTCCTAACTTATGAGACAAACAAAGAAAAATATTAAGACGTTTCAAAATATTTTGATCCAAAAAAAATTTCAAAAATGTCGATTCAATTCTTAAAAATCTCTTTGTCCGTTGATTTTGTTGACTTTTATCGTTTTTTCTAAATAACGGATCAATCTTTGTTGCAGTTACAAACTGGTTCGATTATGACAACATTAATAAAGAGAAAATAAAAAAGTGTGGAGTGATAATATATATCATATTAAATACTTTATCAATTTTATTCTATTTTTATATTGAATAACTTTTAGTTTTTTTAAATGGTAAATGGAGTTAAGTATCCTAACATTTTTTTTTCATTACTAAGAAGGAAAAAAAAGTTTCATTAATAAAATAAAATAAAATTTAACATTTTTTCAAAATAATCATAAAAAATATGGACACATATGCTTTAACTTATGTGTTTTCATTAATAATACATAAAAAAATATTTATTTAATATAATTATAATTTTAACTTCTAAAATATAATAAACTAAAACGCATCAATAATTCACCAGACACAAACAATATATGACATTCATTATTTCCATAATGTTTTTTAAGGATCATTACACTCATAATCTTTTGAGATTATCTTAAATTACAGTGAAGATCCAATTTTTTTAAACTTTACATAAATCTGTCCATGTATTAAAACAAATGTTTTTTTTTTCTATTTTGCATTGTCCTATTAATTGTTTTTTTAATTCCCTCAACACAAATCTCAAGATCCTACAAACTCAGAGGGTAATACTTTTAAATTGTGTTCTAAAACGTTTATTTAATAAGATGACAATAATTTTATTAAATATGTGATGTCTAACACGTGAACTTGTTTGTTAATATAAAATAGGAAACTACTTACATTCTTTTAAAAAAACTATCAATAAAAAACTTGAATAAGCTAACACTTTAAACTACTTATGATAAATCTAGATAACTAGAAATGTAGATTATAAATATTATGTAAAAAATCATTTTCAAGTAATGGAGATAAAATGTAAAGTTTATAGCAAAAACAATGAAACCATTAAACTTAGCAGCAACTGAAACTAGAAAGTTTATTTATTTCCATAACATGCATCACATCATGACCCTTTTTTCTGAGAGCACACAACACAAAAACATATATGAAAAGGAAAATGTTTCTAATTTAAGTTCTGGCATCAAAAGAGTCATCACAAACACACATTAGAGACAAGGATTGAAGGGTTTTTAAAGAGCCTTGATGATCTCTTCAGCACTGGAGACAGTGAACTCTCCTCCACTTTCAACATTGGCAACCTTCACTTTGAGGTCTTCCACCAGAAGAGCAAACCTCCTAGAGCGAACACCAAGCCCCTTCTCAGTGAGGTCAAGCTCAAGTCCAAGGGCGTTGGTGTATTTGGCAGCACCATCAGCAAGGAATTTCACATGCTTGTTCTCTGGGAATGTTTTGGCCCATGAGTTCATCACAAAGGGGTCATTCACTACAAAATCAAAGGAAGTTTCAATTAGCCACTTCACAAACTATCCATCTTCAACACTTTCATTACTTGCACCAATTTTAGATCATGAGTATGTCCAAGTCTAACACATTTTATTCACCATACTGCACAAAAGGCTTGTAACCAGCCAAGTCCTTGTGATCAAATGTTCTACAATTCAATCTATACATCAGAAAAGTAAGATAAGAGGAGAATAAATCATAATTGTAAATTAAACAATTTTAATATCCAAATCATTGCATACAAGCATTTCCAGTTTTAAAGATGATAACAACAAGTCAACAATCAGTGGTTAGTGAAAAGATTAACAACCAAGCAACAGGCTATTTGGATTTAGGAATCCATTTCTAGACAGAAATCTGGTATTGGAGCCTTGGAGGCGTCATTAGGCTCAACAAGTGCAAAACTGTTTCTGAAATTTAACTTTCAAGACAAGTAATTTGGATGTTTAGATTAAATCATGCAACACTATGAATTGAGAAGAATTTTCGAACACAAGTCAATATATACTACAAAGCCATCACTTTCAATTGATTGAACAATTAACCAATCAGCACACCCCTTTCATATTCTTATACAAAAACTAATCTTGAATTCCACATTGACGTTGTAAAAACAGCAACTACATGCATGCACATATATGGAGGGGAAATCATGATATGTTTATACTTTAGACTTACCACTGATACAGATTATTTCATCCACACCCTTTCCTTTCAGCTCTTCTGCTCTCTCAACAAAGCCGGGCACGTGCTTCAAGCTGTTACAAAGTCACAGATTAAGACCAAACTCTTCAAATACCACCATCTCTATCTAATGAAGAAAAAACCTCGTAACAATCAAAACAGCAAAATACCATCCAAAATTGGGGATCAGACACCAAATACGACAACATAAGCATCATAATCCTCCAATACCCAACCAATTCATCATATCACCCCCACGATTTTTTTTTCTCTCCCTAGGAAAACCGTTCTTCGTTTTTGCATTAACAATTTGACTCAAAAGGGGATTTTTACCACAATAAAAATTGGATACGAAAACAGAAGAGAACGTTGAGTACCCCAGATGAAAATTCTCTAGAATCGATAAAACAATAGCTCACATTTCCTTGAAAATATGAAACTTTCGGGGGTAAAAAAAGGTGAATCTAGGATACCCATAAAGGTGTTTCCGTTTGTTTGAATGTTTAAGATCCAAATTTGAAGATTGGAAAGCAGAAAGAGAGAAGAAGGGGAAGTGAGTACCTGCAAGTAGGAGTGAAGGCACCGGGAACACCAAAGATGATGACTTTCTTGCCAGCGGCGAGAGAGTGAATGGAAACAGTTTGGGGTTTGTTTTCGTCGTCCAAATACGCCAAAATGCCGTCTGGAAGAGCATCTCCCACTGCAATTGGAGCCATTTTGACGATGACGATGAAGATGATTATGGTAACAGTGTAGTATGAATTTGTGTTGTGTTTTTCTTACTTTGGATCCAACCTATATATCCAACAGTGCCGTGTTTAGGTTAATCAGAAAGGAATCTGACAAGGTGGAAGCTTCTAGAAGAGGGGAGGGTGGTTTGTATAAAAAAAATACGTTTTCATGAAAAAAATATTTAAATATAAATTATGAAAATAAATAATAAAAGGTTATATATATATATATATATATATATATATATATATGTATACTCAAATTATAATATTTAAATTTGATTTAACATTTTGTTTATATGGTTAATTATTTTTTATTTAATAATTTATTTAAAAAACTAACGTATGACAACATAAGTTTTGAAATCCGAGATGTCGAAGATATCGCATCCTTTCTCTGTTGAGACTTTACCATAAATTTTAATTATATTGTGAAAATTTATTCTGAAAGCTATGAAATATTTTATTTCAAGTTTTATTATTATTCTTATTGTTGTGATTATTATTGAAGAATTTGCTGTAAGGACATAGTTATTAACAACATATTTCTTAATAGGAATTATTATAATTAAATATTGTCAATAATGAAGAAAACCAATCAAAGAAAAAATTTGAAAACACCAAATTATTACAACTTCTCACAACTTTTGTCTTAAAATTTCATAAAGTCAAAATAATCTGTCCAATAATCATACAAATGATCGAAAGTCATAGAAAAAGAAAATTTGAATACACCAAATTACGAACAAAGGAGAATCAATGCACATTATTCAGAATGAAAGTGAGACACATGCAGAGAGAAAGCATGAAACAAATATTACCTATTACCTTTTGTCCATTGTGTAAAATAAAAATCGATAATACATACTTTTTTTTTCTTCTTTTAAACATAAATGTTAGAACAACCTTCTTTTTCTTATCGCTGCATGCATTTTCACACTGTTGTATGCTTACGTATATATCTTTAATATAAAAGTTTTATCTCTTTTATTGAATATTAAATCTTCACTAATTTCTTACCTTTTTTTTTCCTTTTCTTTATTTATCTTTCTTAACATGGCAGAGTTGCACTCTGTCCCTCTTTTCCCTTTTTTATTTTTTTAGATTTCTCATTCTCTTTTTTGCTTTTCTTTCAATAGCAAATAAAGATACTGTACAAAGTTTTTGATACTTATATCCAAATAAAAATCCTACAACTCCTTTGGTGTCTCTTATTTTTTATGCTGTCAATTATCATATAGTATATCAGTTTTGACTATATTTAATATCAAAAACAAAATTAAATTTGTATTTAAAACTGCATAACAACTCACGTCTTATACAAAGGATTTTTCTACCTACAAATACAATAACATGGTGATATCATCACTAGTTCGTTATGTTTCTGCATCAATTAGACAAAATATAATATAGATGGATAAAACTTTAGATATTTGAATAGATCTCCAAAATCGTTTTTCTCAAAGAGACACATCAAGAATATCTTATTTTTAGTTGGAAGTTGTTTATCTCCATCAAGGAGATATGAGCGTCACTAATTATTTCACTAAGATGCAAATAATATGGGATGAATTGGACAATTTTAGACCAACACCCATATGCACTTACGAGACTTCTTGTACATGTTATTAACATCACTAAAAAAAATCGAGTATCAAGCTCTTCATTTCTTGCAAGGATTGAATGATCAATATAGTAATGTTAAATCTCACATTCTGATAATGGAAATCACCCCCCTGTAATGAAAATTTTTAGCTTGATTGTTTAACAAGAACGACAATACTCTAATAATTGCTTGATCAACAATGTCAAAATCAGCAAAGTGTCAATGCTTCTGTCAATATTGATCACTCCTTTTGTGGCAAAATGGTTCATACCAAGTCTATTTGCTTTTGAGAAAAACGATTTTCATTATCAAAACAAAAATATCAAGAATTCCAAGAAGATCTGCACCTATTGCGGCAAAACAGGTCACACCGTCAAAATTTGTTATAAAACATGGTTATCCTCCAGGTCGTAAACTACATTTAGCCAAATTCTCTCAATCACATCACAATGTTATCCAAGATAATGATGATACTGGAAAAGATTCAAAAGGTAACGAAATTGATCATCTTTGCTTGACTCCTCAACAATACCAAATTCTTCCTGATTTGTTCAAAGTTATATCAATTCCTCCATTCAAGTTAATCAAATTGATTCCAACCCCATGATCTTCACGTCTATAGGTATCATAAATTCTACAACATCCTCTAATATTACTCAATCTAGTTGGCTTTTGGACTCAGGGGTCATCGATCACATATGCACCTCGTTAAATTATTATTCTTTTTATAAAAAAATTAAGTCTATCCATATTAATTTACCCAATGGTAAAACTGTTATTTATAAATATTCTAGAACTGTGAAACTTGCCAAAACTATTGTTCTAACTGATGTATTACACGTTCTTATTTCCCATCTAAATCTTATATCTGTGTTTAAACTCATTGTAACAAACAATTACGATTTGATTTTCTCCTTTAACAAATGTGTAATACAGGATCAAAAGACCATATAGAAGATTGGTTTAGTTGAAGCTTGTGTGGGTCTCTATGCTTTAAATTTTTTTTCTAAAAGTAGTAATCAAAACTCTACTCATAGGAAATATAATGCTTTACTTAATATCAACATTTGTTACTCTAGATTTGGACATCCCTTAGAAATTTTAAAAACTAAATATCATTGTATACCAGATGTTCAAAGGACTTTTTGCAATGTCTGTCATAAAGCTAAACAAAAACGACTTCCTTTTTCTAACAATTTATCTTTCGCAACTCATAAACTTGAAATATTATAAATGGATATATGGGAGCCTTGTAATAATGTTTCCATGCATGATTTTCGCTATTTTCTTACAACAATAGATTATTACTCTCGTTACACTTGGATCTTTCCTATGATGAATAAATCTGATACCAAGAACGAAATCACCAATAACACAAGTTGAAAATCAATTAAAGACCTCTGTCAAAATCATACGAACTGATAATGATCTAAAAATATATGATTATTTTTCAAGAAAATGCATCATCCATTAAACCACTTATGTTGAAACTCGAGAGAAAAACGATGTTGTCGAAAGAAAACATCAACATCTCTTTGCTGTGACTCGTGCTCTACTAATACAAGCTACTTTGGCCAACATTGTTTAGTGTTTTGTTATTCAACATGCAATTTTACTTATTAATTGCACTCTTACACCTCTACTCAATAACATCTCACCTCATGAAAAATTACATGAAATCTTATATGATATAACCAATCTTCGCGTTTTTGGTTGTCTTTGTTATGCCAACACATTATATCTCAAAGAAAGAAACTGGATGACAGAGTTGCGCTTGACATTTTTCTTGGTTACAAACCACACATGAAGGGATTCATACTTTTAAACCTTCACAATCATACTATTTATGATCCTAAAAGTTTATCTCTCCCTATTCCTGATAATTATTCTCTTACAATAATGATTTTTATGATTTTTCACTCGATCATATTGATGACACTATATAACACGAAATCCTTCCAAGATCTCAGAAGAAGTATTTCAAGACAATATAGATCACACGTTGGACAACACTCGTATATGAAGATTCTCTAGAATTAGGAAAGCTCCATCTCATTTTTAGGACTTTCATCTTACTTTATCACATAAATGTTCGACTAAATACCCCATAGAACAATGTTTATCTTATAATAATATTTCTCCTCATTCATATTTTTCATCTCATCCATTTCATCTAATATTGAACTACGTAATTTTATTGAAGTCACAAAATCAACATAATGGAATCAAGTTATGAATGAAGAACTCGCGACTCTTAAGAACAACAAAACCTAGATCATCACCGATCTTCCTCCAGGGAAAATAACTATCGAATGTCGTTGGGTGTATAGGATCAAATATCACTCTAACAGAAAAATAGAACGTTATAAAGTTAGGCTCGTTGCAAAGGGATACAATCAACTCGAAGGTTTGGATTACCTGGATACTTTTGCTCCAGTTACTAAATTTACTTCCCTACATGTCTTGCGCTTTCGCCATGTCCAAAAGATGGATCATCAAACAACTCAATGTAAATAATGCCTACTAACAAAAACAAAGGTTGCAAACTCTAAAATTCTCTCTATGTCCTAAAACAAGCTGGTCGACAGTGGTATAAAAAATTATCTCATTTCTTGCTTAAAAACATTTTTAAACGTTACATAGTAGACCATGTTTTCTTCATGAATCACAACAATAATCACACTGTAATCATCATTGTTTATGTTGATGATACTATAATCACTGACAATGACAATGACAATGACAATGACAAATTTAGCACATTACATCACTCTTGCACTCTGTTTTTCGAATAAAAAACCTCAAAGGATTAACTTACTTTCTTGGCATCGAAGTCACCCGAAATCCCATTGGTTTTCACCTATGCTAGAGAAAATACATTCTTGATTTGCTAAAAAAACTGGAATGCAAGATAGTGCTCCTGTCACCACTCCCATGGTTCATTCCTCTCGATCCTCCCTCACTGATACTTCTCACCTTAACGACAACGATTCATTTTCTTTTAGACATCTCATCAGTAAGGTAAGCTTATGTATCTAACTAATACACGTCAGGATATCACCTTCACCGTTAACCACCTTAGCCAATTCATAACGGCTCCTACCACTTTGCATCAACAAGTTGCCAACCGTATCCTCCCATATTTAAAGGGCACTCCAAGAAATGAGCTTTTCTTTTATAGCGAAAATCACTATCATTTAAAAGCTTTCAGCGATTTTGACCGGGCCACATGCTCCACCACCACAAAATCTATTACTGGACTAGCCATCTATATTGGTGATTCTCTTATAGCTTGGAAATCAAAGAAACAACAAACTATTTCGCGTAGTTCTTTTGAAGCATAATACAGAGCCCTTGCCACCACCACATGCGAGCTTCAATGGCTGACATACTTATTATAGGAACTTCATGTTCCCTTCATCGAACTAACTGTTCTCTATTGTGATAATCAATCCATAATTCAAATTGCACCTAACTCATTCTTCCATGAACGCAATAAACATATAAAAATTGATTGTCATATTGTTCTCAATAAAGTTCTTCAAGGTTTACTTAAGCTTCTTCCTGCAAGTTGTTGATTTATTCACAAAACTGCTAACTTCTACGTACTTCAAAGTTCATCTATCCAAACTGAGAATGAAGAATATATATTATGAAATTGAGGAGGACTATTAGAACTTTGTTTCTTTTCTTCTCTCAACACTTATGTATTTTCACAGCATTGCATGCTTTTTAGGTTGTTATCAATTTTTTCTTTTTTTCTATTTTCAATTACGTTTTTGTTTTATATATATATATATATATATATATATATATATATATATATATATATATATATATATATACTCACTCATCCTTTTGTAATACATAAAAATTTCTTCCATACAAAAGTTTCACTTCCTTTGTTATACACTGGGTCTTCTCTGGTTTCTTCCCTCTTCTTTCTCTATTCATTTTTCTTAATAACAAATGATAATGCAGACCCTTTTGTCATTTTTATTAAAAACAGATGGTAATGCAGAATAAGGAACATTTAAGTGTATAATTATGATCACAATGCAAGTAGTGTAGATTTGTAACTTGCATGGGAGGAGGAGGGAACCTAGCAAGTTTGATGACGTTGGTTGCATATGTGTCGATGTATAGGTGTTGGTTCCTTGTGGTTTGGTGCTTGTCAGTAACCAAACCTCATCATGAGAAACGTGTGTCTGCACTGATTTGTTTATGAAATGATGACATATGGTAGATGCTCATAATATGTGCGACAATGAGAACTGTGTTTATGTGAACAACCGTTGCTTTCATAGGATATTACTGATTGTGTTTTGCTTGCATAGCCCTTCCTAGAACACATAACACAATTACATGCATGAAAATTGATCAGAAAAATTTTCTAGTACATTGTGGCACCAAAAGAGTCACAACACACAACAGAATTACATATATGAAAAGAAAAATGTTTCTCATATGTTGTGGAGTCAAAAGAGTCACAACACACATAAGGGACAGAAAGAGAGCCAAGGTTTCTAAGACAAAGCTGTGAAGAAGGATGGGCCAAGGTCCCTAAGACACAGCTATGAAGAAGAATTCAAGGGTTCAGAGAGCCTTGATGATCTCTTCAGCACTGGAGACGGTGAATTCTCCTACCTTTTCAACATTTGCAACCTTCACCTTGAGGTCTTCCACCAGAAGAGCAAACCTCTTAGATCGAATGCCAAACCCTTTCTCGGTGAGGTCAAGCTCAAGACCAAGGGCATGTGTGTACTTGGCTGCACCATCAGCAAGGAACTTCACATGCTTGTTCTCTGGGTATGTTCTGGCCCATGAATTCATCACAAATGGGTCATTCACTACAAATTACAAGGCAATTTCAAATTAGCCACTTAGCAAATGTTTGATTACACTAGTTTGTTTTATAGGTCATAGTTTGAGTGTGTCCAATACACTTTATTGTCCACATAGCACATAGCACATAAGGTTTGTCAGCAATTAAGTTCTTATGATGAAATGTTCTACAATTCAATAGCAGCAAGCAAGACAACACAGAAAGTACCGTGGAAGTTTAGATTAACCATACGCAACACTAAGAATTGAGAAAAGCAAGTCAATACTTGCACATTACTCGGACATCAATTGATTGAACACTCTACCATCCCAACTCAAATTAACATATCAGTGCCCCCCTTCATATTATTATGCCAATATTTGTTACTACATTAATCTTGAATTGAAGATAAAAATTATAAAAATATGGAGAGGAAAATCATAATGTGTTATAATTCAGACTTACCACTGATACAGCTTATTTCATCCACACCCTTTTCTTTCAGCTCTTCTGCTCTCTCAATAAAACCAGGCACGTGCTTCAAGCTGCTTCAAATTCAAAGTCACAGACATCACTATCTCTACTTTATGAATACAAAATCCTCGTGATAATTAAAACAACAAATAGCCCCAAAATATGGGGATTCAGCGCCAGATTCCATAACATGAACATGACCCTCCGCTCCAATCCAGTTCATCACATTACTCCCACGGTTTACTCATTATTTTCAATTTTTTCTCAAGAAAAAAAACATATATTTTTCTCAAGAAGAGAGTTTTGAGCACCCCGGTTCAAACTTTTCTCGGATCGATATAGCAATAGTTCTTATTATTGGGAAAATCTCAAGTCATTAGGCCTAAACCACTTTTGAGAGAATTATTTCCGAAAAAAAAAAAAAAGAGAGAGGAAACTTTTGGAGGTAAAAATGCTGGATCTCAAGTACCCATGAGGGTGTTTTCGTTTATTATAATAGTCTATGATTAGAATTTGAAGAATGCAAGTAAGAAAGAAAGAGAAAAGGAGAATGAAGACCTGCAAGTAGGAGTGAAGGCACCTGGGACTGCAAAGATGATAACTTTCTTGGCAGAGACAAGAGAGTGAACGGAAATGGTTTGAGGTTTGTTGCCTTCATCCAAGTATGTCAATGTTCCATCTGGAATGACATCACCCACTGCAATGGGGGCCATATTATTCACTGAGATAACCCTGAATTTGTGTGTCCGTCACAAAGCCAATCCAATGTAGTCAATGTTTGGCTTAATGTTTAAATTCTGTTCTGTTTGGTTTAACGTTAAAGTCTTGTGTCCACATTTCTAAAAAGTAGTTTCAATGTAAGAGGAATAGAAAAATAAAAAGTAAGTGAAAATAAATAAAAAATAAACTAAAAGAGAATAAAAATTGAATTGTTTTATTAAAAAAATATTTGAAGTACTTAATTTTAAATTATATTATTTATTTTTTATATTTGTTATATATATGATTTACTTTATCATATTTTTATTTATTTATTATTCTAAAAGTTATAAAAGTATTTTAAATTGTTTTAATAATTTTATGTTAAAGAGATATGATGGGATAATATAAATTGTTTGAAAATAATGAAAGAATAAAATATGATGAATTTTGTTATAATTATAATCAAATATATAATTATAATAATAAAAATAATGTAAATTTTAAATAAATCACTTATTATATTATATAAATTACTTAAAGTGGAAATTCATATAATATTTAGTTATATAACTGATTAATTTGATGGGAATATATATTAATTTCAAACAACTTAATTAATTATCATAATTACATAAAATATAAAACTAAAAGATATATAGGTAATAAAATAATTGATATAATAATATCATAATTATAAATTAAAAAGAATGTAAGAAAAAACAGAGAATTTGAATTGGGGCAATTGCGTTGAAAACCTATTTACCTGGTATTCACCTCTATTTAAAAGCCCTTACTTTAGGGCAACACTATCAAACTTCGTCAACAACAACGACAACAGAAAATTTGGGAGCCAAATTAAACGAAAATGGCGCTTAACGATGAAGAAATCGCGAGACTCTATCGGATCAGGAAGACGGTGATGCAGATGTTGAGGGACAGAGGTTACCTCGTCGGAGACTTCGAAATCAACATGTCCAAGCATGAATTTAAATCCAAGTACGGAGAGCACATGAAGCGCGAGGACCTCGTCATTAACAAGTCCAAGAAGGACAACTCCGGCGATCAGATCTATGTGTTCTTCCCGGAGGAGGCGAAGGTGGGGGTCAAAACGATGAAGACTTACACCAATCGCATGAACTCCGAAAACGTCTACAGAGCCATTCTGGTGACTCAGACTAACCTCACTCCCTTCGCCAGAACCTGCATCAGTGAAATCTCCTCCAAATTTCACTTGGAGGTTTTTCAGGTAACCTTTTCTTTCTCTTGCACTTTTAATGTTTGATTAGAGTTCACCCGTGGCCGGACAAGGCTCTGCGACCTGTGTGTTGCCGGCGTCAACCTCCATTTGTTCACATGGGTCGGGTACTAGGGTTTTTGGGTGTTTAATTACCTCTTCTCTGTTTTAATTTATTGGACCTCATTTTGAGCCCAGTAGTTTTTTTTTTTGCTCATGTGAAACATAACATATTTAGCTTAACATGCAATGTGATTAACTAAGTTATAGTGAGAGATGTAATAGTATTAAAAAATATAAAAGCTATTGAAAGACATAATCTTGATTATTATGATAGTTTTTATGTTTGTATTTAGCATTTTTGGTGCTTTGTGTACATGAGTTCTATGCTGGAGTATTGATTCAGGATAGTTTCTAGGTATACTTTTATTGAACTTTTTTTTTTACATTCTGATTTTGTGCTTTGTGAATGTGAGTTTGCTGATGGAGTGTTGATTCAGGATAGTTTCTAGGTATTCTGTTATAGAACAATTTTTTTCTTTTAAATTTTTATTTTGTGAGTGTGAGTTTTATGATGGAGTGTTGATTCAGGATAATTTTTAGGTATACTGTTACGCAGCACACTTTTTTTATTTTTATTTTTTTTGTGCTTTGTGGATGTGAGTTTTATGATTGAGTGTTTATTCAGGAGGCGGAGCTGCTGGTGAATATTAAAGAGCATGAGCTTGTCCCGGAACATCAGGTTCTCACTGATGCTGAGAAGAAAACCTTGATTGAGAGATACACTGTGAAAGAAACTCAGGTTGGTTATTCACGCTTTGTTAAAATGTTTGGGGTGGCATATCAAATTTTTCTTTGAGATTGTTTAATTTCAAACAACAGTTATTTTAGCCCCTTTGAGTTCTGAAATCATGAAAATAAGGGCCAAAATGATGGATGATAAAAAAATCAGGTACTTAAATGACATGTTTTTGTTTTTGTTTTTGGAAACCCAATTGAATGATGCGAGTAAGTTTTGTAATTAATTTAGTGTATTATTCAAATTTTTGGTTGAATTTAATTATAATGCATTAATTTTTAACCAATTATTAATCAATTATGGAATGTCGTAAGATGGTTGATTTTTGTCATGATTACTTGAAAATTTATATTTAGGGTGATTTTAGATTGGTTGAGGGTGTAAACATTGTAACACTCACAAGGAATGAACATTAAACTCTAGTTTATTTCTGTCTTTGTTTTGGGTTGCATATCTAGTATTGCTCTTAAAATTTCTGCTGATACTGTGGTTCTTTATTTTTAATTTTGTGGGCTGGATCTCAGCTACCTAGGATTCAGGTGACAGATCCTGTAGCAAGATATTATGGATTGAAACGTGGTCAAGTTGTGAAGATTATTCGGCCCAGTGAAACAGCTGGAAGATATGTTACATATAGATTTGTTGTATAAGAATGTTTTAACTTTTTAACTCTATTAATTTTTAAGACATGTTGCAGTAATGGATAGGGATGTGAAGCTTTTGATTGAAAATTATATATGTAAGTCGTAATTGATGTACCTTGTTATGATTAGTGGTGTCAATGTGTTATATGGAAACTTTGTTTCTGTTTATTGTAGACTACTAAAGTAGAGCAGAGGGAGATTCATATATTTTGTCATTTCTGAGATGTTGTCGTCCTGAGTTAGTTGCTTGTGCACTCCTTTCTCTGAACCTCAACGATGCCCTTTCTCTTTCGCTGTTTTGTCTCACTCCAGCTCTCCCATCTCTGCATTTCATCTCTAATCAATCCAGGTTTTGCTGGGAAGCATGTTCGTGTTTCTATTCTCATTAGTGTTTGTGTTGATTCTGCATTCTGTGAATTTTTTATGATTGATTCTTAGTCTAATCATTTCTTCACATGGGTCCTGCTGTAAGTCTCTTATGATCCCCCCAATTTCCTTGTCTTGTCTTGTTCGTCAGATATTTTCAATTCAAAGCCTTATAAATAGGAATAACTAACAGATTAAATGAAATGAGGTGATTGATTAATCAGATTAAGTTTCATTTCATCCTACCAATACTTCAAATAATGTCGACGTACATTTTGTTTTAAAACTATCGAAAGTTTAAAAAATAAAATATACAGACATACAACGTTGTCCAAAACATTTGTAATAATAAATCAATAAAATATTACCTCACTATCAATAAAAGGTAGATTAATTCCAACAAAGCAAGAGTCTGCTATCAACACAAAGCCAAACTAAAAGAAATAGTAGTCCAAGCCATTGTTTGTGTTATACAATCATGCAAATCAAATATAAATTTATCATATTTTAGAAACTCTAAACAATTTCGGTATGCTTTTATTTTCAAGTAAACTATGGTGTAAGAAAAATCTATGGAACCCCTTGCTTTCACTAAGAAAGACATTAGGCTTCTAATTTAACAGGGAGATGAACTTGACAAGAGCTTCAAATGAATTCTGAGATGCTAAGGAGGCAAACACATCTACTTCATTGGACAATGCAGACCCTCCACCAGCTAAATCAGATAATGCTCTAATGGCAATGAAAGGTTTCTTTTGTTGGAGGCATACCAATGCAATAGCAGCACTTTCCATATCAACAGGAGTTGCATCAAATTTGGAGTACAAAAATTCTCTGTAAGCTTTGTTGTCAACAAACACATTGGCTGTAACCCCTCTCTCAACTCTTGTCACAATAGGCTTCCTTGGCAAACACGTTGTGTTGACACAACTCTCCAATTTAACATGCTGTGGAAAATGAATTACACAATAAGTATTATATAAAGAGTTTCTTTTTGTATTTTTCTGAAAAAGTCATAGGTAGATGGTAATTAAGTTGATTAAACTTCACTTTCATTACCTTGAGTTTTCCTGCAATTTTAAAGTAAGTCTTGTCAACTGGAGCCCAGAAAATCTCGTGTCTAGCTTCAGGAATTCCATTCACAGGGAAAATTTCCTCTGGTTGATACCACACTTTGTTCAAAAGATTGATATTTGTGTCTATATCTTTTGTGCAGTTATTGTAATCAGCAAATTCTAGATAACCAAATTTTGTGCTGAAATCTCCATTTACTTCTCCTAACCTCTGCTCAATTCAATTAGAGAAAATCCAATCAAGTTATTAGGTGTACTGGTATAGTTCATTATTTCAATGTGTTTGTTTAAACTCTTCTATCAAACTATATACTAAAAAGCACTTTGACCATCGAATGAAGTTATCACATGAAGGTTAAATGAGACCATAGATACACCTTGATCTAGCACCATTAAACAATTTCTGGGCCCAAAAATGTAATATATCCGTAAACAGAGATGATCTCAACTCAGTTTATAGTCAGAAAATTACCTGCCATTGCCAAAGTCCTGTGTGTGCCCAATATTGTGGAATTGTCACATCTCCAATCTGGAGTTTAGGATTTGCATTTCCTGCAATTCCATAATGGAGAACTCCTTCCACATCAAATAAAGTAAGCAACAATTGGGTGGAAATACCTGCATTTAGCTACACACAAAAAAACCCAAAAAGACTCACAAAATGGAAACAGAAATATAACCAAAAAGTTGACACATAAAATGTAGATTACAAAGTATTATGCTTACCATTCCCAATCCACACATAACAACTATAACCCTCTTATTTTCCAATTCACCAATGCGAAAATGTTTTCCTGCATTGTGAAGTTGACCATGCAAAACAATGAGAAGATGCATCATTACTTTTGAAGACTAGTTGCTGTGTTGAATATCAAGCATTGTAAAATGATTGAACAAAACATGGTTGAAGAAGTTACCTGCATAATCAAACAAAGGAAACTTTTGATGAGGCACAAAGTTTGATGAACGAAGAAGAGGATCCAACTCAAAGGTATTTGGCACCACTATGCCAACGTATGGTCCTTCACTATTGATAATGCTGATTGCTCCAGAAACTGCACCATTTGCCATGATGCTACTGCCCAACAACAACATAACAAAACCTAGTAACTTCATTCTCTTGAATGATTATCTCTTTCAAGTTCTCCAAAGATTTAAGGTCCCTTTTATGGATGAAAACAATAGACATGGGACATACATGGTCAACCACGTGAAAGATTAAAATACACATAAGATTATAAAAAATGAAATGTCATTCTGATCACGTTTAAAATAAAACTAATCAGGGTTGATTAAAATATACACCATGATTGAACATAGAATCAAAGTTGATCTGCTTGCATTTGGGTAAAAACAACCTACTCCTTTTCTTTCTCTTTTATTATCATAGTTATCAGTTAAAATATTCCAACCACGAGCTTCTTTCTCCCTCTATTTTTAAACATGAACTTATTGAACTCTATGCATATATTATATTTCTTTTCTTGTCAAAAGATATTATTTCATTGTTGTTTTGGTCAAATGAAAGCATGCATTAATGATCCAAAGGCTATTGTGTTCAATGTACTCTTGTTTGGACCACCAATATAACAAGTACAAGCCCAAGGAAGCATAGAGTCCAAGCTAATTGGGCTAAAATTAATCAGGCCCATTGAATTTTTTTTTGAGCCTTCAATTATTTGAGAATGCACTAGCTAGGGTCCTATCAGAAAGTGAGACTTGAGCCAATGATGAAAAGAAAACAAGAAGTATAGATGACAGGTAGGGTAGATAGATGCAAGGGGGAACAATAAAATTTTATGGAGGATGCATTTCACATCAAAGAAGATCAAAATGAATGATATTTGGCTAATTCTTTACCCCCAACCCTATGCCGGTGCCTCCCATCATTCTTCCTCCATTTTTCTCATGCTTTCCTCAAAATGGTTAACCAGATCTTTAAACATGAAAAATATAGTTAATTTAATTCTTAAAAAAATTACAATTTTAACTATTAAATTTCAAACATAAGTTGAAATCTTAAGAAAAAAAAGTTTGTAATTTTAAAATTTTAATTTAATGATAATACTATATTTTCTTATTTGATAAATTAGTTGGCTCTTTAGTTATGGAACATTTTCTTAAATTAATGATGATTTTATGATTAAATTGTAACATTTAGAGACTAATTTATATGTTAAAAATATTCAATAATCAAAATAAAAGAGTAAGACTTTTTAGTGACCTAATTAACATTTTTTTTGTTGGGTCTCGTGGAGGTTCTATCAAGATATTCTTGAATAGAATATGGAATGGAAAGAAAGGATGTTTTGAAGGGAAAGAAAAACATGGGCAAAGGGTGTAGGCACTGTTTAAGATAATATTAGATGTAGATAGGTGGTTTGCTATTTGGTTGTCGGTGAGACTTATGAGATTTTGTTGTGTGTAAGATTAGATATGTTTGATTTCATATATAAATACAGAATTTCAAGTCACGTGTAGTTGTTTTGTCACATCCATGGTAGCTGATTCATATGTGTCTACACAGCTTGCTACAAAAGGGTTTTAAGATTCAATTATTGTGATGATCACCTATGTGGCTATGTAATAGCCTATCACCCTATATCGCCATGCAAACTATATCTATTGGCTTAAATTTGTAAAGTAATTGCTGCTTCTTTCACAAATTATTAATGTTTCAGTGTGTTTCTTCAATCAAGTTAATTATTAATCCTTGCCATCATTATTACTTGTTAGTAAAAACAAAAAAGACTAAAATTTGATATGATGTAAAGTAACCCACATGTACCGTGGTTTTGACTCTATCATCAACATCAATGGTATAATTTTGTAAGTGCTTTCCCTTCAATTTTTTGTTGAAATTCAAACAAATGCAGTTTTCTTAGGTTTAAATTCGTCTCTACGATTGGAAGTTTTTTTATATATAATATGAAAAAACTATTTCTCTGATTTTGGTTTTGTGATTTTATTCATTGGAGTCTCATCATTGTTCATGCAACATTAGGCATATGTCCCTGTTGAAATAGTATTTTTTATATATATTATTGCATTATATTTATAGCTATCTGAAAAACTTACAACCTTAGATTCTTATTCTCCATGAAAAGGTAGAGTCCTTGAGTAGGGTGAGAGCAAGAGATTATCTAGTGTTTGTCCTAGTCAAGCTAGCTAGGGTTAGTAATTATGCAAAACTTCACCATATATGCAACTATAGACAAATGCATTCAGATTCGTGTAATGGATTCTTTTTGTATAGGGGCTTTTTGATCCTTTTACATGGGTTGGAGCACCCCCTAGGGCTCCTTCACTTAATAATTTCGTTGCTTGTTCAAAAGGAAAACCAACCATAGACAAGTGCATGTGAGTGTGTTTGTGTTTGAAGCGAATATGTGAAAGCTTTTTCGTCCATTATTCATCCACGTTACGAGGTGCAGAAAGAAGGCAACTCTTAATGACAAGAATAACAAGCAAAAGTTTAAGCTGATATATGTTGTACACAAAACGAACGATTGATTCAACGACTTGATATATAAGTACTGCGGAATATTAGCTAACTTTGTCCATGGCACGTATATCAGACATAGATTCATCCTGAAGTTAGGGCTCGAGATGTATAAGAAGCTATATATATATATACACCGTTGATGACTTTTTATCTTTCTGAAGTTTTTGTAATGATACAAACAGACAGAATATAGTTTGCTAACTGAAAAAATAACATCAAACATAAGTGAGCATAATGGTCATGGATCAGTTCAATTAATGCTGCTGAAAAAGTAGCATATTCAAATGATTAATCATACAAATATTGCATATACATTGAAATATAGCGCATTCGTACGTACCACCATCTTAATTAAGCTAATGGAAATAAAGAAAACTAAGCTTGATTTGGATGAATTAATATGAAGTCTTCTAAGGGCTAGCAAATACTTGTCACTGTTAGCTAGCTAGCTAGCACACATTTTATTCAGGAATGAAGTATAGCATCATGAGCAATCAGCCTTAGGTTTTGTTTTAGCAGATTGACTGCTCATGATGTTATATCATTTCCATGAATTGACCTCTTTGCATGCTACCATGTTTATATGTATATGCTGCCCTAATTGGAGACTTGTCCTAACGAAAGCCCCCTCCTAGGGCAGGGGCCCAATAGTCTGCTCCATTGTCACTCCCAACTTGCAGTGTGCATGACACCGGAACCAGACACAACCCTCTACTCCTCAGCCCCTTCTTTGGTTCTTCTTGAGTATCCTAATGAGCCACATAACATTCAAAGCAAGTGGGGTTAGAATAATTGAAAAAAAAAAAAAAAAAGTTATCAGCGTACTTGCTGATAACACATTCTATTGAATACACTTCATTACTGATTAAAAATAATAGTGGTTTTTGTGGATTTCACTGCTCATTCAATACAGTATGAATCAGAAGGAGTATGTTGAAAATGTTACCAGCAATCCTAAAATATATATTTCACATGTATTATAAAAGAAAACGAAGGCAAAAAACAAAACATCATGGATCTTTATGAGAACAGTTACCTGTTCTCCAGCTGCTTTCCTCTTCAAGCAGTTTTCATTCAGCAGCTGCATCCGGAAATTAAAACAACATGAGCCACTTGTTTTTTCTAATTCTTTTAAGTTATAAACAATATTTTATCTGAGAAAAGCTGGTTTCATTTCTCTTTACTTGTTGTATTCCTTTATTAACTCAGCAAAAGAATGTAAGATTAACGTGTATCTTCTTTCAAAATGCAAAATCCCCAAACCCCTTTTAAGGGGTTAGTTAATTGATCCAATGACAAAAGCATACCTGACCAGGGTCTTCAGGAAATATACAATTCTTCTCTCCTTGAACCTAACATTAAATAATTACAATCATTATTCAATAAGTGTCACATAATTACTCATTAATTAGTACCCTCGTGCACATGCAAGAGAAGAAAGAAGGAGAAAGGGGAAGAGATATAGAAAGAGAGAGAGAAGATAGCGAAAGTGGTTATTATTCTTCTTGCTTTCGGACGTGAAAAATGGCTTTACATATGCTTCTATTTCTTTCTTATCGTAAAATATCTGTAACTTTAAAATATTAAAACATATCTTAATAAAGGCATCATCATAACTTGTGTAATTAATAACTTTTCTTAACATACTTTCATTATTATAAAGGACAGAGAATATAAGATAAGGAAGTATATGCTAATTTTTATTCAGAGACAACTTAAATTAAGTAACATAAACACAATCATCGTGATAAATCACTGTTTTTAATTAGATGGTAAACAACATCTTTTTGAACCAGAAAAGGGTTTATGCTATTTCTTACAGAATTTTGCTGCCTCCCACTTCCTGGTCCACCGCTCAAGTATGGTAAGCTAAGGGCCTGCATCAAAGGATGGGAAAAAGAGAGAGCATATTTAGAACTTTAATAATTAAACTTTACACATTGGAATAATACAAATATGAAAACTTATATATTAAATATTCGTACGAGTCAAGAACTTCTCTCTCTTTTTACTGTATTTTGTTGTGAAAAAAAAAAAAAATATAATATATATATATATATATATATATATATATATATATATGTGTGTGTGTGTGTGTGTGTGTGTGTGTATACATTGGATCAATTTCAACCTTCCAATGTGAAATGAAGCTTTAACAGCGTGCAGCGTGCATCAGTGGCTCGTGGTTGTTTGGGAAAGTAAAGAGAGGAGAAGAAACATCACCTCAATTTGACTCTGAAGGAATCTGATATACCCAATAGCTTCTAACAAGACAGAGGCTGTGTCAGTCTGCAAAAGTGAAATATACCACACACCACAGCGTTATTCCCAGTCATCGATTATATATTATGCTATAAACCAACCTTTTCTTTTTCTTCTCTAAAATGTCATGTACAAAAAGCAAACGTAGAAAGAAAGAGAACCAGAGAAGGAAAAGATTATAACTGCAAAAAGTGTCATTTCCAGTTTTTTTAAACATGTGAATGGGTTGGATTTTTCTCTGCATAAAATATTGATCCTATTTTTAAACCGAACGTGTACAGTTTTAATTGATTAAATTCATGTACATTTAGTTTAATAAGAGTATTATAGTGTATTTTTTTTTCAACAC